AGAGACACAGGCAGAGGGAGAAGCAGGCAGGAGCCCAATGTAGGACTTGATCCCAAGACCCTAGGATCATGCCCTGAGCCAAAGGCAGACACTCAACCACTGAGCCACCAGGTGCCCCCCCACCCCCCAGTTTAGATCCCTCTTCCATGTGCCACACGGCACCCTGTAATTCACTGGACTCACAGCCCTGATTATTCCATAATATCACTATTTGCTAACTAATCTGACTCTCCCGTCAGCTGTAAGAAACTGAGAACAGACACCCAACAAATTTTCGCTGACTTAACACATGTTCTGGGAGCATTGGTTTTATATGTTTGTTATCAGTTTGATTTTACTTTTTTTAAAGATGGGGGGATTTGAACAAGTGTATATGCTGAGAGTAAAGAGCTGTAATAATTAGAGAATGAGAAGTTGGATATTTGGAGGATTGAGGGGACAATGAATGGAACGGTGCCTGAGGAGGCGGAGGGAGTGGTGCGGCAGGTGGAGAGACATACCTGAGGCAGGTACAGGACAGAGGCCCCGTTTCCTCCGTGCCTCCAGGAAAGGGGCAGGTGCTGATGAATATGTGTTGGCTGGGAGACACTGGGGGAGTTTCCAATTCACGGCCTCTGTTTCATCTAAGTGTTGAGTTGGTGTCAAGGTGGATGAAAATTTCGGGGAGAATGGCAAAGGCCTGAGCTGGCTAGGGGCCCGCAGCAGCTTCTCATGTGCTTCTTCTGTGACCTTTCCTTCTATCCCTCAATCCCCCACAAATCCCAGGACACCCCAGCGCTCCGGAACATGGCACCCCCATTCATCTTGTCTGTGAAATGCACTGAGCTCCTGCCATCAGTCCATAAGGAAGTTTAGTCCTTATATAAGAGAGCTTGTAAAACATTTAGCCCAGCACCAGGTACCTAGTAAAGACTCAGTAAGTGGTAGTCCCGTATTCACAGCAGGAAAGCACGGGGCCGGTCCAGCTGCAGAGCAATGCGGCCCCGCGGTGTGAATCCCCGCCCGCTGGGAGATTCTGTTTTTGTCAAAGAAGGAAATACCCATAAAATAATTAAAAAGCAATGCAAAGTGATACATGATAGTTACCAACAGCCAAATGGTGCTTTGTTTATGATCATAGCCTACAATAAAAAATATCTTTTATTTGAAGACCTAGAACTCAGATAGCAATATAAAACTGAAACAAAAGTTTTATTTGGATGCCTGGGTGGCTCAGCATTTGCCTTTGGCTCAGGGCGTGATCCTGGGGTGCCAAGATCGAGTCCCGCGTCGGGCTCCCTCCGTGGAGCCTGCTTCTTCCTCTGCCTCTCTCTCTTTCTGTGTCTCTCATGAATAAATAAATAAAATCTTAAAAAAAAAAACAACCAATACTTATCTTTTTGTGTGTGTGATATTTTCTATTTTATTCTACTTTGTTTTTAAAAAGTAATGGTCAAGAATCAGTGTGACGGGTTGAACTGTGGCTCTCAAAAATTCATATTTTCAAAAAAATTAATATTTTCAGGGTGCCTGGCTGGCTCAGTCAGTAGAGCATGAGATTCTTTTTCTTGTTTTTTTTATTTTTTAAATTTTTATTTATTTATTTATGATAGTCACAGAGAGAGAGAGAGGCAGAGACACAGGCAGAGGGAGAAGCAGGCTCCATGCACCGGGAGCCCGACGTGGGATTCGATCCCGGGTCTCCAGGATGGCGCCCTGGGCCAAAGGCAGGCGCCAAACCACTGCGCCACCCAGGGATCCCTCTTTTTCTTTTTTTTAAGATTGTATTATTTATTCATGAGAGACACAGAGAGAGAGGCAGAGACACAGGCAGAGAGAGAAGCAGGCTCTCGTGGGGAGCCTGATGCGGGACTTGACCCCAGGACCCTGGGATCATGACCTGAGCCAAAGGCAGACTCAATCACTGGGCCACTCAGGTGCCCCACAGCATGCGATTCTTGATCTCAGGGTCTTGAGTTCAAGCGCCACGTTGGGTGTAGAGCTTACTTTAAATTAATTAATTACTTTAAAACATTTTTAGGGACCCCTGAGTGGCTCAGCGGTTGAGCACCTGCCTTTCGCTCAGGGCGTGATACCAAGATCTGGTATCAAGTCCCACATCAGTCTCCCTGCGTGGAGCCTGCTTCTCCTTCCTTTTCCTATGTCTTTGCCTCTCTCTATGTGTCTTTCATGAATAAATAAATAAAATCTTTCTTTAAAAAAACAACATTTTAAAAAGATTATTTGTTTGTTTATTTATTTATTTATTTATTTATTCAAGAGAGAGCGAGTAAAGGAAGGAGCAGAGGGAGAGGGACAAGCAGACTCCACACAGAGCACAGAGTCCAACTTGGGAGCTCGATCTCAGGACCCTGAGATCATGACCTGAGCCAAAATCAAGAGTCAGATGCTTACCTGCATGAGCTACCCAGGCACCCCTCAAAATTGTTTTAATTTGTATTTTCATGTGTTGAGTTCCTATGTCCCTCAAAAATGCATCTTCACTTGAGGTTCACCCAGTATATCAAAATGTAACCTTATTTGGGGATAGGGACTGTACAGAGGGAATCAAGTTAAAATGAGGTCATTAAGGATGGGCCCTAAGCCAATATGACTGGTGTCCTTATGAAAAGGGGAAATTTGGAGACAGGCTCAAATATAGGGAGAACACAATGTGAACCTGGAGACGGCCATAGATAAGTCAAAGGATGATACAAAGAACAGATTTTTTCACTCACAGCTCTCTGAAGGGACCAACCCTGCCAACACCTTGATCTGGGACCTTCAGCTTCCAGAACTGTGAGATAAAACATTTCTATTGTTTAAGCCAACCCAACTTGTGGTGCTTTGTATGGCAGTCCTAGCAAACTAAAACACTCTATGAATTGATTTTGTGACTCGCTATTGGCTTACCAACTGCCCCTTAAAGACCTCAAGTTTTTTATTTTATTTTATTCTAAAGATTTTACTCATTTATTCATGAGAGACACAGAGAGAGAGGCAGAGACAAGGGCAGAGGGAGAAGCAGGCTACCTTCGGGGAGCCCGATGTGGGACTCAATCCCGGGACTCTGGGATCATTCCCTGAGCCAAAGGCAGATGCTCAACCGCTGAGCCACCCAGGCATCCTTCTGGAGTAATCTATATGACCACCTGGTGGAATGGCAGGGCCCAGAGGATGGTGAGGCAAGCAAGGCACTCACTCCCAGGGTCACCCAAGAGGGAGTGTCATTACTAAAAGTCTAGGTAACCCTACAATTGCACAACCTGAAGAGGAGTGCCTCCTTGAGTTTTGCTAAACTGTTGTCTGCATTTAAGGGGTTGACACACAGTCACAAAAGTCTTACGTGGACTCGGATTTGCCTCTAAAGTCTATATCCATAAGAAATTAATCATTAATTAGTTCATTAATTCTAGGTTCTTCCATGACACCACAGTGTCCCCATTGGTGCAATCAGTTAAAGAGGATGGCAGTAAATATTGTTTTCCAACCAGCACTTGCTCCTCATCTTTTTACCCTGCAAAAGGAGCCAAAGTTAGAGACCTCATTCAATCCTCCCCTTCTCCTGCCAGAATTCAGGGGAACTTGGACCTTCTGAGACTCTTAGGAATTCAACCACTGTCTGTGGATGTCCGCAGGCGGAGTGGGCACCCGGGAACGTGTGTCTCGAGCACCCTTGTGCCCACACCGCAATCCCAGCATTGCTGGTCATACAAACCCATGGGCAGATTCCCTGCCTGCCATCTCCACCCCTGCTCTACAGCGTCTTCGGTTCACTGCCTTCCAGACACAGTGAACACGGAAACACACACACGCCTCAGATATCTCTGTCTTTGTGGCAGTATTATTAGTCCAGGACGCGGGACCCGTGTAGGAGGGAAGCCCGTCTGCCTTCCTCACATCTGGCTTATTCTGGCCCATACAGTAGTGCCTAACACTGCGTGCCAGGCATTGCTCTAAGCCTGCACGTATATCATCGTTATCTCAATCCCACAACCTTATGAGTTAAGACTATCATTTGCTCCATTTTACAGATGACAAAACTGAAACCCAAAGAGTAACGTGCTCAGAGTTGTGCAATTAGCAGCGTTGGCAGGATCTGAACCCAATCTGCCTATCTCCAGACTCCCAGTTGTTAACTGCTACTCTCTGCTGCCTGGCCGGGGCCCCTATGCACACGTGCACTCTTGCACACACATGCTCATCCACATGGGGAAGGAGAGGAGGGGGAGGGGGAGCTGGGGTCTAGGAGTCAGTTCAAGCACCAGGGGGCAGCATAGGTCTAGCTTTGGCCCCTCAGCCCAGCCTTGTTTAGGGAGGGAAGAGGGGAGTAGAAACCTCCTCCCATCTCCCGGGGGTGGGGGGTGCGGGGGGGGGGGCAGAGACACCCTTTCTATACATCTTGTCTCTCACATTTGGGGGCCCGGAGGCCTCTCTAGGCCCCTTGGCCTCCTTCGGCTCTTCCACGAGCAAAAGCTGCAAAAACCATCCACTAGTTCTGACGATGACTCAGAAGCTGAGCACGACTTGTGTTTGTGAGTTTGCGTCTCATTGTGACTGCTTGTGGCTCCGAGGGCTGACATGTCTGTGAGCGTGCCCCCACGTGTGTGTGCGTGGGGAGGGGGCAGGGAAGTTGTACATGCATGTGTTTGCTTCTGGGTGTGTCTCAGTGTTTACCACAGAAACAGGAACTTTGCCAAGGCTGCACAGCAGATTCCTACTCAAACTTGGCCCTTGGGAACCTGCAGGCAGCAGCTCCGGGTCGTGCTGGCACCCACCAGGGTCTGAGGAGTAGGACCCTGTAGGGAGGGGGCCGAGACGGTTTTCGGGGCAAGAAACTCCTCCTGGAGTCTTCCAGAATTCTGAGTTGTGGGGTTCCCTCCCCCACTGCCTTGCACCAGTGGTCACGCGACCTCAAGGGCTCCGCCGCCAGGGGAGGAGGACCTAGGCGTTCCAGGCAGCTCGGAGCTCCCTGGCTGCTTTTCAGGGTCCTCCACTGGAGGGAGCGCAGAGCCCAGAGGGATTTGCTTTTCCGGAGGCCCTGGGGTGCCCAGTTCCTCCTGAGCCCAGACCGCGGGGCCCTGCAAAAGTTCGAGTATGGGAGACACAGTGTGGGGCCACGGGGCTCTGTCTGGCACTAGGTGACTTTCTGGAGAAAAGTTAATCGCTTTTGAGGGGACGCAGTAAGTGGGGATCAGCCGCCCCGCCAGTCTGGTCCCAGGCCGGGAGCCCCAGCCCTGGCTGCCTCGACCCCGTGCTCCCCCACTCGGCACAGGAGGGCACACACGCTCACCCCACTTTCTTCCTCTTCCTCCTCCAGCCCACTTTCTCTTCTCTGTGTCGTCAGAGCTCCAGGGAGGGACCTGGTTAGACGGAGAAGCCGGAAACAGCGGGCTGGGGCGGCCAGTGCTTACACCGAGGAGGAAGGACGGGAGAGGTTGTGTGCGTGTGCGTGTGTGTGTGCGTGTGTGTGTGTGCGTGCGCTGCTCGGCGGTGGCGGTGGAGGGGGGTGCGAGCAGGGCCAGCCCGGAACCGCCGGACGGAGCTGCAGCCCCATGGGGCCTGGCGGTGGCCGCTGAGCCCGGGAGACGGCGGCAGGGGGGTTGCCAAGGTGAGGGCATGCCTCGAGGGCGGCGGGGGAGCTCCGGCGTCGGGCGGCCGGCCGGGCGGGCGGCCGGGCGGGCGGGCGGGGGTCCTCTCGGGCCTGCCTGGGCGGGGCGCGCGGGGCGCGGCGGCTGCTCCCCGGGGGGCCGGGCGGGCAGGCTTCAGCAGTCGGGGGGCCGCGGTGGGTAGGGCGCGCGCTCCCACCTCCCCGCGTGGGCCACTCTTCCACACCCCCGCCCCCGCCCCTCCAGGGCCCGCAGAGACGCGGAAAGGAGGGCAAGGAGGCGGCCCTGCGCCGGGGGAGGGGAGGCGGCTGCGGCCCGGGGCAGGGGGTCCTTGGCAAGCCCCTGCCAGTCCCCCAAAGCTCGGCGCCCAGGGCGTGGCTGGGGGTGAGCGAGCCCCAGACCTAGACCTCATGGTGCCCCGGGGAAGGGGGAATTTCCCCCTGAAAAGCGCTCCACGCTTGGCTGCTGTAGACGCCGAGGCTGCCCGGCGGCGGCGCGGCTCAGCCCTCCCCGCGCGGGAGGCTCCGCGCCCCCGCCCCGCCCCCGGCCCCGGCCCCGGCCCCGGCCCCGGCCCCCGCCCCCGCCCCGGCCCCCGCCCCGGCCCGGGCCCCGACCCCCCGCCCCCGGCCCCCGCCCCCGCCGGTCGCGCCGCTCCGAGGAGCGCTCTGGACTTTTGATCCTCGGGTCCCGCGGGCCGAGGGCTCGAGAACCGAGGGACCGAGGTGATGGGGTCGAGGCCACCAAGCGCGCTGGGGAGGACGGTGGCCGCGCGCGGCGCCTCCCCGGGTGGGCAGTGCTGGGGCGCGCTGGCCCCGCCCCTCCGCCGCGGCTCCTCCTCCCTGCGGGCCTGGGGGGCTCCGGCCGAGGGGGGCCGCCGCCCGGCCTTGCTTCAGGGTGGCCTCCGAGGTCTGGCGATGCAGGAGGGAGGCCAGGGCCTTGCCCGGAGAAGGCCTCGCCCGAGGAGCAAAGGGGGGTGTCACTCACTCAACCAGGGTGCAGACAGGAAGGGGGCGCTGCCTTCTGCTGGTGGGTTACCTCAGTCCCCACTGGGGTAGGGAGAGAGGGTCAAAGGGCTGAGCGCCTTGAGGGACAGGAGGGGAAGAGAGAAGAGAGGAGTGCAGTCCTCCCTCGAATCTGAAACACAGACCCACAGGTGCCCCGCTCCAGGGCGGGAGGTGGTAGGGAAAGGCCTGTTGGAAGACCCTGAGCCGCAGGGAAGATTCTGCTTTTGGTGGAAAAGAGACAGAGGGGCCAGAAGGTGGGGGGAGCAAGAGCCTCCAGAGAAGAGGCCCCTCTGTTCTCTATCCCTTTGGGCGTCTTGGGAGAGGGGAGGGGCTAAAAGCCCCACAGGAGGGCTTGGAGGTACAGGGTAGGGGGAGACTCAGGGACTTTCCATCCCCATCCTCTCTCTCCACTCTAAGAAAGGGGTATTATGGGAAACATGCCCTGAGAGACCCCTGGGAAAACTCTAGTCCACCCTCCTCACCCTGCAGCCCACCCAGAAATGAGACCGCAACCCCCTGCCCCGGCTTTCTCATCTCCTCCTTTCAACTATCTCCCTCTTTTCTCTTCTGCCCCTGGCCTGTAGCCCAGCCTCTAGCTTCCTCTTCCCAGCTTCTAGGCTCCTCAGCCCAGGCGTTTGCTAACCCTACTTTTTTTCCAGTCTCTCCCACCTTCTTCCCAAGTTCTCTCTGCTTCTCCCTCTCCTCCATCTCCACCTTGCTTCTTCAACTCTCCTCCCACAGCCCCTCCTCTTAGGGTGATGGCATCTGGATGTGGAAGGTGCCCACAGCACGGGGTTGGTTACTCCTTGGAATCAAGTCCTGATTTCCAAACTCACTTGCTCAGTGGACTTGGCAAGTTAGAGAACCTCCTCTAGACTCAATTTCTTCACCTATGAAAAGGCATAGTTATATATTTTAAAAATCACTGCAAAGCTATAGATAATAAGCTTTATGTAATGCCTCAGACATAGTAAGTGCTTAATTAATGGTAGCTATTAATGCTCTCCCATTCTCTTTCTCATCATCCAGCCTGGTAGTTTTCAAATTTTCTCGTGGAGCCCTGGGATTTTGAAGGGTTTCTCTAGGGACACCTTTGGGGTCAGGAGGTAGGGAGAGGGAAGTAGAAGCAGTAGAGTTCCAGGCCAACCACACTTGCTTTCAACAGAGAAACTCCCAGTTTTATACCTTTTATATAACTGGGATTCCACAGATTAAAAACCAAAATTGTCTACTACTTTAAAAATTTTTGGAAAGTTCTGCACTCCTCCAAGCCTCATATTTTATGAGATGAGAAGATCAAGGCTCACAGTGGGGAGGTTCCTTGCCCACGGAACCAGAGCCAGCTCAGAACTGCAATTCATGTCCTCAGCCTTCTCTCAGAGAGCTTTCCGTATTCTCCCCACCTCCTCTGTCTTCCCAGCCCTCTGGCTGCAGCTCAGCTCTTCCCACCCCATTCACCCCTTTGTCCACCACTGAAGGGATTACTTTGTTTCAGGCCTTGATTGAAGATGTCCCCGGTTTGAGATTGTCTGGCTGTGAGGGGTGGTGGGGATGGCCTCTGGGGTCTGGGGTCTGCAGGACGTTGCTGGCTGCCCCCAGAACATAGGCCAACTTTCTTGGGTGCCTCTCAGAGTGGCCTTGTTCCTTTCCAGAAGGCACCCTGCAAACCCTAGATCATGTCTCTGTGGAGTCTGGTCTCCAAGATGCCCCCAGAAAAACTGCAGCGGCTCTATGTCGACTTTCCCCAACACCTGCGGCATCTCCTGAGTGACTGGCTAGAGAACCAGCCCTGGTGAGTCCTATCTGCCCCATGCTCATCCTCCAGGTCCTCCCACTCACCTTCCCTCTCAGTAGGTTTTCTCTGTCCCATTTTGGGACTTGGGATGTGTTATTCCCTGCGTGGTGGCCTAGATTTAGTGGGGAGTCTGTGGCACACCAAACAGAAGTGCACATTGACACATGGAGTGGCCCCCCTGAGGAGCCTCAGCCAAAGAGGTTGGAGGTCGGGACTGGGGCAAGGGCACTTCCCATAGTAGCTGGAAAACAGGGGTGGGAAAAGGCCCAGTTGGAGGCTGTACGGGGCCTAGATGGAGGCTGTACGGGGCCTGGATGGAGACTGGGACTGGGAAGGAGCCGCTGAGCCTTTGCTGAGGCGCAGAAGATCAGTAGAGCTGAAGAAACCCTGACCTGAGGCCACCTCATCTTGATCTTCCCACAGGGAGTTCCTGGTCGGCTCAGACACCTTCTGCTGCAACATGGCTAGCGCCCTACTTTCCGCCACTGTCCAGCGTCTTCAGGCTTCAGCAGGGAAGCAGGGGGAGGGGAGCACCATCTTGCAACATATCAGCACCCTGGAGGTGGGGGTCGGGGATCAGGAGGGAAGGGGATGAGGCTGGGTGGGGCTGGAGTGGAGCTGGGGTCAGCCTTGGACACTGGAAGAAGTTGTTTGGATGCTGGAAGCAAATTGGTGTTCCCCTGGTTAGCTGTTAGCTAGCATGCAAATTGGGTTTTAAAAGCATGCAAATGCATGAAAACTTCTGGACTCTACAGCGGTGCTGCCCTTCGGAGTTGTGTGTGGTGTGCTCACGATTGGAGGGGAGGAGCGTGGATTGGAGGGGGAGGACATGGGTGAGAGCCAGCCTAACCCAGCCTGCCACTTTTCATTTCTCTAGAGCATATATCAAAGGGACCCCCTGAAGCTGGTGGCCACTTTTAGACAAATACTTCAAGGGGAGAAAAAAGCTGTTATGGAACAGGTAATGCTAATACCCCACCTCCCACCTCAGCTCATCTCCCTGGGACTTTAGCCTGAGCCATGAGAAACTAGAAGGAATTTGAACTTCAAGAAAGGCTTGATGTTTTAGGCCCAGGATGACCAAAGGAGGTTCTGGGGGTCAGAACGCCCCCCAAGCCACACTCAGGGAAATGTCAGAAGGAGGGACTGAAGGAAGAGAGGCCTGGGGAGGAGAGGGTAAGGGCTAAGAAGCTGATTCTGCCCGGAGAGAGTTCTATCCGTGAGAGATTCCAGGTCAGGGAGATCCTTCCAAGGCGGAAGGGAGCCAGACAAGAGAGGTAGTTTGTTTCCTTCTGGTGGAGCATGGCAGCAGGTACCCTTTTCGGGAGTGGAGGCCTAGTGTAGACGGATGGACAGAGTATCTCACCTCTGGGCGTCTGTCCCTCCCATGCAGTTCCGTCACCTGCCAATGCCCTTCCACTGGAAGCAGGAGGAACTGAAGTTTAACACAGCACTGCAAAGGCTGCAGCACCGGGTGGGGGAAACTCGCCTTCTCCGAGAAGCCTTGCAGCCAGGGGCTGAGGCTGGCCAAGGTGGGAGCTCGGGGCTGGCCCCCTAAGAGGGTTCTGGGGAGTGGGTGGGTAGGATGCCCTCTTGGCCCTTACCCTTGACTGAACCTCAAATTTATGTGTACCCCGGATTTCTGCCCTCACCCTCAGTGTCTCTGCGCAGCCTGATAGATGCTCCTGCCAATGGAACTGGGCCAAGGGAGGTACGTGATGAATGGGGAGGTGGAATTTGAGCTCAGAGCACAGTGCTTGAGGGATCTCAACTCTGTGGAGGGATGGAGATTAGGTGTCAGAGAGATACCAGTTCGGTGGGGTAGGGGACAGTCTGAGGGCCTGAGCAGTGGGAAAGAGGCCTGCCCTCAGGGGCCGGGTGAGGAGCCCTGGCTCAGGCCTCCCCTGCCCGCAGGCCCTGGCCACATTGCTGCAGGAGACTGTTGGGGAGCTGGAGGCAGCCCAGGCCCTGGTGCTGAAGAGGATCCAGATTTGGAAGCGGCAGCAGCAGCTGGCAGGGAATGGCGCACCCTTTGAGGAAAGCCTGGCACCACTACAAGAGAGGTTGGGGCAAGACTAACAGGATTGGAGGGCGGGCTGGGGGCGAGTGCCTGCTGTCCCTGCTGGAGGACCCACAGGTGTGAGAGATAAACCAGGCAAACAGGTCTTGGCATGGCCAAGACTCAGAGAAGCCAATCCCAGCAGGGCCGTGCTCACTGTCGTCAGGTCACAGCCTGCACAAGTGTGCCCAGGGCCCGGGGTGTGAGCGGGAGCTCATCCGGCCCATGCTTTTCTCTTCAAGCCCCTTGCCCAGAGGAATGGGAAGCCTTTTCCTATTTGGTCTGTTGGGTGGAGGCATCTTTCAATTTGCGCAAAAGTACCATATGCGCTGGCAGCTGACCTGGGTACCAGAGTCCTGGGGAAGAGGCAGCTGGGTTTCTGCAGGGGTCCAGGCACAGAGAAGGAACCTCACACCCAGAGTCAAGGCAGGTTCCTTAGCTCCTTCAGCCCAGGTGACTTGCAGCCACGCCTACTGCACATTCCACCCCTCAGCGTACACTATCCTGCTTTCTTTCTGGGTTTAGGGGCAGGGGGTTTGTGCTGGAGCGGGCAGCCTGAGCTCTGTGCCCCCTGACCACTGTCCTGGCCCCAGGTGTGAGAGCCTGGTGGACATCTATTCTCAGCTGCAGCAGGAGGTGGGGGCGGCTGGTGGGGAGCTTGAGCCCAAGGCCCGGGCGGTGCTGAGCAGCCGGCTGGATGAAGTCCTGCGAAGCCTCGTTACCAGGTATGCCCGCAGGCCCCCAGCCTGGCTTAGAGCACAGCCCATGGAAGGAAGAGGGTTAGAGCTGTGGGAAGGAAGGGTACCAGGAGGGGCCCAGCCACTAACTCCCCCGGGGTCTTCACTCCATCCAGCTCTTTCCTGGTAGAGAAGCAGCCCCCCCAGGTTCTGAAGACTCAGACCAAGTTCCAGGCTGGGGTTCGATTCTTACTGGGTCTGCGGTTCCTGGGGGCCCCCGCCAAGCCTCCGCTGGTCAGGGCAGACATGGTGACTGAGAAGCAAGCAAGGGAGCTGAGCATGCCCCAGGGGCCGGGGGCTGGAGCGTAAGCCGGGGCTGGCGGATGCCTGTGGGGTCGGTGGAGGCCGGAGGAGCCTGGGGGGGTGGGTACCACGAAGGGCAGGGTGATGAGGAGGGAGGGCCAGGGGGTTTGTGGATCCTGGATGTCTAGGCAGAGGAAAGGAAGGACCCAAAAGGGCTGGAATGGGATGGGGAATCATGATTCGGCCACGATGGGGACTCTCCTTAAGAATCCACACGGGGAGATGGAGACTTGGGGCCGTAGTTCCTGCCTCTCACCCCTGGACGCAGGCTCCTCCCATACCTGGCCCCCTCCCCCTCCCCCCCAGGGAAAGCACCGGGGAAATCATCAACAACACGGTGGCCCTGGAGAACAGCATTCCTGGGAACTGCTGCTCGGCCCTGTTCAAGAACCTGGTGAGGGCTTCCGGGAGCAGTGGTGGTGAAGAGGGGGGCAGGGCTCCCCAGATGAGGGACGGCGTCAAGAGGCTGTTGGGAACCCAGGAGAAACCCTCTGTCCTCACCCCTGCTCTCCTTCGCTGCCCCCCTGCAGCTTCTGAAGAAGATCAAGCGCTGTGAGCGGAAGGGCACCGAGTCGGTCACGGAGGAGAAGTGCGCCGTGCTCTTCTCCACCAGCCTCGCGCTCGGCCCCAACAAACTCCCCGTCCAGCTCCAGGTGAGCTGGGCCCTGGACCTCCTCACTCCTCAGGAAAGCCCTGGGGCCCGAGGCGTCGCGGTGTGGCGGTGCCTGGCACTTAGTGGACATTTGTTATAGACCAGGGCAGTGTTTTAAGTGTCTCTCCCTCTCTCTCTCTCACCGCACATACACACAGAATTTGCACACTAACATTATGAGGTAAGTACTGTTATTAGCTCCATTTTACACATGAGTCCACTGAAACACAGAGAGGTTGCATAGTTTGCCCAGGTCACATAGCCGCCAGGTGTTGGAGCTGGTGTTTGAAACCTGGAGGTCTGGCTCTGAAGCGCTGACTCACAACCGCTTCCCTACAGTAAGGCCCTAATCTGCTTCAGAGATCCCTTGATGATACACCGGCAGCTTTTAACTATGTCGTGGGAATCCAGTAGCTTCCCTGCATTCTCAGAGCCAGCCCCCCCGCCCCCCAGGAAGCCCCTTGATCCAGTAAGAAGATCCCCCTGTTCTCACCCTGCCAGGCCCTGTCTCTGCCCCTGGTGGTCATTGTCCACGGCAACCAGGACAACAATGCCAAAGCCACCATCTTGTGGGACAATGCCTTCTCTGAGATGGTGAGGAAAGACCTGGAGTGGCAGTGGGGGGATGGAGGGACGGAGGGAGGGAGGGGAGGAACAGGGGCAAGGTGGGCTCTACTGTGGGGGGAGGCGGAGGGCCTCTGATCAAATGGGAGCGACCACAACTCCTTCCTTCCTCATACTCTCTAACCTCATGCTTTTATACTTTGGACCTCTTCTCATGCCAGTCTTAGCAGCTAGCATGTTGTAGCCCCCTAAACTGTTTTTGGAGAAGCACCATGTTTGTGAGCGAGCTGGGGGTGGGGGGCGGGGGGAGGGTAATGCCTGGGAAGGGCAGCTCTGGAGAGGCAGGAGGGATGAAGGCCCCTCCAGAGGAGGAGGGACATTGATAGCCTGAAGTGCCCCATCCTTCCCGCTTCACCCCAGGACCGTGTGCCCTTTGTGGTAGCTGAGAGGGTGCCCTGGGAGAAGATGTGTGAAACTCTGAACCTCAAGTTCATGGCCGAAGTGGGGACCAATCGGGGGCTACTCCCAGAGCACTTCCTCTTCCTAGCCCAGAAGATCTTCAATGACAACAGTCTCAGCATGGAGGCCTTCCAGCACCGCTCTGTGTCCTGGTCACAGTTCAACAAGGTCATTCCCCTGCTGTTCGGACCTCCTGCCCCTAAGCTCTTTGTCCCTGAGGCGCTCAGGGCCTTCCCATCCTGGTCCAGAGATTGGCCGCTGGGGTCTTCACAAAGGCCCATCATGTCCACCAGGGAGGCCTCTGTCACCCCCGGCAGGGAAAACCCTTCAGCCCGGCCGATAAGCCCAGAGACATCCCTCATGTTTTGGACCCGGGGCCCTCTGTCCTCCTTCTTTACCAGTGACTTGCATGACTCATCCAGATTGTGTGTAAACACAGCTCTGATTCAAAATGACTTTGACCCATCAGGAAAATCGTTCCTATTGCAAAAACCAGGATGAAATCCCACAGGGACATACACAGTAATACCAGCTACCATGTGCTGACACCTTATATACGCCAGGCACTTTAATGTCTAGGACTTTGTGTGTGTTCTCTCACTTACCCCTCCCAACATCCTTTTGGGGTAGGTACTAGTATTATCCCCATTTTACAGGCAAGGAGCGTGATGCTCAGAGGGGTTAAGTAGTTTGTCAAACATTCTATCCCACCCCAGCAGGTGAGGCTGAGATAGAACCCCATATTTCTTGCTCTTAGCTACCCTATTTTACTGCCTCCAAAATGAGGTGGCTCAGAATCGGGTCTGTTACAAGAAATGGGGGTGGGGGCGGGGAAGATCTGAATGTCGCGGTTGATAACCAGCTGGGTAAATCAGTCAGGTACTGCTTGCTCTCTTAGTAAAAGAAAGAAAAGTCAAAAAAAAAAAAAAAAAAAAAGAAAGAAAGAAAGAAAGAAAGAAAGAAAGAAAGAAAGAAAGAAAGAAAAGTCTACATGACCGTAGAACATGTTAGCAAAGGGAGCAGGACACTCACACTTGGCAAACTACCTTCTCTGGACTCCAATTCCACGAGGCCTAATTAACGATGGGTGGAGCACAGCTCTAATGAGGGACTCTGGCCTGGACTTTCTGGGCTACATCCCAGCTCTGCCTGTCACCAGCTGTGTAGACCTGGGCAATTACTTGACCTTTCTGGGCTTTCGTTTCTTCATTCGTAAGGTGGAATACATATAGGACCTACTTCCAGAGGCTCCTAAAGGTCAGATAAATTAATTAATGGAAAGGGCTTGGAGTACGGCCTGGTGCGTTAAACGAGAGGATTGGCCATTGTCATCGATGAGATCTCAGATCCCGTTTGGTCCTTCAGCTCTGTGACTCTGTTGCGTGGGCCCTCACAGCCCAGTGCTCTAAGTAGACCCTAGCTCTGGTCCTCCTGTGTTCACACTAGCTCCCCCCCATTCCCCAGGAGATCCTGCTGGGTCGTGGCTTCACCTTTTGGCAGTGGTTTGATGGTGTCCTGGACCTCACCAAGCGCTGTCTCCGGAGCTACTGGTCAGATCGGTGAGTCCCTGCCCCAATGGCCCAAGCAGCTGTACCTCTAGCTCCTCCACAGCCAGGATCCCTACCCTCCATCCTCTCCTTCATCCTGGCCAGGCTGATCATTGGCTTCATCAGCAAACAGTACGTCACTAGCCTTCTTCTCAATGAGCCTGATGGAACATTCCTCCTTCGCTTCAGTGACTCAGAGATTGGGGGCATCACCATTGCCCATGTCATCCGGGGCCAGGATGGTGAGGTCACCCCAGCCGGTCTTCTGTTTCTGTGCCTGTGCCCTCTGGGGTTTCTTCTGGGAAGGAAATATCTTGGCCTTCCTTGATGCCAAGCCTGATCTTCAGGATCCACCTTCTTTCCTCTCTTCTGCGGCCTACCTTCTCGTTGTGAGCTCTGTGGGGATGGAGATGGGTGGGTCTCTCTCCCCAGGACTCCCACCCTCGCTCTCCTCTTCCTCACCTTGGTAGATTGAGAGTGGGTCCTGTAGAGGGGCTGGATGGGGGAAAGAATGTCTGGACAGAGGGGCTCAGGCCCTCTCATTCCTACTGTAGGCTCCCCACAGATAGAGAACATCCAGCCATTTTCTGCCAAAGACCTATCCATTCGTTCACTGGGAGACCGAATCCGGGACCTTGCTCAGCTCAAAAACCTCTACCCTAAGAAACCCAAGGACGAAGCTTTCCGGAGCCACTACAAGCGTGAGCTGGGGCTGGCAGTTCTGAACCTTTCCTCTGCCCATCTCTTCCATACCGCCCCTCCCCCTACACACTGTATGTCATCCCCGGCTCACCTCTCCGTTTTCGGAGCCCTGTTTGTCCAACTTGCCCATCAGCTATGCCCACTTTTCCCACATCCCTTCCTCCCCAGTCCCGGGGCACTCCATGGCTCTCCTTTCCTCCCCACAACAGCTGAACAGATGGGTAAGGATGGCAGGGGTTACGTCCCAGCTACCATCAAGATGACTGTGGAAAGGTGAGCGTGGTGCTGTGGTGGGCGGTTGTGCCTGGTACTAGTTACTGGAAGAAGTGGTGGCATCAACCCTTGGTCAGTCACACATACCTCCTTCCCTCCTCCAGGGACCAGCCACTTCCTACCCTGGAGCCCCAAATGCCTACCATGGTGCCCACTTACGATCTTGGAATGGCCACTGAGTCCTCCATGAATATGCAGCTCAGCCCAGATATGGTGTAAGGAGCTTGAGGGACAGGAATGGGAGTGGTCTGTGCACACAGGTGCTTAGCATGGGCAGCTGGGAGAGCTGGCATCGGGGGCTGGGAGGGAATTTCCTTTTCTGTGAAAGGGATTCCCTATCTTGAGGCAGGGGGTTGGGGGTGTCCAGGAAAAGGGCTGGCATCAGGGGGGGTCTGCTTTCTTTCCCCAGGTCCCAGGTGTACCCACCACACTCTCACTCCATGCCCTCATTCCAACCCCTCTCCAGGGAAGATGTGTTGCCAACCTTCCAGGAGTAAGTGGAAGAACCTTTTAGGGAGGGGACAAGGATATCCACCCCCAAGGGGGATGGGCATTTGCATTTGTTAGGAGAGGCTCCTCTGTGAGAAAGGGGCAGGGAAAGGCCAGCACTGTCTCTCTTCTGTCCACCCCACTGAGATGTTAGTGGTTAAGTGTAAGTGGTTAAGATAAGTCCAGACTTAGCCAGGTTCAAATTCCAGCTCCACCACTTACTGACTTTGGCCAAGTTGCCTACCTCTGATGCCTCATCTGCCAAATGGGGAATACTGATAGTAACACTACTAATACCTTCCTTGGGGATTATTGTGAAGGTTAATTGAGTTCGTGATACCTGTAAAGCTCATAGCAAGAGCTATGTTAAGAATTAACATGACCTCTTTTGCCCTTGAAATCCACTGTCATTTATCTGCTGTCTGGATTTTTATTTATTCATCTGTTTTGGCCTTGAAGTGGTCTAGACATTTTTCTTCCCCAAGTAACACTTTTATTATAACCGCAGGTGCTTATTAAAACGCGTAGATAAGGCACGACATCTCCCCTCCTGGGAGTTGAGGTAGGGAGGAGACTGGGGTGCTTAAAACCACCGGAGTCCAAAGAAACATTAGAAATTAGCTAATTCAGGGGTGCCTGGGTGGCTCAGGCGGTTAAGCATCTGACACTTGGTTTAAGCTCAGGTCATGATCTCAGGGTCATGATCTCAGGGTCATGATCTCAGGGTCATGGGATCAAGTCCCACAGAGAGCCTCCTCCCCCCTCCCCCCCCAGCAGGGAGTCTGCTTCTCTCCCTCTCCCTCTGCTCCCCCCAAATTATAAAGAAATTTGCTAATTCAGCCCTCCTCTCCTCCCCCAGTCCAATCCCCAACACATACACATTTTACAGATGAGAAGACTGAGCCCCCACGGCTCACCCAAGACTATACAGTCAAGAAAAGGAACTGGAAATTGTTGCCGTATTCAGTGACCTTGATTTTGCAAAACTGTGCCCTTGCCTAGCCTTCCTTTCTCTGACTGTGCCCTCTTTCCTGTTTCCAGATCTCACCTGCAGATGCCCCCCAACCTGAGCCAGATAAACCTGCCCTTTGACCAACCTCACCCTCAGTGAGTGACAGCACCCCTCCTGGCCCCGTGCTCCCCATTCCTTCCCAGCCTTCTCCCTCCTGCATCTTAATTCCTTTTCTGGTCTTGGCAGGGGCCTCCTCCCATGCCAGTCTCAGGAGCATGCCGTGTCCACTCCTGAGCCCCTGCTCTGCTCAGATGTGCCCATGACAGAAGACAGCTGCCTGAGCCAGCCGGTGGGAGGGTTCCCTCAGAGCACCTGGTGAGTGGCCGCCTGGGGGTGTTGGCTGGGTGGGGGCTGAAGGAGTGGGTGCCATACCCACCCTATTGCTTCTCCCCTTCTTCCTCGCAGGGTCGGTGAAGACATGTTCCCACCCTTGCTGCCTCCTACTGAACAGGACCTCACCAAGCTTCTCCTGGAGGGGCAAGGGGAATCAGGGGGAGGGTCCTTGGGAACCCAGCCCCTCCTGCAGCCCTCTCACTATGGGCAGTCTGGGATCTCAATGTCCCATCTGGACCTAAGGGCCAACCCTAGCTGGTGATACCAGCTGCAAAGAGAGCCCAGAGACACAGCTCTTCTATCCCCACGGACCTGCTCAGGACACCTACCCATGCTCCTGCCAAGCAGCAGATGGGGAGAGTGTCCTCCTATCCCCACCTACTCCCTGGGCAGGAGGAAAAGACTGCCAGGAAAATGCAGTGGGTGGAGCCTATCCACTCCTTTCCTCCTACCACACACCTCTGTCCTCCCCCTTCCAACGCTGGAAGGGAAATTCAGGTTCCAAAGTGAGACACGCCCCAACACGCCTGCACACGCAGCACACACACGCAGCTCTCCCTGGAAGATGGGGCTGAGTAGGAAAGGGGCTGGGCAAGAGCACAGGTGAGGGCTCGGAGGAGGACTTCTCCGCTCACCTCGGACAGAGCCCAGGACACACATGTAGAAACACGCAGACACGTGCACACATTTGTACTAGAGGTTGGGGACTGAGGGATGGGCTCAGGTCCCAGCCGGGGTGGGGGGCGGAGGGATGGAGAAGCAGTTTGGAGCCTGGGTTGGCGGAGGTGGCGAAATCTGTACACTCGGGTTACTGATGTGGGTAATGCCCAGATTAAAAAACAAATTTCAAACAGCCCCAAATTCCTGTCAGGTCACATGTAGGAGATGGCGCAGAAGCCCAAGGGCTGCGCTTCACGGCCAGCTGGGTGAAAGCGCGTGAACTTGAGCGAGGTCACACACGTTAGTCGTTAGGGCCACAAAAAACCTGTATCTATGTGATCTCGCCTGTGTGACTACACAAGTTTGGAAATGTGAAACACTGCACAAGACACCGGCGAGTGTGCGGGCTTCTCTGATGCACGCTAACCCACATGTACTCGGCTTTGGTATGACTGTGGCCCCGGTGGGTCTACCCGGCCGTGACATCTGTATGTGGCTCTAGCTTTGGTACCTCAACACGCCAATCCTCCCCAGAGGCAGGGGGTGAGTCGGGGACCCAGGCCCAGGTGTTTGGTCCTCTGAGTGTATGAGGGGGCCCTACCTGCTGCTGCTTTTCTATTTCCCCATCCACTGCCAGCTTCCCTCCACACCCCCATCCCCATGCCACCCTTTCTCCCCTGGGGGGGGGTCATCGATCCTAAGCCATAAAATAAATTTTATTCCAAAATAACAAAATAAATAATCTACTGTACACGATCTGAAAAGAAAGACGCTCTAACTGCTCAGACAGGTGCTGCGGTCCAGTCCCCAGCTGCGGGAGACCCTGAGTCCAACCCAGGCCTCCTGAGGGGGCCGGTCGAGGGGACCCCGCATCCACCCTCCCCGTCATCCCCAGAAAGGGCAGGAGGGAAAAAGTTGCTGAGGACTTGAGGGAAAGATGGTGATAGGTGGGCACACCGCAGCACTTGTTAAATTAAAGAAACAAACTAGAAGCACAAAAATGGGGGAGCAGAGGGGAGGAGCAGGTCCAGTGTTCCCAGGCCCCCAGTTGTGGGGGGAAGCATTGCCATGTTTAGCTGTTGGACCTTACCAGGGAAGTCCCCTTTTCCCCCATGTCCAAACTGAATCCAACTGCTCATACCACTGGTTGAAGCTACGGAGAATGGGAGTGTGTTGTGTAAGGGAGGGGAGAACCCCAAATACCCTGGAGCCAGAGTCCTTGCCCCCTTGCTCTGGGCAAGGGTGAAGGGGCACCACGCACCCTCCTTGTGTCCTCTTGCCAGGCCCCTGCTCGTTATTGCTTGAAGCCCCATAGTTCTACGCCCATGGAGCAGGTGGGGAGGCAGGAGAAGGGCAGCAGAAGGATCCAGGGTTGTGACTAGATGCCAGGGATGGAGAACGTAGGAGTCTGTGTGAGCCAGAAGTCCGAGTCCTGGGTCTGAGGCCACCAGTGTATCCCTCACTGCCGGCTGGCCTCAGCCTCCACTTTGACGCTGCTTCTGCGACCTTCCACCAGAGCAGGATGGGGTCCCGGGGCCGGGCATCGGTCCAGCAGCCCTTCCTCGAACTCTGTGGGGAGAAGGGGTAGGCAGGTCAGGAGGCTGCGGGGTAGACAATGCAGAGAGGTGGCTGGACAGAAGGCAGGAGCAGAGGAGACCGCGAAGACCCACTGGATGTGAATGACTGCCTCCTGCCCACCGCACGCTTACAGGTGTGGGGGGGTTCGGTAGCCAAGTGTGTGCATCCCCCTCCCATCTCTGGCTGTGTGTAGTGCTCTCTATGTGTCTCTCTCCTTCTCTGTCTCTCCCGCCTCCGTTCTGCTGGAATTTCTGGTTCTGTCAGGAGCTGTGGGGGTGGCTTGGCTCTGACCTCTCCCCCTCCCCCCTCCCAGGCTCTGCCGCCCCCACTCATCCCTGGCCCCCTCCCAGGCCCCACCTACCCTACCATGCCCCTCCAATTTCTTAGAAGCCAAATCAAGGGGGAACACAGGAAGCCAGCCTCCCAGCTCCTCCCCCAAGAAGAGCCCCCCTTCCAGTCCCCACCCCCACTTCCCACCCACGCACAGTTTAAAAATACCAAGCCAGGGTTGGTGGCTTTGTCTGCTGCATCACTCTCAGCCCAGCCGCTCTGGCCCTCTGGCGGACTACTCCCTTCCCCCATCCACACACAAAGCATCCCCCTTTGGGCTCCTCTCTACTTCCATCCAAGCTAGGCAACCCCACCCTAAGGCTTCCTCTACTCTCCCCTTCCCTCTCAGAGGCAGTTCTACCTCCACTTCCCTTGTTGGTGACCTCCCTTTCTGTTCCCCTCGTCCCCCATTTTCTGTTCCCGTTCACCCTAGTGCCCCCTTCACAGATCTCCATTAGGATCAGCCTCTCCCCAGTGGGAACTGCCCTGCAGGATCCTCCTTTCCTCACCCAAGGCCTGAGTGGCTGAAGCCCAACCATCCTACTGCCTGCTTTCTCTGACTACATCCCTCTTCCTCCCACCTGGCCCCAGGACACCAGGATTGCCGGGTGGGGCCTAGGTGGTAGGGGTGCTTGGGGACAGCACTGCTGCTGCCTCACCTGCGAGAGGCGGCTTCGCAGGCACACAGGGGCTGAGGCGGCCCACGCGGTCGTGGGAGACGAGGCGGGCTAGCCGCAGCCCCTCATCCATCAGTGTCTGCTGCAGGATGTGGCGGCTCCACAGCCCATGGGCTGGCAATGCCAGAGGCAGGTCAGCAGGGGGCGGCGTCAGCCTTGGGCATGACCCCACAGCTGTGGGCATGGGCATGGATCAGGTAAGGGACTACAGTCAACGGAACCCCCACCCTCAACCGCAAAGCAGACCCATTGGCCCAGGCCCCGTTGCCCCCATCCAGCCGGGCCTCCCAACCCTGTTCCAAGCAGTTGCCTCCTGGCTCCTTCCTCCCACCTACTCCACCCCCAGAGTGAGAAGAAAAGTGTTCTGATGCACACTCACCCTGCAAGTGTCCATCAAGACTCTCCCCAGACAGGCTGGCGCTGTCTTCCTCCAGGCTGGGGCGGTATGGGGGTGCATAGGACTCGGGGCCTGGGGGAGGCTGCTGGAGTTCAGAATGACTTTGCTCTCCAACCTGTGGATGCCCCAAATGGGGAAATGAGGACCTAGCATGGGAGGGGGTTGAGGGATGCTGCACTAACCCCCTGCGGCCACCCTGGAAACCTACCTCCTGTTTTAACTTCTTCAGTGGAGGGCCTCCCAGTTCTTCGGGGTGAAGCCTGCGAAGACCAGAGCAATAAGGAAGGTGAAGCTGGGGAGGGAGACACAATGGGCGGAACGCAGAACTGGGTGAGGAGCACACGTTATCTCAAGACTCCAGGAGTCTGCAGACCTCAGACGAGCGGGCTTGGCGAAAGCAGGACAGGACGTACAGGTGGGTAGGAATAAGGCCTAGATGCACCCAAGCAGCAGATGAGGCTGTGACCCGCTCCTTGACAGAATCCTAACCTAGGAAGGACCTGGAAAAGAGAGTCTCACCTGGAGCCCTTCAAGGAGGACAGGTAGGTGCTCTCTCGGGCCACTTGGCGTGACAGGGAGAAGAGCTCCACCCTCCGCAGTAAGAGCGTGTTGTCCCTCATGCAGAACTGGGCAGCGGCTTCGTTGATGGTCAGCTGTGGAGAGAGCCACCCGAGCGTCAGAATCCTGACTCCCCACTGCCTCGCCCAGATCTCCTCACACCCTTCACCATCGGACAACGAAGCCCACCCCTCAGGTGTTGCTGAGGATGATAGTACGTGGCTTCCGGAAGGACCAAGACGGAGGCCAGCACCCACGGCTTCCTAGGAACGCTGGGAGCCCCCTCCACCTGTGGGGTCCTGAGGAGCACAGAGCAGGACACCCGGGCTCTCGCCTGCACCTCTGCATCCCCCTTAGTTGAGGAGGGCAGCACTGCAGTGGCTGGGGTTGGGCCGTTGGGGTGGGGGGCGTGGGGTCCTGGTCAAGAGGCAGTGAAACAGACCTGGGAAGTGGGAAGATTCTCTAAGGCAAATAGGCTGAGACCTGGGGGCCGAGCGCAATACTGCCTGGGGTCCTCACCTCATGCAGGCTAAGCTGCTTGCCCTCCCTCCGTTTGGAGTCAAAACGGCCATAAATGATGCTGTATTTGCGGATCTCCTCCTCCTTCTGGCTGTCGTTATCGTCCATCTCAAAGATGTGCCCTACGCTCCGAGCCAGCTTCTTGTTCAGCTTCAGCAGGGACGTTACCTCCCCTGCGTCCCCCCTGGGAAGCTCCGGAAGATCCTCTCCACACTCTCCACCACCATGCGCACCATCTCCGGTTCCAGTCGATCTGGGCCACCCCCAGCCCCGGCTGCTGCCAGCCCCCCAGCCCCAGTCCCCTCAGGGACTCCTCCCCCTGCAGGTGGGGAGAAGGGGGGTGAGCCTGCCTCCTCTTCTCCTCCCGCCCCAACGTCGGACTCTGGAGTGCTCCGTCCTGGCCAGATCCGGGGGTCTCCTGCCCCAGGTCCCCCAGGCAGCGGTGACAGCTTCTCTCCAAGTTCAAGGGGGCTCTTGGGGCTGAAACTGCGGGCACTGCCTGCCTTTTCCCCTGGGCTGCTGTGCCCGTTGCTCATGCTCCCTTTCCGGGTGCCTGCAGTCTCGGAGATCTTGAAAAGTGGAATACTGGAAACAGGCACAGCAGGCACAGGCTGGCTGAAGAGCCCTGGGTTGGTGGCCCATTCTCTCAGGGCCTTCTGCAGGCGTCGGACATGGAGCGGCTTGGTGGCCATGCCCACAAGGGCCATAATCTCCAGGAACTCCTCCTCACCGGCCTCGCACAGTTGCTGCACGTCGTCCCCTCCCTGCTGGATGAAGGTCTCATAGTAGGAAAGCAGATTGGCGCGCTGCAGGACCCGGTACAGCTGCAGCTCCCCCAGTGTCCGAGGCAGTGCCATGGCTCGGGCACTGGGCCTGGAAAGGAGGAGTGCGGTAGAGAGGAAGGCAGTCAGTACAGGTCCCCCTGCTGGGTACCCACCCAACACTCGCCTGCATCCTCTTCCCTGCCTGCTTCTCATCCCCCTCCTCTGAAGGCTCGCTCCGCCGGATACCCAAGCTTGAGCACAGACTATGAGGACTGGGCATTACCCAGAGACAGAAACACCCCAGTGCCACCCCAGACTGGCCACAAGTCAGCCCAGTCTAGGCTGAACCCAAAGACTCTTTGCTACCATTCTCAGTTTTTACTTTTCTGCCTTGGGGCAAGGAGACCAGGAGCACTGAGGCCAGCCACCGCGCCCCCCGGGATGGCTGGGCCTCCTCCTCCCCTCAGCACGGGTCTTCACCCTCCGCCCTAAACACCCGGCAGTCCCACCATTACTCAAGGTGACTTTCCAAATTGAAGTGCACGTAGGACCCCGTGTCCTCCCCACAGTGGGCTCCTGAGACCACTGCCGGCCAGTTTCACTGCCTGGTGGCATCCTACCCAGGTGGCTGCGAGGGAGGGGTGTGGCCCTTTCCCACTCGGCGAGCCCGGCTGCGCTCCCCTGAGCTGCTCCCCTGACTGCTCGGGCCCTCCCCTCCCTGTCCGGGCTGCCCAGGGCCCCTCCGAGGGCCCCTCTCCCGGCAGTGACCCTCCCCACCTGCTGGGTAGGTAGGCCGGTCCCTTCGGCTCAGGCTCGGCCGGGAGGAGTGCCTCAATTGTTCTGCTCTGGGGCCGTTCCGCCCACGCACACTCCTACAGTGGCAGCGTCCGTGGGCGAAAACCGCCTGGGGGCTCCCACCTCCCTCCTCTCCCTCATTTTCCACCCACACCTCCAAGTGGAGCGGGGGAGAGGCTCGAGGCCCCCGAGGGAGGCGCTGCACACCGAAACTCCCCTCCGCGGGCCGTAAATAAAGCTACAGAGAGGAGAAGGGGCGCCTACGGCCAGCCCCGCGTCTCCACGGCCCTGCGGATGCTCCGGGGCTGGGGCTGGGGCTCGGGCTCGGGCTCGGCGGCGCCGCTCCTCCCGGACCCTGGGGCCCGCGCACTCCGTACCGACGGAGAGCGGGGCGCTCGGCGGCCCTCCCCGGCCCCGTGGCCGGCCAGAGCTCCAGGACTTCCCCTGGCGCTCGGGGGCCCCCACATTGCTTGCAAGGGGTTCACGCGCCAGACCGCGGCGGCCGAGAAAAGGGGGATGGAGAATTAGGTCTCACTGTTTCACATCCAGCTTCACCCGCTCCCTCCCTGCTCCCCGGGCCCCCTAATTCGAAGACGCACCCCCTTTTCAAGCAGTCTCCACCCCCCACCCCCGTCCCGCTTCCCCTCCCGTCTCCCCGACCTCCGCCCTCCGGACCCCTTCCCGAGCCCGGCTCCACCCATCTCCACTCCCGCCGCTCCCCTCTGCCCACTAACTTGGGTCTGGGCTGCGGGGTCCGGCGGGCGCTGTCCCCTCCGCCCGGCGGCTGCTCGGCTGTGGGGGAGGGCGCCCTGCGCATGGACGGCCGGCGGCCGCAGGCTGCCCCTCTCGGTGCCCCGCGCTCGGCGCCTGGCGCGCGCTGCCGCGGCCGCGGTCCGGGCTCCGTCCCTCCCTCCACGTCTCCTCTCGGCGAGCCTCCGCGCCTCTGTGCCTCGGCCCCCCCCTCCCCGGCTGCGCCTGCCGCCTCTCCGCGCCGCCGCCCCCGCAGGACGCACGGGGAGCGAGGCCCGGCGCTGCGCTGGCTGCCGGGCGGGCGGAGGGCGTGGGCAGCGCCGGGGGCGGGCGCCGGGGGCGGGGGGCGGGCGCCCGGGCCTCCGGGCCGCGGTGCAGGCACCGCGGCGGAGCGACGGCGGGAGGCGGGGCCGGGGGGAGGGGGCGTGGAGCGGGGGGCGGGGGGCCGGGGGGGCCGGGGCCGGGCCGCGGGGGGCGGGGCGAGGTCGCGCGGTGCCGCCCCCGCCGGATGCGCAGCCGGCCCTCTCCGCGCCCACGGACCCACGTGAGCGCCCAGCCGGCGACATTCCTACCCCCCGCCGCCCGCTCCTACCCCGGGGCGGGGAGCGGACTTCCACCGCCACGCGCGGGCACACGGAACACGGAGAGGCGCACACGCGCGCACACGGCAGGGAGCCGGGGAGAGCTGGCGGGCTCGGGTGCGCCCGTCGGCTGCCCGCGTGCGCGCGGGGCTCGGCAGGAATCCCCCGCTGCGACGGGCGGCCTCGCGAGGGCGGCCCTCGGGGGCCCGGGCCTCCAGCCCTGCTCGCCTCCCGGCCGGCGCTCGGGGCGCAGGAGCGGGCGGGCCGTGCTCGCGGCTGCCGCGCCGGGCGGTCGGGGGCCAGGCGGTGGGAGGGCTTCCCCTCCTGCCTCCGCGCGTCGCCCCTTTTTTGCTCCGCGGAATTCTGTGGCAAGGCCGCGACGGGGAGGATGGCCCTTCCGCGGATGTTTTTAGGGGACCGACTGCGCTCCAGAGAGTCTAACGGAAGACGGGCTGGAGGCCGGAGAGTCCGACGTGGCTCCCGGCGGCGGAGTTGCAGGGAGGAGCTGTGCGGGAGCCGGCCCCCCGCAGCCCCCGCAGCGCCCCCCCGCAGGCCCCCTCCCCGCGTGTCTCTCCTAGCCCCATCTGGTTCCCATTACTCTCCCGCCCACGGCTCGGAGGTCGGGGGGGGGAGGGGGCGGGGGCGGGCGGGGGCTCCTAGGGCCGGTCCACCCGCTCCAGGCCCGGCTGGGGGCGCGAGCGGCCTGGCTGCGGGAGCCCCCCCCGTCCGAATCCGCAGCCCCGCCCCGCCATTCCGCACTTGTGAGTGGCCCGGGGCCGGCGGGGCGGGGCGGGGCGGGGGCGGCGCGGGCGGGGGCCGCTTCTGCATTCCCGCTCCGCGAGGGGACCTTTCGGCCTGGGGGGGGTGCGCCGCCGGGTGCGATTTCGGTGGCTGCGCTGCTCGTCTCCTTGCCCCTGAGCCCCAGACGCCGCGAGGGGGAGACGGCGACGGGCGGGATCCGCACCGCGCACAGCGGCTGCTCCGGGGCGCCCCCGACCCCCGGGGCGCCGTGCCCCTCCCCCACCCTCTGGTTATTTTGGAGCTCGGGCTGCCAGCCGCTGGCCCCGGGTTTCCACGTGCCTCCTCCCTCCGCCTGCCCACGCGCCCCGTGACGCACATCCTCCGCCCACGCAGCCTCTGTTCCAGGCGCCCCCCTCTCTCCCACCCGGGCCCCTTTGGGGCGGCGCCGAGCCCCCGGTCCGGGGAAGAGGGCGGAGGGGGGAGCGAAGCCCGCGACGGGTCACCGCCTGGGCGCCGGGCGCTTGGGTCCCAGGCCGGGGAGGAGGACGGGGGAGGAGCCGAGCCCGGGGCCGAGCGCTGGGCCCCGGGCGGGCACGCGTCCAGCGGGGGAGGAAGGGAGGCCAGCGCCCAGGCCCGGGCTCGCCCGGTCCCCTAGGGGACTCAAGGGGTCTCCCTGGCTGCGAGAGTGAAACTCCCGGGTGTTTTTAGGGTTGTCGTGAGGTTCAAGTGACAGGATGTATACGAAAACTCTGTGAAGTGCCAAGCAAATTTAAGACGTTCTTGCTAGTTTGTGCCTCTGTATCCCGAGATAATGTATTTATATGTTTCTTTACATCGACTTGTGTATCTGTGTTTCTGTCTCTCTCTAGGTTTGTATCTGAGCCCCTATGTGTGGATTTAAAAATATATACGTTTAGAAAATCATTGACTTGTGAAGCCCCGCAAGAGGCCCAGAGCGCCCCCGCAGCCGGAGCTGCTGAGATGTCTGTTCTTCGCTTGCCTCCCACTCCTACCACCCCCAACTCCCCTCCCACTCCCTTCCGCTGAGAACTAGGAATTTCCAGCCTTTTGCACATGGAGAGAGACAGAGACAAAGAGACTGAGACTATGAGAAGCGATAGAAAAACAAAGATAAAAGATAGGTGCGTGTGGGGGGGATGATAAAAAAGGGATAGCACAAATACAAACATCTTGCTTCTTTTCTCCGTGAGCCCCATTCTCCCCAGTGTGGGTTCGGGACCACTTCCCTACCTGACTCACCTGCTTCCCCCCTCCTCCATCTGACTGTTCCCAGAGCACAGCAACAGATCCCATTTAATCCAGGATTAAGTCATTGTCTACTCTGGTCTCTTCCAGGAAGGGAAACCGTATCCCCAGTCCCAGTATTCCAAGAACAAGGGAAAAGATTGTGAAGAAGTGGGTGGAAGAGGAGTGAGGAAATTGCTAACCAGAAGGATTGTCGTTCCTGGGCACGTGTAGATTCTCATCTAGCAGACTGCACTGCTCACATTCCCCTCCCCTATGTCTTTACCAGGCCAAATCCAGTTCACTCAGCAAGGTCTGGCTCACATGTCACCTTCCTGCACCCCCTCTAGGCACGTTTCTTCCCTCCCTCCGCGGCTTTGTGGCTCTTTGTTCAGTTACAGTTGCTTGTCTCCCTCAACCCAGGACTTCTCCAGGGTAGGTGGGCTATCTGGTGGGCCCTCTGAAATGAATGAATGATGATGCTATTTCCTGGTCTGAGCAGTCTTGAAAAGGCTGAATTGACACATTTTACTCCAAAAGGGGCTGAACCTGGGCAACACTGAAGTGGAGAGGTCTCCTTTCTTAAAGTTTCCAGTGAGTCTCACGAGTCTGGCTCTTTGGTCTTCAAGAATATCCACTGCTGTGGGGCACATGGCTGGCCCAGGCTGTAGAGCATGCAACTCTTGATCTTGGGGTGGTGAGCTCCGGGACCACGTTGGGCGTAGAGTTTCCTTAGATAAAAAAATGAAACTAGAATCTCCAGTGTTCTGGTAAATTCATACCCGATGGGAAAGGTAGAAGACTAAAATCCTTGCTAGTAACAGAAAAATATGAATACAGCATAACGATAGTCATTGTTTTCTTTGTAACATGTTGCAGTGTAAGGAGTGTTGTCCTGCAGTTTAGTCACTTTACAAATAACCCTGACCTCTGCCTTTAAGGAGGAGGTAGGGAGATAGTACAACAATAGGGGTACAAAATGATGACAGAAGAAGAGGGGGCAAGTGATGTCTCTCCTGCCTGGGGTTGTAGGAAACCGGTTTAGGCAGGCATCCAAAGGGCAGATGATGTAGCCTAGGATATTGATGTATATAGATTTCTAGGAGAAAGGGTCAGAGCCAAATGTAAACTTGCATGGAGATATGAAACAATATGTTTCAGAAACTAGAAATTGTTCCTTATTGCTGGATAGGCTAAGGTGGTGGTTAAAATCCAATCCAGGGAGGGGCACCTGCTTGGCTCTGTCAGTTAAAGGATCCTACTCTTGGTTTCAGCTCAGGTCATGATCTCAGGGTTGTGAGACGGACCTCTTGTGTCAGACTCCGTGCTCAGTGTGGAGTCTGCTTGTCCCTCTCCCTCTGTTCCTACACTACCACCAGCCCTGCCCCGTGCTCCTATGCTAGCACTCACACCTGCTGTCTCGCAAATAAATAAATAAATAAATAAATAAATAAATAAATAGGGCGGCCCGGGGTGGCTCAGTGGTTTAGTGCTGCCTTCTACCCAGGGCGTGATCCTGGAGTCCCGAGATCGAGCCCCACATCGGGCTCCCTGCATGGAGCCTGCTTCTCTCTCTGCCTGTGTCTCTGCCTCTCTCTCTCTCTCTCTCTCTGTCTCTCATGAATAAATAAATAAAAATCTAAATAAATAAATAAAATGTAAAAAAAATTTCCAAAGGAGGTATGCAAGTCCATTTTATTTCTTTCTGCAAGTCCATTTAATTAAGTGTATTATAACCTAGTGCTTTTCAAACTGTGGTAAAGGACCAATTTTAAAAATTCCAATCTATTGTGTCCTATTTTTATAAAATACACTAAACATGAATTATTAGAAAAGTAAAATAAAATCCACATTTTTATTAGATTCAATAAAGATTCTCTGGGGATGCCTGGTGGCTTAGCGGTTGAGTGTCTGCCTTCCGCTCAGGTGCATGATCCTGGGATCCCAGATCAAGTCCCAAATCCAGCTCCTTGCATGAGCCCTGCTTCTCCCTCTGCCTGTGTGTCTGCCTCTCTCTCTCTCTCTCTCTCTCTCTCTCTCTCTCGTATCTCTCATGAATAAATAAATAAAATCTTAAAAAAAATAGACTCAATAAAGATTCTCTGTCAAACTGTTAGAAAAGTTTCTAAATGCTTCCATTTACTTTCTGAAATGCCTTTTTAAAAAAGATTTTATTTATTTATTCATGAGAGACACACACAAAGAGAGGCAGAGACATAGGCAGAGAAAGAACAGGCTCCATGCATGGAGCCCAATGTGGGACTGGATCCTGGGACTCCAGGATCATGCCCTGGGCCAAAGGCAGGTGCTCAGCCACTGAGCCACCCAGGCTTCCTTCTGAAATGCTTTTGTTGCAGTTTTGTAACAAGCTTTGAATAGCACAATTGTAGTTGGTTTCTTTACATCTGTGTTTTCTTTTTTTTTTAATTTATTTATGATAATCATACAGAGAGAGAGAGGGGGACAGAGACATAGGCAGAGGGAGAAGCAGACTCCATGCACCGGGAGCCCGACGTGGGATTCGATCCCGGGTCTCCAGGATCGCTCCCTGGGCCAAAGGCAGGCGCCAAACCGCTGTGCCACTCAGGGATCCCTACATCTGTGTTTTCAATCACACTAGGGACCCTGGGCTTCATCACCAGGGATACGAGGGAATCATAAAGACTGTAATATGGCAGTGACACAGGCAGATCTGCATTTTGGGGTAGTGTGGATGAAGAGTTCTTTTTTTTTTTAAGATTTTATTTATTTATTCATGAGAGACACACACAGAGAGAGGCAGAGACATAGGCAGAGGGAGAAGCAGGCTCCATGCAGAGAGCCTGATGTGGGACTTGATCCCAGGACCCCGGGATCACTCCCTGAGCCAAAGGCAGATGCTCAACCACTGAGCCACTTAGGTGCCCCTGAAGAGTTCTATGGCTGCAAAAACAGCAGGAAAGCCAGCTTGGAGGAAACCAAAGTGGTCCAAGTGAGAAGTGGCAAGGTGCTAGACTAAATCACTGGCATGGGATGGAAAGGACCCATTCAGAAGAAAGGAGGTAAAATCAGTAGAATTTGATGATTAGCTATGGGGTTGAGATAGAGGAAAAGAAGAGGTTAGGGTAACTCTTGGGCTTCTAGCTTGGGTGACTGAATAGATGGAATGGAGTGTCTTTATCATATATTTATTATCTGGAATCCTTTTCCCAAACTAAAACAATTGTGAAAACCAAAACTTTTTCTTAACTCATTTGACACCAAGCCTAATCTGTCCTGAACTTACTTATTCTGTGGCAGCTCTCCTAAACTTACATGAAGTTATTTATTTATTTTAAGATTTTAATTTATTTATTTATTCATGAGAGACAGAGAGAGAGAGAGAGAGGCAGAGACATAGGCAGAGGGAGAAGCAGGCTCCATGCAGGGAGCCCGATGTGGGACTCGATCCCAGGACCCCGGGATCATGCCCTGAGCCAAAGGCAGACGTTTAACCACTGAGCCACCCCAGGTGCCCATACATGAAGTTATTTATAGTTTCATTTATCCTACATTCCATTCAGTGTGAATATTTAGGTCTCAATGCAGAAAAATTAATTTGTTTAATTATAGAGTGCTGTCCCAGGCCCCATTGTGATTGTTGCTCTATACGTTGTATATGCAACATATTACCTTTCTAAAATCCAAAAATATTCTAAAACACATTAATTATCCAGATTTCCCACCCCATTTGCACAATGGTCTTGGCCTGAGTTTTTGGCTATTTGCATACATCAGATCCACCTGCAGATAATGAATATTCATTGCATTGTGTGCTGGAGACTCTGAGGATAATTCTATTTTTTTAAAGATTTTTAAAAAAAAAAAATTATTTATTTATTTAACAGAGAAAGCACAAGCAGGGGGAGCCGGAGAAGCAGGCTCAGTGGCTTCCCACTGAGCCAGGAGCCAGACACTGGCTCAATCCCAGGACCCTGGGATCATAACCTGAGCTGAAGGCAGACACTTAACCAGCTGAGCCACCCAGGCACCCCTTAAGATTTTATTTTTATTTTTATTTTTTTTAAGATTTTATTTTTAAGTAATCTCTATGCCCAATGTGGGGCTCGAGTTTACAACCCCAAGATCAAGAGTCATATGCTCTACTGACTGGGCCAGCCCGGCACTTCCCGAAGATGATTCTTGAAGTGTTTTGAGCAGTGTCCTCGTGATAAAAATCAGGCTAAAAGCTTCTTGCGTAATTCCCTTAAGTGACAGAAGTTATTTGGGTGGTAAGGTGTAATGTGTTTATGGACAATGCAGTCTCATTCCTATATACCTCCTTTTTACGTGTTAAAAGTAGTGATAGTGATCTTCTGGAATTATTTCCCAAATCTGGAATTAGTTCTTCTGTTCCCTGGCCTTTATTCAAAACCAAAGAGTGAGCTATGAATGGTGACAATTTGGGACCTGGTAAAAATGAATGAGTGTGTGTGCATGTGCACATGTGTGTCTACAAGTTTATTTTTTTAAACTTTTGGATTTACAGAAAAATTGAGAAGATAGTACAAAGAGTTCTCCTAACTTCATATCCAGTTTCTATTATTCTTCCCTGATATCAGTATGGTATGGTGCATTTGCCACAATTAATGGACCAGTAATCATACATTATTATTAATGAAAAGTCTACAGTTTATTCAGATTTTCTGTGTTTTACCTATTTTTTTTTCTATTCCAGGATTCCATCCATGATAGCATATTCAGTTAGTTCTTGTGTTGCCTTAGCCTCTTCTTGGCTCTTAGAGGTTCTCAATCTTTCCTTGTTTTTGATGACTGTGATAGTTTTGAGGAGTACTAGTCAGGTATTTTATGGTTTGGACCTCTATTGGAATTTATTTAATGTTTTTCTCATAATTAGTTTAGGTTTATGGGTGTGTGGGGTGTCATTGCATGACATCAAGTGTACATAGGATCTTTTTTTTTTTATTATTCATTCATGAGAGATGCAGAGAGAGAGAGGAAGAGGCAGAGACACAGGCAGAGGGAGAAGCAGGCTCCACTCAGGGAGCCCGAAGTGGGACTTGATCCTGGGACTCCAGGACCATGTCCTGGGCCAAAGGCAGGAGCCAAACCGCTGAGCCACCCAGGGGTCCCCTGTACATAGTATCAATGTGATTCTTACTCTTGATATTATCCTCCTCACGTCAGCGAAGGGAATGTGCGTGAGAGACACAGGGTAACTACTGCAGCAGGGGTAGCCCAGATTTTTCTGTATAAGGATGAAATTTCTTCTGCCTATGGCTCAGATCCATTTTGACTCTTTAAAAATACCTTCTTTTGAAAGCTTGAACTTTTCCGAGCAGTAACCAGCCTTTCCTGAATTTCCTTGCTAGGCTCTATTTCTAGTGCTCCTATCTACCACTGTCAGATCCTCTAAAAAATAATAATAATAATAATAATAAGATACTTCAATTTCTACTAACATTAACTGAACATCTGTTTATGACCAGGCACCTTTCTAGACCCTCACTGTTTAAAATCATTTAATGGGAAACAGCACTAGCCCAGTGCATAGAAAGTACTCAGGCTTTTGAGTAAGCCTTGGGTTGAAACCACAGCCCATCCCAACTGTGCAATTTTGGGCAGGCTCTTTGTCTTAATCTCGGCTTCTTAATTGGAGATATTTGTCTCCCAAGATGCTATAAGGAATAAAAAAACTTTCTCCTAATCCTCACATTCATTTTACTTCCAACTCTGCCATCCTCACGGGCACCTGACTGGCTCCGTCTGAAGATCAGGGACTCTTGATCTCAAGGTTAAGTTTGAGCCCTAGTTGAGGGTATAGATTCCTCAGTAAATAAACAAATAAAGAAATAAAAATTTACCCTCCAAAGCTCTATGCTTACATTTTAATTTTATTTTTAAAAGTTTATTGATTTATTTTAGTAAACTCTACACCTAGTGTGGGGCTCATACTCACGACCCCGAGATCAAGGTTCTCATGTTCTAGGGACGGAACCAGCCAGGACCGCCCTAGGCCTATACATATAGATTTTTTCTATAGGCCTATATTTTTAAATGCTAATGCTTATTTCCATAAAACGGACACAATTTTTTGTGTACAACTTGTTTTAAATCATGTAGGACTTTGGAGAACACATCGTCTTAAAAAAAAATTGTCCTGTCAGGATCCTACTTATAAAGCGGTCTCAAGGCTTAGTTTCCCATAACAGAACGATCGTGGTAAACAGGAAAGAAAACAGAAGGAACTTGAGACAGTTTTGATGGAGATAATCAAATTTGGTCAAGGAGGCCTCGCCCATTCTGCTTTTCTATTGGCTGAGCCTACCGTCAATCACACCAGTTGTAAATAACCGGGAGGCGGAAGCATGTTGTTAAGGGGTGGGATCTTCCTGTCGCCCTTGCTAAGGTGAGGGCTCTGTCTCTAATAGGCTGAAAGCTCCTGTTCCCGCCCTCTCGCCGCAGTTGCTAGGAGGCGGGGTTTGGAGTTCGTCGAGGCCCGGGGCTCGCGGCTCCGCCCATGCGATTGGTCGGCGCGGGGCAGGTCTTGCAGCGGATAGGCTGCTGGCCCTGCCTGTTCCGGTTAGTTGCTGGGGAGAGGCACGTGAGGAGGAGGCGGCTTGAGGCGAGCACGGCGGGAGGAATGAAAGTGGCGGTGTCGCCGGCAGTTGGTGCCGGGCCCTGGGGCTGGGGGACCGGGGGCCGTGGGGGCGGCGGGGCAGTGCGGCTGCTCCTGCTTCTCTCCGGCTGCTTGGCCTGCAGCGCAGGTACCGCCGGCAGCGGCTGCCGGGGGGCGGGGCGGGGGCGTGGGGGTGTCCTGGGGCGCCGGGCCCGGGCGGCCTGCGGGGTCCCCGGAGCGGGGAGGAGCCTGGAGGCTCGCGGGAGACCGAGAGGGGCCCGGCTCGGGAGAGGACGTGCGGGGCCGCGCGGCTTCCGGCGCTGTGACCGACCCCGCGCCCTCGCCGCCGGCCGCGCGGCTCGGGGCCGGACCGGGGCCGGACCGGGGCCGGGTGTGGCTGGGAGGGAGTGGGCGCCGTCCTTGTGAGTGAGGTCCCGGCCCTTTAGAAACAACGTGTCGCCGTCCGGTTCGCGTTTCCGGAAAAAAAAAAAGAAACCGCACCCCCAGCTAAACCCATCATTCAGCGTCAGTTTTTTCTTTTGGGGAATTTACTCGTTTCTCGCGGCGACTCGCTGCCGTCTACCGCTGGGCGATTGGCTTTGGACGGAAAGGAAGCCCCTCACCGCGGACGCTCTAACTCCTGACACCTAGAATGTTGCTAGAAAACCTTCAACCCTCTTATCAATCAAAATGCACAACAGAAAAACTGGTGAGGCCTCCCGGTTCGGCCGGAGGGAGCTGGAAGATGGGGTTAAGGATACCCTATCTCGTAAAGGCCGATGCGCTCACCTTTGCTGCCTCTCGCGCTGTCACTTGCGATTATGTCTAGCTGCAGCTTTGAGATTGCCTCGGACCCGTAGATCTAGTTCCAAAGTGTAACGTCCTCCGAAATGTTTTTTTTTGGGGGTGGGGGTGGGGGGGCAGGTAGGTATCCAGGAAGGTGCTTTTGCAGCGGAGGGGCCCAGAGTGACGTTGACGGGCTACTTAGGATCTGATTGAACTTGGGCCGGTGGTTAACCTGTAAAATGGGGCTGTGTGGATTGTGGGGGAGAAAGAATGTATGTGAAAAAGTCCCTACCTAGTTGGAGCTGGATCAGCAGACACTTAAGTTTCCTTAATGAGAACAGTGGCGTCTTAACTTGGAGAAGGGTAAATTTGGCATGATATTCCGTGTGACCTGGTAGCAAGTGGGTGGCAGCTACAGAGACATCATCCAGTAGAGAAGAACTTTCTAAAAGCCAAAGGTACCTAACGATAAAATGCAGTACTTCAAAAGGTAGGTGGCTTTTTCTCACTGGAAGTTTTATATTGTAAAATAAATAATGAGCTTATTTTAGGCTATTTGGCAAGCACAATTAAGTATAAAGAAGTAAGGAAAACCCTCGCTGTTTATTCCATTCAGGGGCAATCTATTTTAGCACACTTTCTCCTGGTCTTTTTCCATGTATTTCCAATAAAAAAAAAAAATGAGGGGGGTGTCTGGCAGGCTCAGTTGGCAAAGCATGTAACTCTTGAGCTCACCATTGTGAGTTTGAGCCCCACGTAGGGTATAGAGATTAGTTAATAATAAAAAAAATTAAGATTTTATTTATTCGTGAGAGACACAGAAAGACAGGTAGAGACATAGGCAGAGGGAGAAGTAAGGAGCCAGATGCAGGATTCGATCCCACACCCGGGATAGTGCCCTCAGTGGAAGGCAGAAGATGTTCAACCACTGAGCCACCCAGGCGTCCCTTAAAAATAAAATCTTTTTTTAAAAAATTTTTATTTATTTATGATAGTCACAGAGAGAGAGAGGCAGAGACACAGGCAGAGAGAGAAGCAGGCTCCATGCACCGGGAGCCCGACGTGGGATTCGATCCCGAGTCTCCAGGATTGCGCCCTGGGCCAAAGGCAGGCGCCAAACTGCTGCGCCACCCAGGGATCCCTTATTTTTATTTTTTAATAGCGAGCTTTAAAAAGTATAGTGTTCGGGGAATCTCTGGGTGGCTCAGCGGCTTAGCGCCTGCCTTTGGCCCAGGGTGTGATCCTGGAGTCCTGGGATCAAGTCCCGCATCAGGCTCCCTGCATGGAGCCTGCTTCTCCCTCTGCCTGTGTCTCTGCCTCTCTCTCTCTCTCTCTCTCTCTCTCTCTCTGTGTGTCTCTCATGAACAAATAAATAAATCTTGAAAAAAAAAGTATAGTGTTCTGTTACTTGGTGTTACGAGAGAGAAGGGGCTAACAAGTGTGATTCTTTTTGTTTTGTTTTTTTTTTTTTTTTGGACAGGTGTATTTACTTTGGGCTTTGTACATAGACTGGATATTCTTTTAAGGAAGTGATAGGTTCTTGTACAGCATTTTAAAAAATATTTCCCAATGTTTTTGCATACCCCAGTGAATTTGTCAATGCAGTAGTCAACTCAATGACCTTACTCTTATACTCTCCAGAAGAAAATAAACTTTAAAAAAAAATTTTATTTATTTAAGTGATCTCTATACCCAACATGGGACTCGAACTCAGAACACCGAGATCAAGATTCACATGCTTTTCTGACTGAGCCAGCCAGGTATTCCAAGAAAATAAACTCTTGAACCATATCTGTGAGTGGGTATTCTTTCAGTACGTTAAAAAATATTTTTTAAATTTATTCATGAGAGACATAGAGAGTTGGAGACATAGGCAGAGGGAGAAGCAGGCTCCCTTCAGGGAGCCTAATGCAGGACTCATCCATCCCAGGACCCCAGGATCACAACCCAAGCCAAAGGCAGACACTCAACCACTGAGCCACCCAGGCGTCCCTCTTTCAGTACATTTGTGGGCTTGCTAGTGAGACAGATGTCGACAGGATTTTGAAAAGGTTTCATTTTATAAAAGATAAGTTAGGAGGAAATCCTAATTACTGCGGGAGTAAACCCTAGTGAGAAGCTGATAGATGGGGGTTCAGGGCATGCTCCCTCAAAATATAGCATCTTGGCATATTGAATATTTGAAGCTGTGGGAGTTTAAGAAAACCGATGCAAGAAGTGTCTTTGACCTCCCTACCTCACCCTTCTCTGAAACTGGCCATAAAATCCTGCGAGGTGCCTTCTCTACCTATACTGAGGAAATGCAGACGATGGGACAGCAAGAGGAATCCAAGCAAATAGGCCTTACTCAGTTTCCCCCAGTTTACTACTATGACCACATACTCTTTACCCTCTCATAGTCCTCCACAAGTGTCCACTCTTCATCACACATAGCATAATAGGATGTAGGTCTGTTTCTTTGGGTCTGCATTTCCTTATGAAGGTTTTCATGTCACGTAAAACTTATTAAGTAAATATGTATGCTTTTCCATTGTTAATTTGTCTTTGTCAGTTTAAATTTTTGGGCCCAGCCAGAGGCCCTAAGAGGATCAAAGAAAATTTTTCTTCCCCTACAATATCAAGACTGAATTTCTTATTTTTTATTTTTTTAGATTTTATTTATTTATTTATTTGAGAGAGAGTGCACCTTCATTCATGAGGTGGAGGGAGGGGCAGAGGGAGAGGGAGAAACAGACTCACCACTGAGCCAGGAGCCTGACATGGGGTTCGATCCCAGGACCCTGAGATCATGACCTGAGTTAACAGCAGATGCTTAACTGACTGAGCCACCTACATGGCCCAAGACTGAATTTTCTTAAAAATTGAGGTATAATTCACATATAATAAAATTGGTCATATTTGCCTATTCTGGACATTTCATATAAGTAGAATGATATATGGTCTTTTTGGTCTGACTGCTTTCATTCAGAATAATGATTTCAGGGCAGCCCGGGTGGCTCAGCGGTTTAGTGCCGCCTTCGGTCCAGGGTGTGATCCTGGAGACCCGGGATCAAGTCCCACGTCAGGCTCCCTGCATGAAGCCTGCTTCTCCCTCTGCCTGTGTCTCTGCCTCTCTCTCTCTCTGTGTCTCTCATGAATAAATAAAATCTTAAAAAAAAAGAATAATGTTTTCAAGGTTCATCCACGTTGTAGTATGTATTAGTACTTCCTTTTATGGTTGAACAATATCCCGCTGTATAGATGGACATACCACATTTTGTTTTATCCATTAGTTCATGGACATTTGGATCTCTATTTTTTAGTTAATTGTGATATAGCTGCTATGAACAGTCATGTACAAGTTTTTGGGTGAACACGTGTTTCGTTTTCCTGGGTATATATCTAGGAGTGGAATTGCTGGGTCATGTAGTAACTCTGTGTTTAACACTTTGAGAAACTGCCGGACTGTTTTCCAAAGAGGCTGTGCCATTAGACATCCCCAGCAGCAGTGTATGAGGGTTCTAGTTTCTCTCATCCTGGCCAACTCTTGTTATTCTCTTTGATTTTAGTCTTCCTAATGAGTGTAAAGTGGTATTTCATTGTGGTTTTGATTTGTATTTCCTTGATTACTAATGATGTTGAGTGTCTTTCCATGTGTCTGTTGGGCATTTGTGTGTATCTTCTTTGGAGAAATGTCTATTCAGATCCTTTGCCCATTTTTATAATTGTGCTATTTCTCTTTTTATTGTTGAGTTGTAGCTGTTTATATATTCTGGATAGTAGACCCTTATCAGATATATGATTTGCAAATGTTTTCTCCCATTTTGTGTGTTGTCTGTGTACTTTCTCGATACGGTCCTTTGAAACACAAAAATTTTAGATTATTTTGAACTTTGATTCATCTGGTTTTTCTTCAGTTGCTTATGCTTTTGTATCATATCTAAGAAACCGTTGCCTAATCTGTGGTCATGAAGATCCATACCGATGTTTTCTAAGAGTTTTATAATTTTTGCTCTTAGGTTTAGGACAGAAATTAACTTCAAGATCTTAGCTTCACTCGAAAACCATTTTGGGTGGCTCACTGGTTGAGCTTCTAATCTTTTTTTTATTATTATTATTTTTAAAGATTGATTGATTTATGATAGGCAGAGACACAGGCAGAGAGAGAAGCAGGCTCTATATCGGGAGCCCGACGTGGGACTTGATCCCGGGACTCCAGGATTGCGCCCTGGGCCAAAGGCAGGTGCTAAACCACTGAGCTACCCAGGGATCCTCTACTGGTTGAGCTTCTGCCTTTGGCTGGGGTCAGGATCCCAGAGACCTGGGATGGAGTCCCACATCGGGCTCCCCACAGGGAGCCTTCTCCCTCTGCCTATGTTTCTGCCTTTCTCTCTGTGTCTCATATGAATAAATGGATAAAATCTTAAAAAAATAAAATAAAACAAAACATTTTGGACTGGCAGGTATCATTGCCTTTTTTGTGTGTGTAACTTTGGTTTTTTAAGGTTTGGCTGAAGTTTTTGTAATGTTTTTGGGCTGTTTTTTAGTTTATTTAAATCTACCTATCTTTGTATCTAGACCAGAGTAATAACAAAATTTCCACTTAGTAACACTTCATAGATTGGTAAGTACAATGTAGAACTCTAGAAAAAAGTTATTTGTGATAAAGAAGGTAGCTTGTACAAACTTGAGTGGGAAGGTACAAGAGGTGGTCACTTTTAAACCTTGAATTGGCTGGGATTGAATACAAACTTCTGAATGGAGAATCTTCTGTCTTGGTAAAATCAAAGGAAGTGCATATAGTAATTGCTCTTAAAACAGCTGGAAAAAAGCAACTTTGTGATCTTTTAGTATCTTCTCAAAGTATTGTGTATACAAAAACATTGCCACATCTCTTCATCCAACTCAGGAAAAGGATAGAGGAAATAAATGGAGTTACTTTAGCTATGCCTTTATTAAGGAAGCAGGACCTGCGTGTGAATTTCAGTGAAGCTGTTCACTAGCTGTGTGACTTTGGGCAAATTCTTAATCCTTCTTAAGCATCAGGTTTTTTAAATTTGTGAAACAGGGATTAGGAGAGTGCCTGCCTCCTAGCTTGTTGGAGAGTTCAATGAAAAACAGCATACTATCTTAATAAATACTTAATAGCAGCGTTTATTATTGCTTATTCTGGGTTAGTGACTATAATATTTAAATAATTAAATTTGACAGAAATAAGACTCTGCCTTATTTCTTCTCTCATTTCAGTTTTCTTGTTTATCAGTCATTGACATTTTAATCCCAACTTTAAGAAAGTGGTCAGTTTCAATGGTACTGTGATGGCATCGTATGGCAGCGGGTGGTAGCTACACTTGTGGTGAGCATAGCATAATGGATAGACTTTTAGAATCACTGTGTTGTACACCTGATACTATTGTAATATATGTAATGTATATTACAATATTATATTGTATATACGATATTATATTGTAATATACTTCAGTTGAAAAAGGAAAACCAAAAAAGTGGTCAGTTTCTTTTTATGAAATGAATTCTAGTTATTAACTTGTTCTGTTATACTCAATTCTTATTTCTTTTCTTTGCATAAAGCTGGAACTGATGGTGTGGTCATGCTTCAGGAATCCCAACTTTATTATATGGATAACAGGCAACAATTCTGTTATAAAAATGTGCTTATCCCAAAGTGGTATGATGTGTGGACACGGATACAGGTAATAATTTGGAGGCCTCTGGCTGGGGCAGCTTCTGTGAATATCTTGAATGTTTGTGATTAGGTTAGGTAGTACCTTGACACATTTTCTTCCTTCACACACAATTGGAAAAGAAAAAAAAGTATTGTCAGCATCCTTGTTAGGGTTCAGATTATCTTGAATTGTGTTTTCATTAGTAACCATTTATACTTAGTGTTCCTCTCTGCCTCTCTTCCCTTAAGTAGCTTATAATACTTGACCCTAAGGTAACCTTCCTTCCTCTTTTTCCCAAAGAAGCTTCCTTCTTGTCCTCTCTCTCCTACACACACACATACACACACACACACACGCACGCGCAGTCACGCATGTGCACACTGCCCCCTTAAAGGCCTCTCTTATGCCTTGTCCTCTTTCTTCTTCTACATGCACACGTGCACAACCCGCCGCTCTCCCAAAGGCCTTTCTTATGCCTTCTTTGGCCTGGAAACTGTTGCGTGCCTGTTGGGATGTAAACTCTTTTGCCTTGCTGTTCCTTTTCTATTTTGATTCTACATGAAATGTTTCATAAACCCTGTGCCTAAAGTTTCCCCCTGACTTGGTTTCATTCATTTCATAACACTGTTAAGCCACCTGGCAAGTGAGAATGTCTGGCTGTAATAATGATTGAATAAAATGAGTCCTTTTGGTAATGCTGCTGCATCTATAAGCATAGTTACTGATCAGAGCATTTGTGGTTCACATCAAAAACATAAGGGTGAGCTTGTGGTTTTCTTTTTTTTTTAATTTTCTTTTTTTTATTGTCTGATATAAAGATCATATTCCATCTGAGACACATTATAACCAACATTTACCCATAATCAGTGATTGGTGACAAAGGATTGAACTTCTCAGCCTGTCATTATGGGAAACATTTTTCGTTTTCTGGGGCTGTTTCTGCCTGGCAATTTTCTTAATATTCTAGAGCCTTGTTTTGTATGATCTCCCACAAATAGCTACAGTGATAACTTCAGCTTGGAAGTCTTTTTTTCCCCCTGTGTTGTTCTGGCTTAATAGTAGATTCAGGGATGCCTGGGTGGTTCAGCGGTTGAGCGTCTGCCTTCGGCTCAGGGTGTGATCCTGGAGTCCTGGGATCAAGTCCCACATCGGGCTCCCTGCATGGAGCCTGCTTCTCCTTCTGCCTGTGTCTCTGCCTCTCTCCCTGTGTTTCTCATGAATAAATAAATAAAATCTTTTTTTTAACTTTTTTTAAAAGATTTTATTATTTATTCATAGAAACACAGAGAGAGAATCAGAGGCAGAGACACAGGCAGAGGGAGAAGCAGGCTCCATGCAGAGAGCCTGACGTGGGACTCGATTCAGGGTCTCCAGAATCATGCCCCGGGCTGCAGGCAGTGCTAAGCCGCTGTGCCTCTGGGGCTGCCCAATAAATAAAATCTTAAAAAAAAAAGTAGATTCAGATCATATTAACAGCAAGACATTCTAACAGCTGCCTCTGTGTACCATGTGCAATGTTACTTGCCCAATTATGTTTAAGCCACTGCATCTCTGTATTTCTTATAAGCCTTGTGGAAAACTGACACTATTACTGATTTAGCTGTTTAGAGGTTTTTAAAAAATTGTATTTACGAAAATTTAAAATCCCTCTTCTTTCTCATCCTCATCCTGATTTTACTTCTGTTACAGATCCGGGTAAATAGTTCCAAACTGGTACGAGTCACCCAGGTGGAGAATGAAGAGAAACTGAAGGAGTTAGAGCAGTTTAGTATCTGGAACTTTTTTTCCTCCTTTTTAAAAGAGAAATTGAATGACACCTATGTTAACGTGGGTCTATACAGCACAAAAACCTGCCTCAAAGTTGAGATTATAGAGGAAGACACGATGTACAGTGTCATTGTGACCCGGAGTAAGTCTTACCTCTGTTTTTCTGGTAGATTCTACAGTGAAAAGGGACTGAGCTTTGGAGAGTGTAATTAATGAGACAGAGAAGTTAGTTAGCCCAAGACAACTCCTTTTTGCTTCTAATTATAACCTGAGTACACCACTGCTTCAAACAGTTAAGAGTCTCTCTCCCACATAAAACCCTTTAGGCCGAGAAGAGAGACTTCACTGTAGGTCATTCTGAGTACCTTCTTATCTAGATTTGTGAAGACTTGTGTTCCTAATACTTCCAGTGGTCCTGAGCTGATAATGCCTACTGTTCTTCAGAGTAAGATGGATTTATTCCTGCCTTCTGGGCATTTCTAGAAAAGTTAGATGTCCAGAATATATAGACCTACATTTGAAGACCTGAATGGTTGAATAATAGAAACTAAAGATGGGTAGAACTGAATATTAATATTTTATAAGTAAAAAGAGGATTTGTGAAATTGTAAGTAACTATGAAAATCACTGAAGTTTAAGGCTTATTCAGTGGAACTGGGAGTTTTCTTTTCCAAATATGTCTGAGAAAGTTTCACAGAGGACTGGAGTTGTTATCCTGTTGAATTTTCTGACTTTTGTTCCCTCCTTGGTTACCAGCTAGGGTTCTGGGATGTTGTGAATAGCAGAAACATTCCTGGGTTTTGCTACAAAATATATTGTGCCCTTCTAATTGTCCCATGGTTCCACAGGTTTTTGTTGTTGTATAAGTATTTGCCTTTTTTTTTTTTTGCCTTTTTTTTAATGCTCCTTTTACCTATACTGATTCTTCTTGCTCCTCTTCTGTTTGTGGGCCTCCCCTAGACTCAGAGCTCTTGATTGTGAATGCTGTGGGAGTGTCTGGTATGTCACTGAGGGGCCTCTGCTTGGGTCCCCTGGTCCCGGGTGAGATGTGTTTGAGTGTAGGCTTTTCCAACACAATGTATAGCAGAAGGAAGTAGGTGGTGGTGTTGGGCAAGAGAAGCAGCCAGTTAGAGAACAACTGAGGGCCCAGACCCAAAGTTCTAGGCAAATCTGCTGAATGCGAACCTGTGAGTGACTTTCGGCAGGAAAGCCAGAGTGGTAGAGACCCCTTGTGGACAATTGCATGAAGTACTGATGGCATTCCTGGCTCCATCCAAAGCAAAGCCTAGTTTCTTTTAGCCTTAGCATAGATAGCCAAAATAAAAATAAGATCTCCAGAAAAGTACAGGTTAGACAGAGACCTGCTTCTATTTTCTGTTTGGAAAGGTTCCCAGGCTTTGTGTGGAATTTACAATACTGTTTAGGTAGGTGGTTTGCATTTATAGTTAATCCTTGAATAGTATGGGGGTTGAGGTACTGGCTGATTTACCCTGTTGCCTCAGTTGAAAATCTGCATATAACTTTTGACTCCTCAGAACTTAATTATTAATAGCCTGCTGTTGACTGGAAGACTTAACTGATAGCATAGATGGTCAGTTAATACATATTTTGTTTGTTATACATATTAGATGCTGTATTCTTGCTATAAAGCAAGCTAGGGAAAAGGAAATGTTACGAAGAAAACCATAGGAAGAGAAAATTCATTACAGTACTGTGATGTATTTGTCAGAAAAAGCCTGTGTATAAGTGGACCCATGCAATTCAAACTCCTGTTGTTCAAGGATCAATTGTATTTTATTAGCTGACCAATAATGCCAGCGTTGTCTTTTGTTCTATAATGCCTTAAACTTTTGTTTTCCCTTTGAAACAGAAGTCTTTATTTATTTCAGGATTTGACCCCAAACTCTTCTTCATGTTCCTCCTTGGACTTACGCTATTTTTTTGTGGAGATTTGCTGAGCAGGTAGGTTCCAAGGCTGGAGTGCAGAATGATGAGACTTGGACCCGCCCTGCTTGGTTTTTATCATAAAGTGCTGCCCTTCCCTTTTCTATGCGTTTTATGACTAGGCACATTGCCTCCTTGGAAAAAGTTGTAAATACTTCAGTACATGTTATGATTTTTGCTTTTTTCTTCTATTAAACAAGATTGGCAAGAATCAAATTCTCCCGTTGGATTGAGCCATCATGTGAGGGGATTTAGCCAATACATCACATCCCTTTCAAAATAACATATTAGGGGATCCCTGGGTGGCGCAGCGGTTTGGCGCCTGCCTTTGGCCCAGGGTGCGATCCTGGAGACCCGGGATCGAGTCCCACATCGGGCTCCCGGTGCATGGAGCCTGCTTCTCCCTCTGCCTGTGTCTCTGCCTCCCTCTCTCTCTCTGTGACTATCCTAAATAAATAAAAATTAAAAAAAAAAAAAAAACAAATAAAAAAAAAAAACAAAATAACATATTAAGTCCTCATTTTTACAGGGGCATGTGTTGGTGAGTTTCATGTCATTCAGAGGTAAAGGAACAAACACTTATTCATTTCCTGTTTTTAGGAATCTAGCTAAGCTAGGTGAAACTGACGTGTACAAATAAGAAAACATATAGATAACAAACACTGAACAAATGTAGAATCGACATTAACTTTGTACACAAGTAAAAAAAAAATATTTGTGGAATAGAGAATGAAAACTACACATTGGAGTTTGAAGTTGGGCTGGAGTGAGATTGGTAAAAGTTGTTCCTTATTTTGAGGATCCTGAGAGAAACTCACAGTGAGGGAGGAATGTCTGGCAGAAAGAGCCTGCATCTGCTTTATCTTTCTGGGTAATCAGTTCAGTTCCAGTTTCAGTGTCCACTCAGGCAGTATCCTTGCACCTTTCTTTCCCCCAGTGAAATGGGGCAATTCCTTAGAAGAAAGATTCTCATTAAAAACTGGGTTGGGGGCAGCCGGGGTGGCTCAGCGGTTTAGTGCTGCCTTTAGCCCAGGGCGCGATCCTAGAGACCTGGGATTGAGTCCCACGTCAGGCTCCCTGCATGGAGCCTGCTTTCCCTCTGCCTTTGTCTCTGCCTCTCTCTCTCTCTCTCTGCTCTCTGCTCTCTGTGTATTCTCATGAATAAATAAAATATTTTTTTAAAATGTAAATTAAAAAAAAACTGAGTTGGAAGAGGTGCTGCAATGGGACTTTGAGACCAAGCAGAGGCTTATTGGTATATATTTGATACCAATCCGCATAAGCCAGCCGCAATTACGTTGTACCAGTCTTGTCTAATCTGCTCTACTCTTATACTTTTTTTCTGTCTTTTGGCTGGGATAGTTCTTGTTCGAACAGTGCCATGTATGAAGACCACATAGTCATGAAATAATGTTTCTTTCTGCAGAAGCCAAATCTTCTACTATTCTACTGGGGTGAGTGTGGGAATTGCGGCCTCTCTACTAATCATCATTTTCATACTGTCCAAGTTTATGCCCAAGGTAAGTTGCAGAGTCCTCATATGTAGTCAGGAGGATCTTAGAAAGTTGAGAGACTGTTTTCTCAGATAATCTTACAGCACTGAAAATTTGCACTGGTGACTGATAAGTCAGTGTCCTTTTTCATTGACTCTTTCCTTAATTCAGAAAGGTACTTTCCATGATGAAATTTGGAGCCTGATTATATACAAATTCCCCCTTTATATTTAAAATTCTGTGCACAGTGGGGAATTAAGACTCCTTCCTGTTTGCTGATTACACAGCTAGGCTTTTAAGTAATTTAGCACCTCATTTTCCCAGTGTTCTTTGCATACTATGCCATTTTAAATATAAAGGATGTCTTCTTAAAAGATGTGGTTTTTGTGCATTTTTAGTAGGTTGAATTTTTTTAAAATCGTAGTTCCATTTTGCTGCTTTTATGTATGGAAAGCCTGTTGTAACTTTTTGTTTTCACTTCTACTCTGTCTTAGAAAAGTCCCATTTACGTCATCCTGGTGGGAGGCTGGTCCTTTTCTCTGTACCTCATTCAGCTAGTTTTAAAAAATTTACAAGAGATCTGGAGGTGTTACTGGCAGTATCTTTTAAGTAAGTGTTGTTGGTTTTGCTTTCCTTTTTATATGTTTATAGGTTGTTTTAGTTCATTTGATCATGAAAAGATGTTGCCTGTTTACAGGAGTCCATGCCATTTTATTAATCTTTAAGAATAATAGTTCTTCACTTTATTTCTAACCCTGTGCAGTTGTCACATTAAATGAAAATCAGAAAAAAAAATAAAAAATAAAAAAATAAATGAAATTCAGGCTGCCAGGGAAAAGACTTTAATTGGTTGGTGTTTATTAGTACACCTCTCTACACAATAGGCATCTTTCTGAAAAGCTATAAATTGACTTAGTAATATATATAATCATATGTTAAATACATTTGAAGACCTTAGGAGTAAAGGACTCTACAGTGAATCTTTCTGTAAAGTGAAGATCCTTTGGTTACACAGTTTGTGACCCTTAATCTACCTTTTGAGAGGTGCTTAATCTGGATTTCTGTATTATTAGGCTTTTTAAAATAGACTCTTCTAGCATTGTTCAACATGTACCTTTAATTCTCCACTTGAACCAAATAAATTTGGGGACAATGGAAAGGGTAGAAACTCAGAGTAATATATTTGAGTAATGAAAAAAGTGTGAATAACTGGATAAAGATCTTGTCCATTTTCCTGGTTCAATAGGTGCTATGTCGTGAATGCACTACAGCTCCCCACACAAATTATTTTTATCAGTTAAAGATGAAAAAGAATGTTTTCTGATGACTCTTCTCATAGGCTATGTCCTCACGGTTGGATTCATGAGTTTTGCAATCTGTTACAAGTATGGGCCCTTGGAGAATGAACGAAGTATCAACCTGCTGACCTGGACCTTGCAGCTGATGGGCCTATTTTTCATGTATTCTGGTATCCAGATACCACATATTGCCCTTGCAATTATCATCATTGCACTGTGTACTAAGAACCTGGAGTACCCTATTCAGTGGCTGTACATCACTTACAGGTGACTGAAATGCAGTATAACTTTGTATTGGAACATGCCATGTGGGATGCAGTTGCCAGCAAAAGGGTATAGAGGCGTTGACTTGGGAGCCTCTTTGTTCATGGAAATTGATTGCATTATGCTTCTGCTTTTGTTCTTTCCAAATCTTTCTTTTCAGACTCTCTATAGGCATATTTATAATTTTAGTTTAGTAATTTTATATTTAAAAAAGCATCCAGTAAAGTGTCATGTGTTCCTGTTACCACTAGGTGGTGCAGAGTATATCACTTTTATGCCACATGCCTCAGGGTCACCTGGTCTCAGATTATTTCATGTTGATTCTCAGGTTGCTCTGGGAGTTCTAAGATGTAGTTCAAAGCATGATATCATTTTGCATAGTGAACATGGAATGGTCATAGATTCTGAAGTTGTCAGTGGTGGTTCTATTATACATAGTCAAGGTGATACCTTTAGTTTGGGGAATCCCAAGTTAATGGACCACAATCTTATACCATCATTTTCTTGTCATTTTTCCACTTATTAGAAAATACATATTTTATCTATCATTTATTGGAAATAAGTGAATTTATTCACGTTAGTGAATAATATTGATTACTCTGACTTGTCATTCCTAGTCTAGCGTGTCAGGAGTGTATTATAAGTAAAGATTTCTAAAGAAGAAAGGTGGGAATGATGACTCTTAATGTCCAGGCTCTCTACTGTATACTTGGCTCACTGAAGGGAGCTAGAGGGCAGGCTGGATAGAAATTACTGATTAATGATTCATGATGTTATTTTGGTGAGCACAGAAAGATGTGTAAGGCAACAGAAAAGACTGTGCCCCCTCGTCTCCTGACAGAAGAAGAATATCGGATACAAGGAGAGGTAGAGACCCGAAAGGCTTTAGAGGAGCTTCGAGAATATTGTAACAGTCCAGACTGCTCTGCTTGGAAGACTGTTTCTCGAATCCAGTCTCCAAAGAGGTAAAGTCTTGGCCAGCTATTCCAGGCATCTAGCAGGGTAATTGTGACCTTGCGTTTTAATAGAGATCATACTTGTAGATAAACATTTTGTATTGGTAGTTTTGTTTTCCTGTTCATGTAGGGGTGGTTGAGAAAAAGATACATATATATATCATCTATGTTAAATAGTAGCCTGTTTTCTGCTTCTTCAAGGAACCATCTCCTCTGGATTTGATTATAGTATTGAGAGGAGAAGACTCCAGTATCACGTTAAGTTTCCTGTGTCTGAGTGGGTTTTTTGCAGGAGGCAGTGGTGTTCCCTTTTTATTTGGGAGCAACTGTACCAATGAGTTTGTGAAGCTTCAATTTGGAATCCTGATGGCCATATGTTTATAGGGCCATAAACATGAATAAATGTGTAATGCCCCATAATCTTATCAGGATTACAGATGACTAAAAGAACCTTAGCACTTTCCTAACTAAAAGGATAGGCTAGTGCTTATTAAGCAGGATGGGGTTTCAGGGGATGTTGGCTTATGATCCCAACTTTCCTTTTCTCCTTGTTTCTTGCTTTTAGTCTACTTACCTGCCAGAGTAAGGATAGACTGTAAAATTTGAGCTGTGAGTGTATCAGGGGTTTCAGTTTGTTCTTATTTTGAAAGGAAACCAGAAAGGACAGAAGGCAGGTTCTTAATGAGTACTATCTTCTCTTTTCCAGATTTGCTGACTTTGTGGAAGGTTCTTCTCACCTCACACCAAATGAGGTTTCTGTCCATGAGCAGGAATATGGATTAGGGAGCATCCTTGCCCAGGATGAAATCTATGAAGAAACATCCACTGAAGAGGAGGACTCAGACCCTCAGTATCCTGCTATCACACAACAGATCAACTCCTGACTTAGGTGGTGGTCAGTTATCTTTATATGGACTGGCTTGGTATCTCAATGGTCCATGTTATGTTTGTGCACCATTGCTTCTCAACTCTTTGAAACAGGATGAGATAGCATAGAAATCCTCCCACTGAAATTAGAGGCCTGAGTAGGCATCCCTTTGGAAATGGTCTTGGTGGTCTCTGTGGGATCTCTGAGGGAGAGTGGGTAAAGTAGTGAATGCTTTCAATGCTTCCTATTGGTTGTTGGCCCACGTTTATGTTTCAAAAACAAAAAACTGGATGGCCACACCTAGCATGGCATTCTAGCGCCTCTTAAGGGTTGACTCGGTGGTAGCATTTCTGCCACCATCACTGGCACTCAAAAGTGAGAACTGTTACATGTGCAGCAATGTTTTCAGACCCTCGGCTGCATCTTCCAGAGAGAAACCCATAAATCTGAGCCTCCTTTTCTTCTTTTCTTTCAATGACTTTAGAATAATATTTGTTTTAGCTGTTTTAAGAGGAAAGTAGATTTTTATTTCTGTCTTGTTTTTTAAATGGATATATTTTTTTAAATGTAACAAACTCTTGTTCCAGAACCAGCAAGTGTTCCAGGTTGACAAGCCCATAGGCCTCTACATGCTTATTGATATGGATTATCCATTAACGCCCCAGAATTGTTGTGTTGAGCTTTGAATTAGTTCTCACAATATGATATTCTAAGTATCACTTGCTTTTAGGAACATTCTTGTGAACTCTTCTGTAGGGGAGGTTTTTATTATATGCAACTTTTAATTCTATCTTAAGACATTTGCATTCTTCCCTTCCCGTTCCTCCTTGTTCCCTTTGCTCTTTCAGGAAGTGTCTATTTCCTCAACTGTGATGTACAATTTAGGGTTCGTTCCATTTCTTATATTCTTTTCCCCTTGGTTGGTAGCATTATTCCTGCTAGTTGGGAGAAGTGATCGTTTTTTAGAGAATTTAAATACTTTTTACATGCTCTCTGTTTTTCCTGTCAGTGGAACATGTATCTTTGAGTTGCTATGGAATCAAAAAACTCTCCTTTTCTTCTCTCTTCCTTTGTCTACCCATTCTAACCATTCTTTTCAGCCTTTATCACTTTTATGCCCCGCCCCCCAATCTAGCTAATTTGTAAGCCCCGACACTATCTGTGAAGTTTCCTTGCTACAACATACAAGTTGTAGCTATGTAGCTGCCACAATTTGCATTGCTACAAAATAGACCTCCAGGTAATCTTGATGCCTCTTCATTCACCTATCAGGATCAGACACATTTTTCTATACTTACTGGCAGTTCCATTTCTGACCAGAGATTCATGCTGCCTTTTATCACAGTGGCATTAGTTTCAGATTCTTTTACCATTGGAAAGTACTTTTATAGACCAGCAATGGCATTTATGAGGGAGCAAATTCCCAAGTCTCTCATTTGCTTGGTTCTGTCTTGGTGATCTTCACCCCTGTACCTTGGAAGAAGCTGTAATTACTCTAGCCAGGAATATAGACACTGATAGCAGGAGCACAGCATCAGGCTCACTGGTTTACCATGATCATGAAGAAGGCAGATGATTTTTTTTAAAAAGCTGTAATATCTCCTTCAGACCAGCCATTTATCAGATAATCTTGAAAGGCCCTGGGCTCATTGCTGACTTCCAAAATGTCAGCTCTGAGACTCCCCTCCAGGTGGCCAGTTGATTATCACCACTAGTGTTTCCCATAGCTTTAAACTGTCCTAATGTGACAACTACCTCAATTGGCTGCAAATACACATATAGTAGAAAGTGAAAAAGCAGTATTTGGGCAGATGCTGAGGGGTTAAAGTTGCAGGGCAAACGAGCTTTATATTGGGAAACTTTTATGCCTTTGTAAATTAGGTACATGGTAAAATTTTATCTCTCTGCAAAGAACTGTTAGGACTCCTGGAATATAGTATTTTTTGCTTTATTTATAGAAATCAAGATCTAGCATATTTGAGCAGCAGTTGATTTAAAAAATAATTCATCTGTACAAGTGGTCTCAGGATTACCTGGACTTCGGTGCCTTCCCCCAGATTGCTTGTTGGGGAGGTGGTAGCTTGCCTCCAGGATGACTTTCCCTGCCTCTTATCTTTATCTCAGTGAGAAAGCACTGTGAAGCAGGGCAAGAGTCTCCTCTTTTTCTGCTTAAACTCCTTGTGAAATATAGTTTCCATCTCCAGGCCACTTCTTTTCACCATGTTTGAACTTGGGGTGAGTAAAATCAAACTCAGTTTATTACTCCATGTCTGTAGTCAGAGACCCGAGCTGTAGGCAGTGGAGCTGACCATAGGTCCTGCGGCAATGAGAGCTGCTCTGAGACAGTGAAGGACGACAGTGCCTTTGGTGTGCTGCGTGTCCTTGCCCTGCCTGCTTGTGTGGCTCTGCCCCAGATGCTTCAGAGCCTCCATAGGCCCGCAGATTGCTTGACTCCATAAACCTTCTTCGGAGCTCCTCTTGTCTCCCTCTTGGCCACTTAGTCTGCTGGCTCAGTCACTACTTGAAGCCCCCACTTAATTTTCTCTGGCAGTTACAACTCTAGCAATTCAGCATAGTCTCATCTCTCAGACTGATCTCATCGAAAAGGATTGAAGGGATAACCATGGAGTGAGCTGAACATTGGAGCCATGTCTGCTGCCATGTCAGCGTCTTGCTCGCAAATATGCAGCTGTAAATTGGCCCTAGGGCTCAAGGTCTCTTCAGCATCGGAAATCTGTCGCAGCTAATTGGTCTGACCAAGTTATGTAGAGCATGACTGCCATTAATTGGAATATGAGAGCCAGCTGGCCTAAAACATTTCCCCTTCCCTTCTCCACACAGATTGCTTTCATGAGACCAATGGAACCAATCACCAAAAATAAGGGCAGTTTTGCAACTAGGGTGTCTTCTAAGAAGAAGGTCCTATCAGCCACATCATCCCACCAAAACTGGTTTATTTCCTCCCCCCAAATTCATGACTTTTATGTCTGTTACAAAGAGGTTTCTGCTGCTCATAGTCTTTGGGTCCCAGTGTTCTATTTTGTGCTGATACATCCCATTCAAGGCCTAGCCCTTTCTTCACTGACTTCAACCCAATTCCCACCTGGCATATACGTTAGAGATTTGATGAATGAAAGGACCCAAATAGGCCAGATAGTCCTTCCTGGCCTTGATATCCATAAAAAGCTTGGAAATGGATTATGCAATTGCCCTTAATCTTTTTGTTCCAGAAAAAAGATGGGCTCAGATGGATGCCTGCGTAAAAATGGTTCTTAGCTGTGTACTCATAACTTTTCTCTGAATTGAGTAGTGAAAGTTGAAGTAGGAGGAAAGGAAATTAAATGTCCTTCTAGTATTCCTTTGGACTTAGGTCTGACATATGAGATAATAACCTATATTGAAATGCCAAGAACTTTATTTCAACCAAGGAGAGGATGGTTTGACAGATTTATTATGCCTTCATATTACATAGGCACTGAAACCAAGTAATAAACATATAAAAATAGCCATATGCACAAGGCAAATGCACCCAAAACCTCTTGTTTATGTTTTGATGTAGCAGAAATTTATTATTATGTTTAGGCAAACCTATGCAGTTATGGTGATCAGTGGTATCTTTTGGTAACTTAGCTTATGGACTCAGTTGCTGTTGAGGTGGATTCTAGATGGTTACTACCTTAAAAAGGGTGTTTGGTGCCTTATGTGATGGGAGCCAGAGCCTGCTGGGAATAAACAAAGCAGATTCATGTCCACATCAACACATAGCTTTAGTAGGGGGTGGGAATCGCACACAGCCTCCCCCAAATTTGGGACTTTGGGCTCCCACATCCCCTGCCTGTGTGTGTCATTTTCCTCTTTATACTCTTGACTCTTGACAGTAACTTGAAAATGGTGAAATCATCTTCTCTGAACTTTCCTACAGCATGGGCAGCATTCGTATCACTTTAACCTACTAGATAGCTCATAATGTGAGTATTAGGACTGTTACAGCCAGCCATTGCCTCAGTTTCCCATGTTTGTGGAATTGATGGTGAAATAGCAGGACTAAGGAATTCTTGGGTAAGTTTTAGCCTGTGGGTAATGCCTTAGTGTTGTTTTAAAAGATTTGTCATTTATATTTAAAATAAATGTTCACAAATGTTTGAAAGGAACAAAATGATCAGGGATGGCTCTTTGCCATGGGTCTCATTTTCACTCTTTTCTGTAAGAAAAAATAACAATGTCTTATTATATATTTTTTCATTTTTATTGTACAAATTTGTAAGTAATCCCAATTTTAATAAAGTTTTATAGACGATATAGTGGTCTCTTAACGTGTACTTCTCTTATTTGGATCACTTGAAACAATTAGCTTCTATGTTTCATCTTTCTGATGAGATGGTGTTGCATGCCATCTATTTTCCTCTTTTTCTGAACCACCACTCTTTACCCTGGGTCTGTCTTGGTCTACTTCCATCCTTTGGATGATTTCCTAGCATGCCAGATCTCTAAGGGGTATTTTTGCAGGAGTTGCAGGTTGTTATGACCATCTGTCTCAAGAAAAAACATGTATAGGTTATTCCTAGTCCAGGGAGCTCTGATTGTACTTCAGTTCTTTTTTTCTTTCTTTCTTTCTTTCTTTCTTTCTTTCTTTCTTTCTTTCTTTCTTTCTCTCTCTCTCTCTCTCTCTCTCTCTCTCTCTCTTTCTTTCTTTCTTTCTTTCTTTCTTTCTTTCTTTCTTTCTTTCTTTCTTTCTGATTTATTTATTTTGAGAGAGAGAGCATGAGCACTGGAGAGGGTCAGAGTGAGAGGAAGAATCTCCAGCAGATTCCCCACTGAGTACAGAGCCCCACTCAGGGCTCGATCTCACAACCCTGAGATCATGACCTGAGCCAAAACCAAGAGTCAGACACTGAACTGACCGAGCCACCCAAGCACACCTAGGTCGGTCGGTCTATCTATCTATCTATCTATCTATCTATCTATCTATCTATCATCTATTTATTTATTTATTATAGACATAGAGAGAGAGGCAGAGACACAGGAGGAGGGAGAAGCAGGCTCCATGCCGGGAGCCTGACATGGGACTCAATCCCGGGACTCCAGGATCCCGCCCTGGGCCAAAGGCAGGCGCTAAACCGCTGAGCCACACCAGGGATTCCCCCCTAGTTCTTATTGTTCTAACAATATCTTTTGTTTCTCCACTGGAGTGAGGAGAAGACCTGGAGATCCAGCTGTGGGATGTCTGCCAAGAGCTTTGGGGGGAGGGAGGAGCACAGGCAGGGATATAGTGAATATTAAGGGCCATGGAATAATAACTTCAATTATGTCTAGGCCCAGCTTCTCCAGAAGTCTGGCACCTCCCGTTTTCTTTTATGTTTTAGCTATATCCTTTGTTCTGAAGATCTGTTATAGTATTTACATTAATTCTGACCCTGTGTCCTCTCTTCTCAGTTATTCAGACTACATAGAAATCTATTGTTCAGTTCTCAAAGATGGTAAAATAGGAAGAATCAGGATGGAGTCCATATGTAAATTTATATAAATTTATGCACACTAATGGCATCTTTCCCCCCCTCCCTTCTATAACTATACTAGGTAAAGAAGAGATGGAGGTGATTATTAATCATCGAATTATTAAAAGCTTAAAGCATACTTGCTAGGTATGCAACATAGGGTTTTAGTGAGGACAAAAAAAGATAATGTGTGTGAAGAAGTTCTTGGGGTGCCTGGGTGGCTCAGTTAAGTATCTGCTGCTGGCTCAGGTCATGATCGTGAGATTCAAGCTCTACATGGAGCTCCGTGATCAGCGGGGAGCCTGCTTCTACCTCTGCCACTCACCTCACTAGTTCTCTCTCTCAAATAAAATCTTTAAAAAAATAAAAAGTGTTCAAACTTGAACGTGCATAGGAATCATCTGGGAAGCTTGTTCAAATGCAGACTTCTGATAGAGTAAATCTGGCTTGAGGCCCAAGATTCTGCATTTCTAATAAGCTCCCAGGTGATTGAGGTGTGGGGTGTGGTCCTTTCTGAATAGCAAGGATGTAAAACACTTAGCTTGTTGCCTGGCACACAGTATTTGATCAATGTTACTAATTGACACAAAATAATTTGTGACAGTCAAGAAGACCCTCTACCACCAAACATCTGCACATATCTGAAAACTTCTGTGTTTGTATTGTGTAGCATCATTTAAAAAAAGATATTAATTAGTTTAATCAGACTCCTGCCTTCCCAACGCCATTAGTCATCGGCACTGAAGGATCTAGAATTTTCGTCTTTCTTCTTTTTTTTATTTTTATTTATTTATTTTTATTTTTATTTTTTTTAAAGAGACTTTATTATTTATTCATGAGAGACACAGAGCTAGAGAGGCAGAGACACAGGCAGAGGGAGAAGCAGGCTCCATGCAGGGAGCCTGACGTGGGACTGGATCCCGGGTCTCCAGGATCACGCCCTGGGCCGAAGGTGGCACTAAACCGCTGGGCTACCTGGGCTGCCCTCTTCTTTTTTTCAACTTTTCTTTTTGCCAGCTTCACTGAAGTATCATTTATATACAATAAAATTCGTTAGTTTCAAGTTTTGCTGAGTTTTGACAAGAGGAGTTAATTGACAGTTGTGTAATCACTACCAGGGCCATGATTCAGAGCATTTCCATTGCCCCCAAAGTTCCCTCATGCCCCTTATAGAAATGTTAATGGAGAGAAGAGGAAGGGGGTTTCAGAATCAATGGTGAGAGACCTGTCAGCTCCAGTTACTTCAGTTTTGCCTGAGGATCAAATCACAGTCCTGCCTCCTCCATGTTTCCTCTCACCCCAGGAATGCTTTGACACATCTTGAAATCCCCACTGACTTGGATGTGTATTTGTACCTCACTAATTTAGAGTGATCCATTCATCCCGGTTTGGCCAGCATCTTCCTAGTTCAGAGAACTCTGCAGGTCTGAGACAAACTAGGATGGTTGGTCACCCCAGCTGTGATGTTCATGCCATTGTCTCTCGGCCTGAGGATGCCATCTCATTTTAGAATCCCTTCTCTTGTGTGAGCACATGGCAGGCACTCAGAAAATGAGTGAGTGGGTGGACACAGAAATACACCCCAAGCTGTAGGCAGCTGCGGATTCCGGGCCTGGAGAACAGGAGACCTGGGTTCTGGTTCCAGCTCGGCCAGGTTGGCAGTGGTGTGATCCTGGGAAAGGGGCTTCTCACCCTAGGTTTGTTTCCTCCCTGTGAAACAGAGGATCTGTAGTCCTTTTTGCTTCTGACACAGAGGCTGCTTCCACTTACACCTGGGATTATGTGCTGATGGCACTTCCACTGGCTTCCTCACTTTCTCTTTCCCTTGCCTTTTTTCTCCCTTCAGATATATATAGGAGATCAATAAATCATGTAAGGGCAGGTTGATAATGGAACTGCTGATGGGCCAGTCATCTGCAGAGTGCTTCTATGAGAGCAGTAAAGTTTGGACCTTGAACCAAGCAGCTGTGGCTGGGAGTTGGAGGATCCAGTCTCTTTGCAGCTAAGTGTGTGTAATGACCCATTTGCTCTTTGTGCATGCCTGGGAGAGAGGACGGTAGGCAGAGGGAGCCTGTTTAGGAATTTTCCTGGGTGAATGAGGGGGTACCCTGGTGAATAGGATTGTATAAGCTCCTTATCTATTGGAGGCAGCTATTTCCAGCTGCGCTAGTACCCGGGAAGCAGCATATCAGGGTCTCATTCAGGTTCCTCATACAGAAGGATTAAAATTAGGAATACCAAGACTTGGGCTCAAAGCTGTGGCCAACTGAGGGTCAGGAAGCTGCATTCTGTTCCTGCCACATACTGTCTGTGGAACCTCTCTGAGCCTCAGTCTCTGCCGCTAATTTTCATTTTCAATGGAGTGAGTAGCTGCACTGCCTAGCTCACAGGGTGGTGTGATTCAGTGAGATGATACAGGTGGGAATCGGTGAGCTGACATCGATGCAAATGCCGGGTGGTATTACTAACTATAGTGTTTGGGTCTGTTTGTGGGGGCTTACTCGTGGGGGGAGGGGAATTTGGGGATTTTATCTGCTTGGTTCCCCCAAGTAATGTCATTAATACCCTCTGACTCCCAATGAGATAGGAAGGTTTGAGGCAAGTACTGTTTCTTTGCTAGGAAGACACCCCAGCCTACCTTCCTCTTTGACAACATTTCTGACTTTTTGGAAAAGCTTTCCCTTGGCTATAAATCCCACTCTTGCTCTTATTTCCAAATTTGGGGGGCAGTGGAGCAAGATGTCTACCTGAGCCCAGCCAGATACCCTTTCCTACCTAGAAGGGGTTTTCTCATGTCACCGAGCATCTCCCTCTGGGGCTTCAGGCCTGGGAAGGGTTAATCGAGCCACACCCTCAGCAGGAACAGCCTCGGACTTTGTGCTGAGCAGCCATCTCTGGCCTCTCCTGGCTTGATTGACACAGGGAGCCTTGGTTGGAGGAGGCAGCACAGTGGAAGGTCAGAAGCGTGGACACTGGCGAGAGGAGGGAAACCCCTTTCCTGGCCTCCTGGACACCATGGACAGCTCCCATTAATGAGGATACCTCTCCATTCTCCGGGCCTTGAGACTCCTATGCCCCCTTCCTGTCAAATTGGGATTTCATTCACCATTCTCCAAGGGACACCCTAGTTCCGGTGTTGGGTGAGTCTTACCCTAACCTGTCACTGCTCTGCACATCTTGGGGTGCCCTATTCTGGGGACTGCTTCTTTTTCCCCTTCCCTCCCTCTGACCAATCACATTCCCACTCCCCTCAAATCCAAATCCAAATCCAAGGAAGATGGCTTCTTCCAGCCCTGCTTCTGCTGCTCACCATTGCCTGCCCCGTTACTTAAGAACTTAACTTTTATTTTTTAATCTGAAAAATGTGGGATGATAATAATAACTACTTCATGGGAATATTGTTTGTAAGCATCAAATGAATTCATATATGTAGTGTTTAGAGCCCTGCCTGGTCCATGGTACCTGATTGTCAGAGATTGCTATTGTCACTATTCTTTTTTTTTTTTTTAAAGATTTTATTTATTCATGAGAGAGACACACACAGAGAGGCAGAGACACAGGCAGAGGGAGAAGCAGGCCCCGTGCAGGGAGCCTGATGCGGGACTTGATCCAGGTAGTCCAGGACCATGCCCTGAACCAGAGGCAGACGCCTAACCACTGAGCCACCCGGGCGTCCCTATTGTCACTATTCTTATTGCTCCTAGTTTTGTCCTTCCAAGAAGTGACAAGTGCTCTCATTTTCTGGAACTTGGGGAAAGCAGAGTGAAGGCTGAAAGTAGCCAGTGTTCCCCTCTTGCCCCACCTTCCATTTCTTCTTCCCTCCCCTCCCCCGCCAGGTTTAGCATTGCTGGAGACTGGAAGGATGTGGCTTTTTTATTTCTCTTAGGGAGTAGCCCTGACCATTGTACTAATGATTCTGTTCTGCACCAGGCCACCCCACCTACTCAGTCCCACAGGAAAGACTGAGGGGGGCTGGGCTTCCTCTAGAGGTTACAACTGCCATGTGCCCACTGCATGGGGACTGAGCCTCACAATGACTCTGTTCCTCCTAGCCCACTCCCACCAGCTACTACAAAGCTAGGTGTGTCCCCGTGGGGCAAAGTCCATGCCGGAAGGTTACAGCAATGGGTGTAAAAGCTGGAGATGGAAAAACAGGGACAGACATATAGGCATATACAGAGATCATGACAGCTACTTGATGTTGGAGAAACCAACCTAATGTTTGTTTAGGATATTCTAATCTTTTTTAAAAAATATATTTTATTTATTTGAGAGAGAATGTACGTGAGCAGGGAGGAGGGGCAGAGGGAGAGGGACAAGTGAACTCCTTGCTAAGCAGGGAGCTGGACATGGGGCTCGTCCCAGGACCCTGGGACTCATAGACCTGAGCTGCAGGCAGATGCTTAACTGACTGAGCCACCCAGGCAGCCCTAGGATATTCTAATCTTTTATGGAGGAACTCCTGCTTCTCTCCTCTAACTCATTAGTCACCTCATCCAGCCTCCATTTAATTATTTTTTAAGATTTACTTATTTATTCATGAGAGACAGAAAGAGGCAGAGACACAGGCAGAGGGAGAAGTAGGCTCCCTGCAGGAGCCTGATGCGACACTTGATCCCAGGACCCTGGGATCATGACCTGAGCCAAAGGCAGACGCTCAACCACTGAGCCACCAAGGCGCCCCTCTGGCCCCCATTTATTTTTTTTTCTGGCCACCATTTAAAAGATGAACCTCACTGTGGCAATGAGAGGGACCCTTGGAAGAACTTTTGCGCTGGGTATGAGTGGGCTGGGTGACTGAAATGGAGGTTGTGAGAGGTAGGAGCTGAGAAGGAGAACTGGAGGCAGAGGGTCAGCGAGTCCGGACCCTGGCTGGGACCTCAGTGAGGGAGCTAGTGAGCTTTCAGAGCTCACCTTTTCCTCCCCAGGCTGCTCTCCTGCAAGCACAACTGTGCCACCCCCTATCCCACCCCACCCTGTGGCTGCCTGCTGGGTTCCTTCCTTACCTTGGTCAAAGGCAGGTAGGTGGTCGTGTCCGCCCCTGCCCCACCCCTCCAGCCCTAACTCAAGAAGCAGGGGATTCTCCTCACTGGAGGAGAGTTTCCACAGCTTCCCACAGCTAGCTTGGGCTAGTCCAGAGTCCGCCCTGGGTTGAGGACTCTCTAGGGCCAAGAGTTGGAGAGGAAGGCTCTCTTAGGTCCTTCTGCCCACTTCCCCCCACATAGCTACTGGCCCCTAAAGCTGAGGAGACTTCAGCAAACTGATTCCCTTATTCTCAGGATCCTCTGGCCATGAATCTCCTGGAAGGCTCTGTGGGGGTGGAGGACCTTGTGCTCCTGGAACCCCTAGAACAGGAGCCTCTGCTCAAGAACCTCCAGCTGCGCTATGAAAGCAAGGAGATTTATGTGAGTGCATCTGGGTGCCCCTGGCTGGGGGTGCGTGGCCAGAGAGTTCATGGGCTCCTATGGCTTCCTCCCCCTCCAAACACCGCCTACCCCCCCACCCCTGCTCATTCTCTTTACCTTTTTTTGGCTCTAGACCTACATTGGGAATGTGTTGATCTCAGTGAATCCCTACCAACAGCTGCCCATCTATGGCCCGGAGTTCATTGCCAAATACCAGGACTATACCTTCTATGAGCTGAAGCCCCATATGTATGTAAAGTGGCCGAGGGAAGGCTGAGGAGGCCCCAGCTTCCTGACAGCGACACACCCTAGTTTCCTTCATCCTTTCTCCTGAGGGGGGCTCTCCAGCCTCCCCCTTCTCCCTGGCCCCAGGAAGCCCCTTTCCTAGACCTACCACTGCCTCAGTCTAGTCCAAGTGAGGAGGGAGGATGACTCTGGGGGCTGGAGATGGAGTGAAAGCTGGTATCCTAGATTAACCCCACCTTAGTCATCACCTGCTTCCTCCCCCCAAGCTACGCTTTGGCAAATGTGGCATACCAGTCGCTGAGGGACCGAGACCGAGACCAGTGCATCCTCATCACAGGCGAAAGCGGAGCTGGCAAGACCGGTGAGGCGCCTGGCTAGGGGAGGCCGTGCAATCCCTGCTAGAACTACTCCCTCTTCTCTTTCTCTTTCCAAGCCAGGACTGGTCCTGCCCCACCCTAGAAATTCCTTCTCGGCTTGTCTGATCCTGAGGGCTGTGAGGTGTGGGACTTAAGGGGCATTAAGGAGGGTGGTGGGGATCCATGTGAAGGTTTCTCTTTCACAGAGGCTAGTAAGCTGGTGATGTCTTACGTGGCGGCTGTCTGTGGGAAAGGGGAGCAGGTGAACTCCGTGAAGGAGCAGCTGCTTCAGTCAAACCCGGTGCTGGAGGGTGAGGATTCCAGTCTCTCTTGTGCACCCCAGCCCTACCCTACTGGCCCCAGAGACACTCAGCCCTGTTCTCATTCTGCCTGGAAAATCTGAGACTGGCATGATGGCTAGAAGACCTTCCTCCTTCCCCTTCTCCAGAGCCCCCCTCTCCCCTCAGATCTCCTCACCTCCCCTCTCTCCATCTCTGCAGCTTTTGGCAATGCCAAGACCATTCGCAACAACAACTCCTCTCGATTTGTGAGTGACCATCTCCCTGGCCTGGGAGGAGAGGGTGTGGGGGCTTGAGAAGAAGGGATGTGGCACAGACCCTGCCAGACAGGGTGGTGAGCAGAGGAGGAAGCAAGGTCTGTCTCTCTCTCTCTCTCTCTCTCTCTCTCTCTCTCTCTGTCTCTCTCACCTCTGAAGGGAAAATACATGGATGTTGAGTTTGACTTCAAGGGATCCCCCCTCGGTGGCGTCATCACAAACTGTATGTGTCTCCCCATGCTGCCCACCACCTCTCTCGCCTCCCTGGCCCACAGTTCCCCCTTTGCCCATTTGCTATCGTGGGAAGGAACAGTAGGCTGGCAGGAGACTGCCCAGCCACGGGGGATGCCAGCGCCAAGGGCAGACTTGGGGGGAAGCGGTGGCGTCCTCCCCGTTCCTCAGGATGCTATTTTCTAACCCCCTCCGCCAGATCTGCTTGAGAAATCCCGAGTGGTGAAGCAGCTCAAAGGAGAAAGGAACTTCCACATCTTCTATCAGCTACTGGCCGGAGCGGATGCACACCTGCTGAGTATGTGCCTGTCCCAGACACACGACAGAAGAGCCCCAACCTCCGTTCAGTCCCTAGAGCCTTGGGCCCCTCTAGGCCCCTGGAGCCCTCATTCCTCTTCCTGCGCTCCTCACTCAGCATCTCATCCGCTCATTGTTGGGAACAATCCCCTGACCTCTGTGTTCTCTTCTTTTTCGGGGATTGTATTGCTAGGAAGAAGCCTTCTTGCCTCTTGACCTTCTCTTACTCCTCTCTCCTGCTTGGGTTCCTCTTTCCCCAGGCTGGCTTCAAAAGCAGAACACTTATTTCCATTTTTCATTCTTTCCTACCTTCAGTTTAAGGGACTTTTTTGATAGCTCAGCAGAAAATCATGCAGGATATTATAAGTGGTCAGGAACTTTTGATGAGCTGGAGTTGAAGTTGTTCTGGGTCTACCTCCACCTCATCCAGGCCCTGGCCCTGGTTTACTCTTCTTAGATGGTTTTATGGGGGTTCCATTTATTCATTCATCAAACATCTCTTGATCACTTACTGTGATGGAACATTGTGCTAGCCTCTAGCGATTCAGAAGTGAATATGACATGGACCATGTCCTCGAGAACTTACGGTCTTCCAGGGATGGCAGATGTGTAAGCAGAAACACTGCAAAATACAGTGTGATCGAGTGCCAACAGGTCTGTGCAGGTGGCTATGGGAGGGGAAGTCACAGAACACTCTGCTTGTCCCAGGGAGCCCTGGATCCTCGATGGGCCCAAGGTGGCTCTGGGTGGGCATCACTGCAGAGTCTGGTGGGACTTCAGGCCTTGCCAGTCCTGCCTCTAGCTGTGAGCACTGTGGGTATCTGGCCCCAAGGACCTGTCGATTTGGCTTCTGGTTGTTCTCTGCTGGACTTGTGTCTATCTCCTTTCCCTTCCTGGGGATTTCCGCGGTTTGAGAGCCCCTGCAGGTCTCATTATTCCTTCCTGGCTCAGTGGTCTTGGTTGTGTTCAGTGTGTCTGAATCATAGGCACTAGTACCTTGTTCTGGTTGATTCTGTTACCCATTGATGTAAGCTAAGTCTGGGTGGGACCTCCCTTGTGTCATCAGCCCTTTCTGACTCATTCTTTGTCCAGATACCTCTCTTTAGTAGGTTCCTGTTTCAAAATTTGTGTTTCTGGGGAAGCTGCCATTAAACTGTAGTTTGAGGGATATTCCCTGATTCTCAGATCATTTGAATAACAGATAATTGATATCCTTCAAGCTCCATGCTTAACCTATTACTTCCCATCTCAGGTGAACAGCTTTGACTGTTCCCTTCATTAAAAAGAAAAAAGTTTGTACATGCCAGGCAGGCACACAGAGTATGAAGATGAAAATGTCCCAATGCACAAGTTGTTCATTTGTGGGAGAGACAGAAAAAAACAAAAACCTAGCCCATGTGTTATGGGTTGGGATAGAGATCCACCATGGGGATCATAAGAGAATGGCTCAGCCCCACAACGTCAGAGAAAATCTTCCAGAAGAGGGGTCAGGATTGGGGAACATGGCATCTGCCTTCTTGTTGGCGCTTAGTGAACAAATAATGAATGAGCTAACTCTGACCAACGGTAAGATGTTGAGGCTGGGTAGGAGATATGTGCTCGCCCTTCTTTCCTCACCCTTGTCCTCTCAGAGCCTCTGAGAACTGAGCAGGGTGGAGAGTTTGCTTATTTATTTTTATTGTTTAGAAACTGAAGGTGGGAAGAAGAGTGGAATGAGTCTTTTCTTTCATAAAAGTCGGAAGAAAACCCCAACAATTAAGAACATGCAAACCCTAAATACTGCTTAAAAATTTAGTCTATTATTGTGGAAACTAATGATCCCCACACAAAGGAGGCTGGGGCAGAGCCTAAAACGAAAATGGTTCCTTTGAATGAGCCAGTAAACCAAGCCAGGGCAGGGGCTGTCAAGGCCAGAGGACTCCTGAGAGCTCCACGTACTAACCCTCTCCTCACACTGGCCCTCCCAGCGGCCCTAAAGCTTGAGCGAGACACAAGTGGCTATACCTACCTAAACCAGAAAGTGTCCAGAGTTGACGGCATGGACGACGCTGCCAACTTCAAGGCTGTACAGGTGGGTGCCTGGGGTGGGCCCTTAGACTGTCCCCGGAGCCCAGGATTTGGCTTTGAGAAGGGAGGCGTTGAGCTGGCACCGCACAGTTCAGCTTCTGATTTCTGCTCTCTCCTCAAGAGTGCGATGACCGTGATTGGGTTCTCGGAGGAGGAGATTCAGCGGGTGCTAGAGGTGACGGCCCTGGTTCTGAAGCTCGGGAATTTGGAGCTGGCAGATGAGTTCCAGGCCAATGGCGTGTCAGCCAGTAGCATCCGGGATGGGAAAGGTCTGTACCACCCTGCTGGTACCTGTCCCCCGCAACCCCAGGCGGCTCCCTGAAGCTCCTACTACAATTTCTATTTTTTCACCATCTCCTGTGTAACTGACTTCACTCCCATTCGGTGTCACTCAGCCCGTTCCTGAGTTCTTCCCCAAACACACTCATGGAGAATCCCCAGGGAGGCATTTGGGAATGAGGTTATGAAGTTTGATAGACCTACATTCTGGGACCTCTCTGAGTCTCCCTGGAGTCTTTGCAAAGAACCTCAGGAGATTCTCCTCATAAAGCAGATAAGGCACTCAGTGTCCAGAGCTCCCTCTCTCTTCTCAGAGATTTCTCCTGGGCCATGCTCTGGATGGGCTGTAAGGACATCCTCAGCAAGACCCAGGGGCACTTGTCTCCCAGCAGTGTCATGTCTCAGCCCCCCTCCCTCTCTGGGAGGGAATCCCTTTTCCAGGCCATGCTGTATTTCCTCCCCACCCCAGGTGTTCAGGAGATTGGGGAAATGGTGGGTTTGAATTCAGAGGAACTAGAGAAAGCTTTGTGCTCAAGGACCATGAAAACAGCCAAAGAGAAGGTGGTCACTGCCCTGAATGTCATCCAGGTAAGGGCCCTATGTGTGGGTGATTTGGGGACCCTTCTGTGGCTGCCATCCTAATGAGCTGGCTCTGCCCTGCAGGCTCAGTATGCTCGCGATGCTCTGGCTAAGAACATCTACAGCCGCCTTTTCAATTGGATAGTGAATCGAATTAATGAGAGTATCAAGGTAAGAGATTACTCTCCTCCCTCCTGTCTGCCTCACCTTTCTTGCCCTGCACCACTCCCATACTTTGGGTTCTGAGATGAACAGAGTAAGAAGGATGAATGGTAGGATACAGTTCCTTCCAATAGTGCATTGTTGTGGAAACATCTCTGGTTTTTTGAGTTTGACTCTCTGGATCCCCTACTTACCAGCTGTGTGGCCTTTCAGTTTCACAGAGATTCTGAGCCTCAGTTTCCTGATTTGGAAAATTGGACACTAATGCCTACCTGTTTCACAGGGCTTAGTGAGGATCAGATAAAATTATGTACCATATAACCCAGAAATTCCACACCCAGATATATATTTAAGATATATATCTAAGAGATTTGAAAACAGGTGTCCACTTAAAAACCAGTACCCATGGGGATCCCTGGGTGGCTCAGCGGTTTAGCGCCTGCCTTTGGCCCAAGGGCGATCCTGGAGACCTGGGATCGAATCCCACGTTGGGCTCCCGGTGCATGGAGCCTGCTTCTCCCTCTGCCTAGGTCTCTGCCTCTCTCTCTCTCTCTGTGACTATCATAAATAAATAAAAATAAAAATAAAAAAACAGTACCCAAAAGTTCATAGAGGCATTATTCATTTTTAGCCAAAAAGTGGAAATGACTCAAATGTCCATCTGATGATGATAGATAAACAAAATGTGGTATATTCATATAATGGGATATTATTTGGCCATAAAAAGGAAAGAAGTACTAATTCATGCTCAACATGGATAAATCTTTTTTTTTAAAAGATTTTATTTATTTATTCATGATAGTCACACAGAGAGAGACAGAGAGGCAGAGACACAGGCAGAGGGAGAAGCAGGCTCCATGCAGGGAGCCTGACGTGGGATTCCACCCCGGGTCTCCAGGATCGCGCCCCGGGCCAAAGGCAGGCGCCAAACTGCTGCGCCACCCAGGGATCCCAACATGGATAAATCTTGAAAACATACAAGGAGGAGAAGCCAGACACAGGGCACATATTAGATGATTCCATTTATATAAAATGTCTGAATAGACAAATCCATGGAGATTGGGAGTAGATTTATGGTTAGCAGGGGCTTAGGGGATGGGAAGCTGGAGTGACTACTAATGGGTATGGGTATAAGATTTCTTTTCTTTTTTTGGGGGGGGTATAAGATTTCTTTTGGGGATAATGAAAATGCTCTGGAATTAGGTAGTGGTGATGGTCATACACCTTTTGAATATACCAGAAAAACCCACTGAAGTATATACCTTTAAAGGTAAATTTTATGGAATGTGAATTGGATCAAAATAGAGCTATTGTTCAAATATTTTGTACATGAAAATGCCATCAGTTCAGAAGCTATTACTGAAAGGCAGCAGGAGAAAATAGGATTTGAATCTAGGTTTGGGTAAATGCTTAGCCCTCTTGAAATTTGATTTGTTCATCTGTAAAATGGGAATAATCACACCTTACGGGTTATCATGAGGTTTAATGAAGTAAGAGCATAGAATTTTTTGTAAAATGCTCTACAAATCTAAGAGATGATTATTTTCCTGAGAGGATCTTAATATCTTCCTGACTCGCACCCTTGGGAGCACCAGCCTGGAATCTGTTCATATCTCCCTTCTCCCTTCCTTTGCTTGTCCTCTAGCAGGAAGGAAGAAGAATAAAATCACAACATTTCTTTCCCAGCGTGGTCAATCTTTCTCTCTCTCTTTAAAGATTTTATTTATATATTCATTAGAGATACACAGAGAGAGAGAGGCAGAGACATAGGCAGAGAGAAACAGGCTCCCTCCAGGGAGCCTGATGCAGAACTTGATCCCGGGGTCCCTGAGCCAAAGGCAGACGCTCAACCACTGAGCCACCCAGGTGTCCCCCAGCATGGTCAATCTCACGAGTTGGCCTTCTGCTCCAATCACCTCCCTCCAGATGGCCCTGGCCTGGTGTACAGAGGAGGCCCATCCTTAGAGTTATCTTTTCCTTCCCTTCAGGTGGGCGTTGGGGAGAAGAAGAAGGTAATGGGGGTCCTGGATATCTATGGCTTCGAAATTTTAGAGGTGAGAGAGCTTCACCCAATTGCAGCACCCTGCTCCCCTGGGCTTGGAATGTGTAGACTCAAAGGGGGTGGTTTGAGAGAGGGGAGGTGTAGGACCGAGAGGGAAGGGTCTTGGGCTGAGCTGCTCCCTCTCTGCACTGGGTTCCCTCCCTCAGGATAATAGCTTTGAGCAGTTTGTGATCAACTACTGCAATGAGAAGCTGCAGCAGGTGTTCATCGAGATGACGCTGAAAGAGGAGCAAGAGGAATATGAGAGAGAGGTACGCTGAGCCTTCCCCCACTTACCTTCTTGGAAATTACTTCTGGGCATGTGCCAGATCTGTCCTTTCCTCCATCACAATTTCCTCTCACTTGTCCCCAGATGGGAACACAAAGGACAAAAAGTTTCCCTTGCACAGGTGAACAACAGTCTAGCATTACCCAGAAGCCCTGGTTGTTTTTATTTTTTTAAAGATGTTATTTATTTATTCATGAGAGACAGAGATAGAGGCAGAGACACAGGCAGAGGGAGAGGCAGGCTCCCTATGGGGAGCCCGATGTGGGACCCAATCCCTGATCCCCGGGATCACAGCTTGAGCCAAAGGCTCAACCACCGAACCACCCAGGCGTCCTGAAGTCCTGGTTTTTGTTCTCCATCCCCCAGTCCCCCTGCTCCTCTCCTCCACCCCCTGCAGGCCACGCAAAGAAGGGTCACACTGATGGAAGGGTGTGTGTGGGGAGACCTCACAAGGGTAAGGTGACAGCTGTGCGTGGCCTGCGGCACGCTTGAGCCAGATTTAGCGGAGACATTTCTCTTGGCCTTGTCACCCTACCACATCCCTCTCGGTGCTTTTCTCTAATGTTACAGAATTCTTTGTCTCCTCGAGCCCTGGCTGATGTCAGCGTCCCCTCTTGTAGCACCCTGATCCCAGACTTCCTCCTCAGACGTGCCCCGTGGCTCAACATTTCCACACTCCTTCCCTGGTTCGCGAGGACCTTTGTTTTCTATGACTAGGTGTTAGAAAAGCTATCTAATTGAGCTAATCCACCCCAAAGTGTGAACAGCTGAAGTCTCTCATCAAAACCCTCCTAGGGATGGCTGCCTGTGAGCCTTCAGGAATTTCCTGTGCCGAATTTCAGACAGTGTGGTCACGATGCGGGGGGAAAGGGTTTTCTTTAGTTGTGTTGTATCTTTTAATTTTAAAAATTTAAACGATCAGATACAGAATACATTCCTATACTTCCAAATTCAAAAAGCTGGGGCAACTGGGTGGCTCAGGGGTTGAGCATCTGGCTTCATTCAGCTCAGGGCGTGACCCTGGGGTCCTGGAATCGAGTCCCGCATCAGGCTTCCTGCATGGCACCTGCTTCTCCCTCTGCCTGTGTCTCTGCCTCTTTTTTTCCTTTCTTTTTACGATTTCATTTATTTATTCACGAGAGGCACAGAGAGAGAGAGAGAGAGAGAGAGAGAGAGAGGCAGAGACACAGGCAGAGGGAGAAGGAGCCTCCATTCAGGGAGCCCAAAGCAGGACCTGATTCTGGGTCTCTGGGATCCTGCCCTGAGCCGAAGGCAGCGCTAAGCCGCTGAGCCACCCAGGCTGCCCTATGTCTCTGCCTCTTGAGGTCTCTCATGAATAAATAAATAAAATCTAAAAAAAAAAAAAAAAGGAACCGAAGCACCTTAACGAACTGAGCCACCCAGGTGCCCCCATTCTTTTTTTTTTTTTTTAATACATCTGAGGTTAGGCTGCTAGGAATTTTTTTTAATTTCATTTATTTATTCATAGAGACACACACACAGAGAGAGGCAGAGACACAGGTAGAGGGAGAAGCGGGCTCAAGCAGGGAGCCCAACGTGGGACTCAATCCCGGGTCTCCAGGATCACGCCCTGGGCTGCAGGCGGCACTAAACCGCTGCACCACTGGGGCTGCCCAGGTGTCCTCATTCTTGCTGTTTCTTTTTTCTTTTCTTTAACTATACAATCCCAAAGTATCAGGTGGATTAGTGGCTCTTAAACTGTGTCCTGCGCCAGTAGCATCAGCAACCCCTCTTAGAAAGGCAGATTCCTGCGCTCTGTCCCAGACATGCTAAATCAGAAACCCTGCAGGTGGGGCCCAGCAGTCTGTTTTCCCAAGCTCCCCGGATAAGTGTGATGCAAGTGGGAGTAGCATTGATGTAGGTCTTTGAAGATGTATCAAGTTAGGTGTGTTGTTTGATGAAGTTGGCTCATGTGCTTTGGTTTTATAGGTCATTGCAAGAGCAGTGCAGTCATTTGCTCTTGCACATACTCAGGGACCCTTCCCTCCTCCCACACTGGGGTAATCCCTATCCTAGCCTTCACTCAACGTGTTACACTTCCCTCTCCACCCCACAGCACCTACAGGGCTCTCTGCAGCATCTCCCACTCCCTCACAGCTGCTTTGGGTCCTCCCACGAGTCTATCCACTCACCCCACCAATTCTCCACCAACGTCGAAGGGATGGGAACCTAAACAGAAACCACACCAAGCACCCCTCTTAACTATAGGATTTTTCTGAGCCCTTTGTGGGTTGGGTGAAAGGAAGCCTGAGTCCCATGAGGTCTTTGAAGACTTGTCTTGGACCTGCTCCTGTAACCTGTCATGTCTCTTCTCGCCAGGGCATACCATGGACAAAGGTGGACTACTTTGATAATGGCATTATCTGCAACCTCATTGAGCATGTGAGTTACCCTTCTCTCATCTCTGAGACCTACTTCCTCTTCCAGAAACTGCCTGAATATCCTTGCCCTGTCTCTCCCATCCTCTTCCCCTGCTCCACTTGGTAAGGATGGTAAGGAGGACAAAGCTGAGGTGCAGTGGGGCGGCAGTGAAGATGTGGACATATTGGAGAACCTGGCCTATGTTGGGCTGATCTTGTTTCCCTGACCAGAATCAGCGAGGCATCCTGGCCATGTTGGATGAGGAGTGCCTACGGCCTGGGGTGGTCAGTGACTCCACCTTCTTAGCAAAGCTGAACCAGCTTTTCTCCAAGCACGATCACTATGAGAGCAAAGTCACCCAGAATGCCCAGCGCCAGTATGACCACACCATGGGCCTCAGCTGCTTCCGCATCTGCCACTATGCGGGCAAGGTGACACAGCAGGGCTGGAGGGTAGAGACTAGGGCTGGACATGAGTGGAAGGCAATGGGGGAGGAAACTGCCGGGAGATGATATTTGGGAATTCTTCATGATGAGACTGGGAGCACCAAGTACTGGGACAAGGTCATGGGCCTCCAGACCAATAGCTGTTCCTCTACAGGTGACTTACAATGTGAACAGCTTCATTGATAAGAACAATGACCTACTCTTCCGGGACTTGTCCCAGGCCATGTGGAAGGCCCAGCACCCCCTCCTTCGGTCCTTGTTCCCTGAGGGAGATCCCAAGCAGGCATCTCTCAAGCGCCCCCCAACTGCTGGGGCCCAGTTCAAGAGTTCTGTGGCTATACTCATGAAGAACCTGTATTCCAAAAACCCCAACTACATCAGGTAACATGCTGGGCATATAGGGACATGACATGCAGCATACACAATGGCACATGCAGTTTCCGTGCGCTATAGAATCTGTCCATTGCAGCGGGGGTGGGATGGTCTCTGGAAAAGCCGCATCAGAGGCCCTTTCCTCATAAAATATAAAGCCAGATGAGTTGCTGAGAGTCCTATAGCAGGGAGAGCATCAGACTTTGGTAGGGACCATGCATGCTACAGTGAGCGAAGCTCAGAAGGCCAGTGTGTTCACTTCCTCTGAAAATTTTTCTACTAAGGGGAATATGTGCAGAATAGGGTTCCAGAGACCAGGATGGGTCATGCTTGCAAAGGTGAAGCTCCTGAGGCCTGTGCCTTGCACCCTTCTGCCCCAAGGTGTATAAAGCCCAATGAACATCAGCAGCGAGGTCAGTTCTCCTGGGATCTGGTGGCCATCCAGACTCAGTACCTGGGACTGCTAGAAAATGTGCGGGTGCGACGGGCGGGCTACGCCTACCGCCAGAGGTACGAGCCCTTCCTGGAACGGTACCGACTGCTGAGCCGGAGCACATGGCCTCGCTGGAATGGGGGAGACCGGTAAGGCCCCTGGGGAAGACTGGGGAGCAGGGAAGGGCAGGGCGGGAACCATCTGGGGGCTGGGGAGAGAGCAGAGAGTGCCATGGAAATCACCAAAGCTCTGTGAATAGATACCTGGGGAAATAGATGATCACTTTTCAGAAGTTCTGAAGTCTGTTCAAGCCCTGAACTTTTCTCCCTGGGTATATGGAGTTGACAAAAGGTGAAAGAAGACCCTTCCTTGGGATGCCCCTGGGCAGCTTTCCCTCTCTGTTCCTGTAGGGAGGGGGTCGAGAAGGTCCTGGGGGACCTGAACTTGTCCTCAGAGGTGGCCTTCGGGAAGACAAAGATTTTCATCAGAAGCCCCAGGACAGTGAGTTGGAGGGGCCCCTTGTGTTTGGCGGGGGTGGGAGGCAGAAGGGTTGGAGAGCCCACGAGTGAGATGCTGGGGTAATGGGCAGCATCTGTAACTGGAGATAGATGGTGGGTGAGGAAGTCTGCTCTCGGCAGGGGCTTTGTCCCTGGGACCTGAATCCTCGGGCTCCCACCCTGCCCTGAGCCCTGGCAGTTAGGTGCTTGCAGGTCCACCCTGAGTGCCTCTAGCTGAACTAGGACTCTTGAGGCTCCGGGGGATGTGCCACTCCTGTCTGTGTGTCTGAACCTAGCACAGGCCTGGGACAGAGTTTAGTAGGTGCCTGTTGAGTGAGTGAACTGCTGAATGAAGGTGCTAAGGAAGCACTGGCTGGGAAGGCCCTGGCACCCACGGCACCGGAGAGCAGCGCAGTTTCCCCAGGCCAGCCTTTCTGCCCCTCTTTCCCCATTACTGCAGTTGTTCTTCCTGGAAGAGCAGCGGCGCCTGCGCCTGCAGCAGCTGGCCACGCTCATACAGAAGGTCTACAGAGGCTGGCGCTGCCGGACTCACTACCAGCTGATGCGCAAGAGTCAGATCCTCATCTCCTCCTGGTTTCGGGGCACCATGGTATCGGTCACCCCCCAGTCCAATCCTCATCACTCCGATAAGAGACTGGAAGCAGGAGAGATGGTTCGGGACATGGAGTTTCTTCTAACAGTCCTATTCTTTTCTGCAGCAAAAGAAACGATACGAGAAGATGAAGGCATCAGCAGTGTTGATCCAGGCTTTTGTGAGAGGGTGGAAGGTAATGGGGAATTGCAGAGGGGTTTCCTACCCTACGTGGGCCCTTCCCCCATGTGGCTTCTCCTGGATTGTGCCAGCTGCTGGGGAGAAATATAGTAGCAGAAAGCAAGTCCTGCCCACACCCAGGACGTCCTGTGATGTGATGGCATGTCTGAGTCTGGGTGTGTTTCCGGGTGCACTGGTGTGTGTCTGGGAGTGTGGGTGTGCATTGGGGAGAGAGTATGTATGCCTGGATGCATCTCCCACCTGGCGGCAGAGCTCTGCCTGCTGCTTTAAGCGCCCTCCTCTTGGCCAACGTGTCTGCCTGTACACTCTCCCTCCAGCACCGGCTTGGCTCTTGATCTTTCTGTGTCCTTTGTGTGGGTGAGAGACAGTAGAACCTCCTCTAGAACCTCCTCTAGGTCTAACTGTCTATCTTTATTTTGGCTCCTTTCTTGAATGTCCTTGCCAGGCCCGCAAGAATTATCGAAAATACTTCCGATCAGGGGCTGCCCTCACCTTGGCAAATTTCATCTACATGAGCATGGTAAGTGGTAAGGGTCAAAAGTGGAAGGTGGGGGGTTGAGGAGGGAGGGACAGGTTTGGAAAAGGAAGATGAGGGATTTGAGAAGATGTGACTCAAAGCTTTCCTCCAAAAAGCTTCTCCACTCTGCTTGTACTTTATTATTATTATTATTTTTAAAGATTTTATTTATTCATTCATGAGAGAGAGATAGGCAGAGGGAGAAGCAGGCTCCACACAGGGAGCCTGATGTGGGACTCGATCCCAGGTCTCCAGGATTGGGCCTTGGGCTGAAAGCGGTGCTAAACCACTGAGCCACCCGGGCTGCCCTGTACTTAATTATTAAGTCCTAGGATACAACGTAATGGGGCAGCAACCCAGAGGGAGCAGGCTCCAGCGTCCCAGCGTGCATTCTGGCATGAGCAGACACTGCAGGCAACCTTGTGGCGGGAAGGGGCCCCAGCACACCCTCACTGGTCCATAGTGAATAGGTTTGAGAAGAGATGGGCTGGGTGGTTAACAACAGTGGAAGAGTCTGAGCCTCGTGGAAGAGTGCTGTGAGGATGCACACAGGGTGAATTAACCCAGCCTTCCAAGATCCATTTTAGGGTTGGGGTGAAGGTGGAGGAATCATATCTCTCTTCCACCTCCTCTGAAACTAGAGCAAGTGAGTCCAAAAATTAAATCTCAGGAAAGATCTTAATTCTGGAAGACTTGACTCCAGGTGGCAGGACGAAGCCAGGACATCAAACTATGGGCAGTTTCCAGTGAGAGAAAAGCAGACAGAGGAGGCTGGTCCACCCAATAGCGACGGTGCTCCTGAAGAGTGGTGAGGGACAGCAGACAGGTAGCTAGGAGCATTTCCAGCAAAACCTTGAGAAAGGCCAGAGAGAGGGAGGGAGAGCAAGACATCTTGGACAGAGGGCTGCGGTAAAAGAGAACTGGCTTCTGCTGATTCTGTTTTTGACAGTTGTTAGGACTCTTACTAATTATGCTTGTGAGATACACTGGAGCTCCCCTTTGTGGTTGGAGAGGCGGGATTCCTAGGTCGAATTGTGGAATGGGGTCTCTGGTCTCCTTATCGCCTCCCTAAGTGTTCACTGTGCCCCCCTCTCGCCCCAGGGAGGTTCCATCTTCCCAGCCCTCTTCCATTGCCTGTGTCTAGAGCTGGCTGTAGGGCGGCTGCCTTCCTAGAGGACGTGCTGTCTTGCTGCATACCTGAGGCCTGCAATCTGATTTGACACTTATCTCCAGACTGATCCTTCCTCTACCTTTTCTTTCACCTGTACATTATCAGGCATCTGCTGAATGTCACCCCAGGAGCTGTTGGGTTTAGACTAATATCTCATTGAATCACAACCCCTGCAGAAGCATGCATACAGGGGCCACTCGGCTTCGATTCCTCCAGTGTTTCTAACTAGTCTGTATTCTGCTGTTGCCTTGCCTATGACTAATGCTGATACTTATTATCTTTTGAACACTTACTATGCGCTAAGCCCTTCACATGCATTAACTCTAATGCTCTCAAAAATCCTGTGAGGTAGACTCTTGTCTTTCCCACATTTTGTAGGTAAAAAACTGAGGCCTAGAGAGGCTGAGTAACTCACTAGGGGTCCCACGTGTGGTAAGTGCAAGAGAGCTGGGATAGAAACTCTTTGACTCCAGAGTTTTAACGCCTGCCTGAGATTGTCTCCCCACACTGTCCCCCCACCACCACCCATAGAGGCCTACTCAGGGCAGAAGGGCTATAAAGGGAAAGGCAGGACTTTCTAGATCTAGAAAAAACAAACACTTAAAAAAAGAAAACCCTCAGAGGTTCCACATCAATTAGAACATGGGGGATTGCATGAAATGCTTAGGAATGTTTATTGAATTAAATCAAACTAGACCAGACCAAGGACTGGGGACTTAAACGAAGGTCTAAGGTGATTAGACCAAGCCTGCTAGATCTTTGTAGTGGAAGAATCAAAGAGCTTGGATAGTTCTTAGAGGGGTACAGCAATATACTGAGTGTATTGCCTTTTTCTATTATAATTTTTCTAAACTAATGTCTTAGTAGAACATTTTTTATAAAAATACCCAAAACATGGAAGTGTTCAAAAATCAAGTCATTTTTAAAATAATTTATTTATTTTAGAGAAAGAGAGCATGAGTGAGTAAGGCAGAGAGAGGTGGGGGAGGGGCAGAGGGAGCGAGAGAATCCTGAGCAGAGCGTGGAGCCTGACGTGGGGCTCGAGCTCAGGACCCTGAGATCATGACCTTAGCTAAAATCAAGAGTTGGCCGCTTAACCTACTGAGCCTGGGCGCCCCAAGAGCAAGCCATTTTCTTTATCTTCAGGTCTACCTCACAAACAGAGTGCTGGGTGCTCCCTGGGCTATAAAGACTTAGGGGTCCTTGTTCTAGATTGCGGGAGACTAAACATGGGTGAAACTTGATTGGATCCTAGAACAGGAAAAATAAACACAAAACTTTTTTTAAAAGGACATTTTTATTTATTTATTTTTAAAATTCTTTTTTTAAAAATGTTTATTTATTTATGATAGTCACAGAGAGAGAGAGAGAGAGGCAGAGACACAGGCAGAGGGAGAAGCAGGCTCCATGCACCGGGAGCCCGACATGGGATTCGATCCTGGGTCTCCAGGATTGCGCCCTGGGCCAAAGACAGGCGCTAAACCGCTGCGCCACCCAGGGATTCCCCCTAAAAGGACATTTTTAGAAGTTTATAAAGGACATTAGGAGAAATTTGTACATGCATTGCTGTTGGATGAGTGTATCTAATTAACGTTAGTCTTCTTACATTGGAGGAGGAATTATGATTTGTATAGAATAATGTCCTAGTTCTTGGAAGATACATGCTTAAGTCTTAGGGAAAAAAATGTCATGATTTCTATAACCTACTTTAGGATGATATGGTGGCAAAGATTTATCTATATGTGCATATGTGTGTGTATTTATATATTTATACCCATTTGTTATATATGTGTGCATGTGTTAGAGAGCCTGCAAGTAGGGCAAGGTGTTAATATCAGTTGGTGAATTTAGGGAGGAGTATATGGTATACAATTGTTTGCTGTAATGTTTTTGTAAATTTTTATGTAAGTTTAAAAACTTTCAGGGGCACCTGGGTGGCTCCGTTTGGTAAAGCATCTGCATTCAGCTCAGGTTGTGATCCCAGGGCCTTGGGATGGAGAGCCTCGTGTCAGGCTCCCTGCTCAGCGGGGAGTCTGCTTCTCCTTCTTCCTCTGCCCCTCCCCCTTGCTCATTCTCTCTCTCTCTCTCTCAAATAAATAAAATCTTTTTTAAAAAGCTTTCAAAATAAGACAATAAGTTGTATAAATTTTTTAAATATTAAGTCAGATTATATCACTCTTTCCCTTAAAATCCTTTATGGTGTTCTGTTTCACTCTGAATAAAAACCAGTGTTCTTATCTCAGCCTACAAGGCCCTTCATGACCTGTACTTGACCAGCCAACTCTCTGATCTCCTCTTGCTCGATTTAGTCCAGTCACTCTTTTTGTTTCTGGAATATGCTATCACTCATTTCCTGTTTCAGGGCCAGCTTCTTTTTGCAGCATAGCATATAAATTTATCTGACATTACATGATATGTTCACTTGCTGTGGGTTGTCTCCTTTCCCACCCCCAGTAGAATGTAAGTAAGCTCAATGGGAATATAGACCCTGCTCTGTTCATTGCTGTGTCTCCATACCTAGAACAGTGTCAAGCATAGAGCAGACACTCAATAAATGTGGAATGGTGGGGGAAAAAAAACTCAGCTGGGGATCCAGACCCCCAAGAACTCGCTGTCTAGAAGAGGAAAAAGTTTTCCATGCAAATAACAGTAGTCCAAACACAGAAGTATAGACCAAGTGCCATGGGGCTTCAGAGAAAGGAGAGGCAGCCTTGGTTTGGGGAATCCAGGAGGACTTTGAACTACATCTCAAAGGACAGGTAGGATCTGAGTGGGCAGGGCTGAGCTGAGAGTAGAATAGGCTAAGGCACAGAGTGATGATGCATGGGCTGGTTGGAGGCCAGGATAAGGAGTCCTGTCTCAGAGGTGTGCCGAGATTGTGCAGGGGATCCTGCAGCACGAGGCTGGGCTCTCAGTAGAAGACTTCTAATGCCAGGTTGAGGTGTTGGGCTTGACTGATGAGTGAGGAGGGGAGATGGCCACTGCAGACAGTGGCGGCCAGCTGTAGGCATGTGTGAAGTGAGACAGCTATAGGGGCAAAATATGGAGGCCAGTTTTCATCTTGGTTCCTCTCACCTCACGACCCTGGTTCCCTACTTGGAACTAATCCTTCCCTCCCTTCGGTCTCCCATGCATGCTCTTACTAGCCAGCCTCCATGCTTCTCCCTCTGGGTGGCCTCCCTCTTTTTTAGTAGCAGGATCTGGATGAGAATTTGTCTGTTGGGGGGTCTTTCTTCTCATCAGTCCACTCCCAATCTCCCCCGCGCCCCCCGCCCCCCCCCCATCTGCATTCCCAATCTAGACACAGAAGTTCCTGCTGGGGCTAAAGAACAATTTGCCATCTACCAACATCCTGGACAGAACGTGGCCAGCTGCCCCATACAGGTACTTCCACACGGCTAACCAGGAGCTGCAGAAGCTCTTCTACCACTGGAAGGTGAGTGGGGCCAGGGAGCCTCTCCTCTCATTTGTCTTTTTCCCCTCCTCCCTCTGATTTTCCTCTTCTGCCTCCCTCTTCCACCTTTTTTTTTTTTAAAGCATACCTGACAAACCTGGCCATTTTAACCATTTTTAAGTAGACAGTTCCGTGGCATTAAGCACATTCATATTGTTGTGCCACCATCACTACTACTCATCTCCATACTATTTTTCATCCTCCCAAACTGAAACTCTGAACACATTAGACAGTAACCCCCAGTACTGTACCAGTACCCGGTACCAGTAACCCCCCACTCCTCCAGCCCCTGGCATGTAGACTCTACTTTCTCTGAGTCCGACTGTTCTAGGCACCTCATATAAGTAGAATCGTACATTTGTCCTTTAATGTCTGGTTTATTGCACTCAGCATAGTGTTCTGCCATCGGGAAATACTTATCGAGGATCTTCTAGACTAGGCCTTGCGCTGTGTGCTGGGCATACAGCCTTCCCTCCTAGGGCTGGCATTTGATCATCTCCATCCCTCTCCCCCAGAGTCCCTCAGCCCCCAATGCTCCCCCAGCCCTGCCCTCTCTGAAGTGCTAGAGCCTCTTCCATTCCCTGTCTCTCCTCTTCTCCAGTCCCTGCCCTCCCTCCACCTCTCAGAGTACCCTCCCAACCCCCCAGCCCCTTGACTCCCTGAGCTTAGCCCCGACCCTCCCCATCACAGTGCAAGAGATTCCGGGATCGGCTGTCCCCGAAGCAGGTAGAGATCCTGAAGGAGAAGCTCTGTGCCAGCGAACTGTTCAAGGACAAGAAGGCTTCCTACCCCCAGAGGTGAGGGCCCCTCAGGCCCTGTGCATGTCCATTGAGAGCACAGAGAGGATCCTCCAGGTGGGATAGGGTGGTGGTTCCCAAACTTGAATGTGCATCAGCACCACCTGGCAGGCTTGATAACACCCAGACTGCTCCACCCCCTTCTCAAAGTTTCTGAATCAGAAGGTCTGGGGCTGTGGGCCCAAGAATTTGCCTTTCTAACAAGTCCCCAGGGGGCGCGGCTGTTGGTCCTGGACCATGCTCTGAGAACCACTGAGATGGAGGATAGGGTGGAAGATGGGAAAAGAGGCACAAGAGGACTAGGATGGGGCCTCACTGTGGGGAGGTGCTGGGCCTTGGGGGTCAGGGGCAGGGACTGAGGCTCCACTGCATACCTCCTGTGTGTCCTCAGCGTCCCGATCCCATTCCACGGTGACTACATTGGGCTGCAAGGGAACCCCAAGCTGCAGAAGCTGAAGGGTGGGGCGGAAGGGCCCATTCTGATGGCGGACACTGTGAAGAAGGTCAATCGTGGCAACGGCAAGGTGAAGGCTGGCGTCCTGAGCCTGCTCCAGAGCCTTGGGGCTGCTAGCTGGAGGGGTGGGGGTTAGCCCTCACCCTTCCTCACACTTCCCTCTTCTGTCCCTAGACTTCCTCTCGAACTCTTCTCTTGACCAAGGGGCATGTGATTCTCATAGACACCAAGAGTTCCCAGGCCAGAACTGTCATTGCGCTGGACAATGTGGCTGGGGTGTCAGTCACCAGCTTCAAGGATGGGCTTTTCAGCTTACATCTGAGTGAGGTATCAGAGCTCCAGGGGTGCAGGCCCTCACACTGGAGGTGGTAGGCATCCCAGGGTCGGGGTGGGCTGGAGGTGATGGGGCCCAGACCCCTCACTCTGGGCCTTCAATGCCTCTCAGCCTGCTCCTATGGAAGAAAAATGAATCCCTTCCTCATTCTTTTCCCCCTTCCTAAGATATCATCAGTGGGTTCCAAGGGGGATTTCCTGCTGGTCAGCGAACATCTGATTGAACTACTAACCAAAATGTACCAGGCTGTGCTGGATGCCACACAGAAGCAGCTTCCAGTCACCGTGACTGAGAAGTAAGGCCATGAGCTGGTGCTGAGGGCCAGCTTGGGGACAGATGACCAAGCTGTTGGTCATTGTGACCAGGAGAATTTGTGTAGTCAGAAACTGAAGCACACTCCGTCAGGGCAAGGCTCGGAGGTGCTTCTTAGTCTCCCCACCCAAGTTCTCTGGGGCCCTGAGTCTTCTGACTCGAGGGGAGGAGATGTACTACCTTCAGGAAGGGGAGGGAAAGCCATCGTGCAAATATGGGAGTAGGGGTGAGGGGATGGGGGGATGGGCTTTACCCCTCTCTCTATTCCCCGTCCAGATTCTCACTGAAGTTCAAGGAGAACAGAGTGGATGTCAAGGTCATCCAGGGCGCTGAGGGTGGTAAAAATGGCAAGCTAAGCTGCAAGAAGAAAGGGAGCCGTTGCCTGGAAGTGACTGTATAGCGTGGAGGTGGAGGCTTAACAGAGACTGCAGCTTCGTTTCCTGGATCAGGGCCAATCCCACCCACCCACCCACCCACGTTTGTGGGGGGATCTCATGTCCAACCCCTCTGACCCTTGTATGGGGCTCAGAGACTGAAGAACCCTTGAAGAGGACCTTTCCTCTCCCAAGCTCTTCCAGTCCCCTCTCCCTTAGAACTTAGCTTCCTCCCACCCTCAACCTCCTTGCTCACTAATAAAACAAGTGACTTCCCAAACATTTGATTAGTGTGGGTGGGTCCCTGTTCCCCCACCTTTGCAGGGCTTGTATTTTGTCTGCCCTCACCCCCTTGCCCTCCTCGGGCTCCTTGGAGCTAGCAAATACAGATAATAAGAATGGAAAAGAAGGGAAATTGTCTTCGGGCTCCTTGACCGGCTGCGCTCTGGCAGGGTTTGGAGAGCCTCGGGTGGGGGTGGCGCAGCTAGCTATGGGGCTCAGGTCCCAGGTGGCCAATGGGCTGATTCATTAAGTGTGTCCCTGGAGGGAAGAAGTGAGGATCCCTGTCCTGTCGGAAACTAGGATCCTTTGGAGATTTAGCCTGAAAAGAGGCCCAAGGCTGGAGGGCTTATGTGAGCTGAGGTGAGCTGGGGAATGCAGGGTCCCCTGCACCCAGGAGCTCCCTGCCCCCTCCATCCTCAAGCTCATCCCTGGGCTCTGCCCCCAGCATCCTCTTCCTTCCCACACACCAGCGATGCCAGGCTTCTGCCCACAGTTTTGCTAATCTCTGCCCCCGCAGCTGGGGCTGCAGCTGGTGGCACTTGGGGCGGGAGGCTCCCGGACCCAGCCGCTCCCACCCTTATGACGAGTCTCCTCCCTCTTGTCTTCATTTATTTTCTCTGTATCATCATCGCCATTATTTTCTCCTTGATTTTCAGCTGTCTCACACCATCTCGTTGTCCCGTCTCCGTGGGCTCTAATAGTGACACGTAATGTCGTGTATAATGCTTTGAACATCTCCCCTCCCCCTTAATCTCCCTTTCCTATAGACTCTGCTCTGCTCAGGCTCTCCCACCCCCGTCATCGCTACCTATAGGGAGCAAGCAGCTCCTGCGCTTGCAGTAAAATGTAGACTCTTGCTCCGTGAGGCCTTTGTTGTTCCTGCCTCTGGATGTCTCTCCTTCCTGGCGCCATCCCTCCCTCCCTCCCCGTCTCCCCCACCGAGCTCTTGGAGCCCTGAGGTCCAGCTTTCCCTCTGCCTGCAGCCTGGGCGGCGGGAGCCCGAGGAGCGTCTCCTGTGGCCTGCACCTCAGCCTCGCCCCGCTGAGCCCCCCTGGCACCCCCCCTCCCCAGCACTGGGAGCACCGGGAGCACTAGGAGCAGCCGGAGCCAGCTCAGCTCAGCTGGCTCAGCCCCGGCCAACGGGGGGGGGGGGGGGGGGGGGGGGGCGCTGCGTCCTGAGTCAGCCTCCCCGCAGCCCCCCCTTGACTCCTTGACTTCCCAGAACCGGGCTGGAGGGCCAGTGTGGCAGGGGTGCCCACCAGAGCCTGCCCGCCCCTGCTCCGCCTCGCCTCCTGCTCCCAGGGCCCAAATTGTCGTCACTTACCCAGTGAAGTGTCTGGTCATTTGCAGAAGCAATTTCAGGAGGCTGTGCAGCTGCTGCTCCCCATCCCGTGCCCTTCCTGGGCTCTCGGGCTGGGGAAGTGGGGGGAAGGCCAGTGGAGTCTCCCCTGCCCTCCCTCCACCCGGGGGTGCTCCTCTGAGGAAGGCTGGGGGCTCCTGAGTTTCCTGTCTCTGCCCCTCTTCTCTTCTGGGCCTACTTGAGGGGGGAGCCTCCAGGGGCTCAGGTGCCCCACCTGTGCTGCAGAGCTTGGGTCACTGCAGCGTGTCCCCAGAGGTGCAGTTCTGCGGCCTCCCTGCTCGGCCAGGCCCACGACCCCAAGGCCTGGCTAGCCCCCCGGGGAGCCATTCCACCTCAGCTCAGGCCAGCTCTCCTCGGTCTCCCTGGCTCAGCCTATTTCCTCTGCCAGAAAGCAGAGGCTCCTCCAGTTCCTTGCTGAGGGCTGTGGGCAGCCTCTGGGCGCCCCCCCTCCCCCGCAGGACCCTGCAGGACTCTGAAGCTGCCCTCGTCCCACTCTCCTGGTCCTGCGCGCCTGCCTCTCCCTCCCCACCCCACGACTCACCCCCAGGATGCCGAGGCGTCCGTCCCCATTGCGCCCTGGTTGTGCACGTGCTGGACATCTGCGGGTCATCCTGCCTGCACAACATGCTCCCCTTGCCTGCTTCGACCCCGGGAACGGCCACAAACCCCATCGCAGTGCAACTCAAGGAACACACATTTTCCTGGCCTCATCTCCAGCCCACCCCAGCAACGAAGAGGGGGAGCTCTAGAGGGAGGACCTGCTAGGGACCCCGCTCCTCTAGGTCACTGACAGCTGTCTGAGATGTGGCTCAAAGGAAAAGTGTCAAGGGAAAAACCACCTAGGTGCTCTGGAGCTGCAACACGCACTTTCCACGCCTTTGGCATACGGTTTGTGGGCAGGATGAAGCCCTGCCTGCCTAGGCCTTCAAAGCCTCCCTCCCTCATCACCTTTCTGGCTTAGTTTAGTATTAGCTCTTTCAAGTCTTTGCTAATCCCAGAGATCAAGGGGTGACCAGTTCTCCCTGCCATCCCCTTGCTCCCCCCATCCTTGGCTCCTGCCATCCTCTGTGAGATGCTGCATCATCAAAGGACATTATTCATGGTGGACCTTTGCTGAAGCCCTGCTTGTCTGGTTCAGGGCATGGCGGCAGGGATGGGGGGTTGGTGGTGGAGAGAGGCTGCCTCAGACCTCAGAGATGGGACCCTGGAGGCTTTCGTCCTCAGCCCTCCGTCTAACACTCCCCTCCCTGCTTCCCCCCTTCCATCCAGCTGGACCAGCTTGGACTTCCCCAGATTGATAGGGGGAGGAGAGGAGGTAGGAGATGGCTGCATCCAATTAGGACTGCACCTGAGCTTCTCAAAGGCAGACCCTATCAGTGCCATTTACATGTAAATAGGCTCTAGCTTCTACCCCTCATCCCACCAAAGGCTCCCAACCCGGGGTCCTGGCCCAGGCTTGGCCCATACAGCACTGTAATTAGCTGGAAAATGAGAAGCTTTATTTTATTAAGATATTATTTATTTATTCATGAGAGAGAGGGAGAGAGAGAGGGAGGCAGAGACACAGGCAGAGGGAGAAGCAGACTCTATGCAGGGAACCTGATGTGGGACTCGATCCTGGGTCTCCAGGATCAGCCCCCGGCCGAAGGCGGCGCTAAACTGCTGAGCCACCCGGGCTTCCCAATGAGACCCCATTAGCCTCTCACATAATAAAGGGGCCTTGAGACTCAGCTGCTGCCCTCACTGCAGCGTGACCATGGGGCCATGTACAGAGTGACTTCTTTCTGTATGGCTCAAGTCCCAGGGTGGGGGTGTTGGGAGTGTAGAGGACATTTCAGGACCCTAGCAGCACTTGAGAGGCTCTTAGGAGGATCCACCCTGTGGGCTGCAGAGCAAGAAGGCAGGCTCGGGCTTCCTGTTTTGTTAAATCAATTTTACTGAGCACCTAAAATATGCCAAACACTACAGAGCTAGGGATATCCAGTAGTAACCAGAACAGACAAAAGTCCTTGCCAGTGTAACGCTGACATTCTGGGAGGTGGGGAGGGGGGTGTGCGGGTAGACAGGCTATAAGTGAAACATTTAGAATATTGGATGTAATAAATGGAGAGAAGAAACAGAAGAGGGATATGGAGTGTGAAAGGGTGGTCATTTTAAGTAGGGTGACTGGGGAAGGCAGTGGTGAGTGGGAGTCTCTGTAGCAAATATGCAACGGCCGGTTCTCTTCCCAGCCCAAGCAGTAGAAGAGCACAAGGTCCAGGTCTCCAGGTCTCGCAGAGAAAGGTCCACCACTCCCTCTGGGAGAGTTAACTGTTCTCCTACTGGTCAAAGTTCCTACCAGTGCAGTAAAATGAAGGGGAGGTTTGGAATGAAAACAACAACACCCCCCAAATTTGTGGCTCTTCTCCAGTAGCTATATATTGTGGAGCACAGGACTAAACTTTTTAAAGATTTTTTTTATTTTTAAGGAATCTCCCCAACGTGAGGCTTGAACTCATGACCCTGAGATCAAGAGTCTCACCTTCTCCCGAGGGAGCCAATTTCCTTACCTGAAAAATAGGAAATAGGCTCTGAAAGTGCTTTCACTTTGCCCCCACCCCCAGCCCGTTCCCTTGAGCAGGTCTTCTCTCTCCGGTTCTCCTTCTGTCCCAACTCTGGCTCTGACTGTCCTCTGGGGCTCTACCTTGGGTACAAAGGGAGCCCCATGAGCCCCCTCAACAGAGTGGGCCATGAAAGAGAGACTTGAAATGTCAGGGAGAAGATGCCTGGGCTGCGGGGAGGCAGATTAGAGAGGAGAAAACACGGAACCGTATGATAAAAAGAGGCAATGCGGAGATCAGTGCTGGACTGGCGGGGGGGGGGGGGGGGGGCTCACCACGGTGTTCTGTTCCTCCTTTCCTAGCAGGAGGGGTAGAAGTTAGAATTCTAGAAGGATGCGACTAAATCAGGTTGATTCAGGGGTCGAGAAGCAGTGGCATGGGAAGGAGGTGTTACCGCTGGAGAAGTGGTGGAGGGAGACAGACACTGGAAGCTTCTGCATTGGTAGCAGGGGAGAAGTACCGACCTTCACTTGGTCTGAGGTCCTAGGTGAGGGGTCAGCTGCAGCTGGAAGGACAGAGGGAGAAATGGGGCGGGAAGGGAAGCCAGACTCACCTCCCACTGCTCAGGGGCCTGGGTCTGGTTGTCCTGGGGGTGGTCCTGGCCAGAGAAGTACCTGCTTGAAATTCTGCGGGCCTGGCAGTAGTCTGAAGGGTTAAAGGGCGAGGAGCTGATGGGTGAATAATGAGGAAACAGAGTCTCCTACTGAGCGTGGAAATTTTGGTACAAAGCATAGACGATATCATTCCTTAGTATGCCCAGCTCAGGGGCTGTTGGAAAGTGGGCTGCTGGCTAACCCCAGCACGCTGCAGGGTGTGTGGGGTGTGGTGTGGTGTGGTGTGTGTGTGTGTGTGTGTGTGTGTGTGTGTGTGTGTCTGCAGCCTATATCCTCCTTTTTCTCCACCAGCCTCCTCCCTCCCCTCCAGCCACCCTGGGATTGGTGATTCACAGCCCCTCCCCCGGCTCCCCCAGACCCTCCCAGAGCCTTTATCTGGGAGCCGAGAGCTCCTGCCACATCCTCAGATCCCCTCCACTTGGGCTCTCTCCACCCAGGCGGTGTGCTGTGCGTGGGCAGTGACCAGTGTTCCCGGCTGGCCCCCCATCCTGTTAGACCAGCTGCCCTCGGCTCAGAACTGCTCCACAGGTAGGCACGAGTGGGAGAATGTTGGATGGGCTGGGGCTGGTGCCAGAGGCCAGAGGCCAGAGCTGGGAGAGGATAAAGGACCCGAGGGAACAGAGGTGGGGCCTCTGATCCGGGAGCAGGGCCCTGGGACGAGCAGAAAGCGCCCACAGGGGCAGAGAACCAGGACTGTCTGGAGCCTGTGGCTTCAGACTGCTCCCATCCTAGAAACTTTTGCCTAAGTCTTGGGTTACCTGGTGCTGGAAAGCAGAGTCCCGAGTCCCTCCTCAGGCTAACTAAGAAGACAGACCAGACCGTGCGTGTCCTGCGAATCTCTCTTGCTTGGAGACGAGAGTCTGGCACTATTGCCACATTGCCCATTGCCAGGTGCTCAGCATCGGGAGATGCGTGATGGGGGAGCAGGGCAATTGAGCCCAAGGGCTGGCCCACCTGCTCAGAGATGCTCCCCCAGACCAGGGCTTGGCCGGAGAGACAGGGCGCTGGGGAAGCAGGCTCGGGACAGGTGCCGACTGTCTCCTGCATTTGCACCTGTGTTGTAACCTCCTCCCCTCGTTCCTGTCCTGACCCTCTGCCCTCTTAGGCACCATGAGGAGTGCCCTGCTGTTTGCAGCCATCCTGGCCATCAGCCTGGCTTCCAGTTTTGGGGCTGTCTGTGAGGACTCACAGGAGCAAGTGGTGCCTGGTGGGGGCCACGGCAAGGTAAGGCGCCCCTCTGCAGTGCCCACCTGGCAGAGAGCTGCACTCTGCCTGGCCCGTGGCTGTTGAGGGGAGGCTGGGAGGCAGCTTGGGGCCACCTGAGTTATGTATCCATCAGAGGGTGTCTCTAGGCACGTCTCTAAGAGCCTCTGTCCTTTTTAAGATTTTGAAATGACAGCAATTAGATTGGTACACATGCTTTTAAGATGATTATAGGTGGAACTTATTACAAATTCAGTGTGTGAAGTCCAACTGCCGCTCCAGCTAGGATCAGTTTAGCATCTCATTACAGGAGGTGGGCAGGATATTTGAACAATTTGGGAAAAGTGGCTGCCTAGGAAGTCGTATGCAGGGCAAAGAGAGGAGTCAGTCTTCAACCCTACGCATCCCAGGGCATGATAGGCACGCAGACTTACAGGTGTTGGCTATTGCACCAGATCCAAAAGACTAGAACCACTTCAAAAATACAAAAAAATAGTGGCACCCAGCTGGCTCAGTCGGGAAAGCATGCGATTCTTGATCTCGGGCTTGAGTTCCAGCCCTACATTGGATGTAGAGATTACTTAAAAATAAAATCTTAGGGATCCCTGGGTGGCGCAGCGGTTTAGCGCCTGCCTTTGGCTCAGGGCGCGATCCTGGAGACCCAGGATCAAGTCCCACATCGGGCTCCCAGTGCGTGGAGCCTGCTTCTCCCTCTGCCTGTGTCTCTGCTTCTCTCTCTCTCTCTCTCTCTCTCTGACTATCGTAAATAAAGAAAATAAAATAAAATAAAAATAAAATCTTAAAAAAAATACACAAGGAATGCCAAGTATGCATTGGACATTATGTTTGGAGCCCAAAGTTTCATCTGGAGAGAGTCGGAATATCTGGATATATTTTTCTTTCTTTCTTTCTTTCTTTCTTTCTTTCTTTCTTTCTTTCTTTCTTTTTCTCTTTCTTTCTTTCTTTCTTTCTGTAAAGATTTTATTTATTTATTTATTTATTTATTTATTTATTTATTTATTTATTTATGAGAAACACGGAGAGAGAGGCAGAGACACAGGCAGAGGGAGAGGCAGGCTTCCTGCGAGGAGGAGCCCGATGTGGGAATCCCCACCTAGGATCATGACCTGAGCCAAAGGCAGACGCTCAACCGCTGAGCCACCTGGGCACCCCTGGATATATTTTTCTAAGACAAGCTTACTTCAAGACCTGGTCCTCCTTGGTCAATGAAAGGGAGAAGTTGTCATCCTACCCCTTCTCCCGAGTGGTGTGTGAGGACGGGGGAAGTGGGGTGAGGAGAAGGGTAGGAGGTATGTGAGCTGGGCGACGGGGTTGGTGTGTGCAGGGGTGCATCCTGTGTAGATGTGCTCTGTGCTCGGCAGCCCAAGGACAGCTGGGCTCTGGAGAGGGAGGCACTGCTGAGACTAAGGTGAGGATCTCCGAACGTGATCATTGGCATCGTCTCTCTGCAGCTGCAGTTAACTGGCTGTGGGGTGTGTGCCCACCAACCATCCTGCAGTGCCCAAACTGCTAAAAAAAAATCACTAACACAATGAAGAGCCCCTGCCTGGCAGCAGGTCCAGAATGGGGTTTATTTGTGGGGGAGAAGATAAATAAATAAATTTATCTATTTGTCCTTTCCTTTCTTGAAAGTGGCGGACTTTGTGGCTCCCTCACATAGCAGGGCAACCATATCCCCGGGCAACTGGCTCCTGATGTGCCAAGGAGAGCAGAACCAATGGCCCTTCTCACTGGGAGGTGGCAGCAGTTGGGAGAGAGCAGTCCCCTTTGAGCTTGGGAGATAGAATGACCAACCATCCCAATTTTCCCAGGACCACCCGTTTAAGTACTGAAAAGCCCATATCCCAGGAAAGCTCTGAGTCCTAGGCAAATGGGACAGTTGGTGTGCCTACAGGGATGCTCTATGTGCTCCTTCTAACCCTACTTCTCCAATCTTGCTGTGCAGGCGAATAACCGCAGGGGCCGGGTTGAAATGCAGATCTTCTCGGTAGGTCTCAGGTAGGATGGAGATGCAGATTAGGAATTTCTAAGAAGCCTATGGCAGTGGTGCTATTGATGGTCCCCGGACCACACTTTGAGAGCCCACTTCTCTTCCATTGTAAACCAGAAGAAATCCCAAAAGATACAGGATGTCAGGTTCAATTGTGATGGGCTCAAGAAGAGGCCATGGTTTGTGGGGAGGGGTGAATGGATCAGGTGTGAGCCTCCTGCCTCAGCCCTCTTTGTTTCTGTCCCTTAAAAGGACTCGGACCTCTACCAGTTGCCCCCGTCATTGCTCCGGAAGCTCTATGACAGTGGCTCAGTCTCTCTGGAAGGATTGCTCAAAATGCTGAGCAAGGCTAGCGTGGGTAGGAAGCAGCCCTGGGGAGAAGGGGGTGGGGGGCAGGATTCTGATGATTAAATAGGCTTGAGAAGAGCCTTCAGGTGGGATGGAGACGGGCGATGGCTTGGTGAATAATTGGGGGTTGTGCTCTGAACACCCTCTGACCACTCCTTTCCAGGTTCCATTCCCCAATGACACACTCTTCTTGCTTTCACAGATCCTAAGGAATCGCCACTTCCCCAGAAACGTTAGTAGCCTCTTCTCCCTCCCTGTCTCTGCTGACCGTTTACTAGAGCTCCATGGGCATGGGGCCCAGTGGCCATTCTGGCTGGCCCCGTCTCAGCTGGCACAAACAATATGCCAGCTGCAACGGCTCATGGGCACCAGGGCATGGGCTCATAGGCTCCACTGGGTACCAGGAGGAAACAGGTGTGATGAGCGGGGTGGACTCTTTCTCCATCAGCTGGTCTTTGAGAAGCAAGAGAACCTCTTGGTGGCTGTGAAGACTCTAAGCCAGACACCTGGGGTGGGGCAGAGAATTCTTGCACTGTGGAGAGGGTGAGGTGGGCAGAGAGGGTGGCTAATAGCCTGCTGACTGGGAAGTCCAGTTGTGGCATGATAAAGACCCAAGAAACCCAATCTTGGAAGTCTTGACACTCCCCTACCCCCATTATCACTGTTGGCAATGTTGGCCCTTCTTCTACAGGTGACATGCATGACTTCTTCGTGGGACTTATGGGCAAGAGGAACATCCAGCCAGGTAGGAGCATGTGGGGGCACAGTGGGAGGGGTTTAGGGTACTAGCAAAGATTTGGCAGAAGTCAAGTGCCTCATGCTTGTCACCAGAGGGAAAGACAGGACTTTTCTTAGCTATAGTGAGGGCTCCTCGGCCTTTCTACCCAATCAGGTTGGAGCCACAGTCCAGATGTCCCTGGGAACACAACGGGGAGACCTTCATAAGATAGTCCTGCTGCAGCTGGGAAGGAGTTGGGGGGGGGGGGCTGTTCTTGCCCCCATCTCCCAAACACAGCATGCCTCTGCTTTCCAACTCTGTCTCCCGATGCTGCCCTTCATGGCTAGCCCTTTGATATTGGGTCAGGGTGAAGGTCACATTCAGAAAAACCCCTCCTAACTACACTGTTTATTTTACCTCAGACACTCCTGTTGATGTAAATCAAGAGAAGGTCCCCAGCTTTGGCACCCTCCAGTATCCCCCCAGTGCGGAATAAGGTAAGGATTATTGGTTAGGAGAGGGGACTGTGCGTGTGTAAGGGGGGAGGAGCCGGAGAGACATTTCGTCTGATGCTACAGGCATTTATAGTCATAAATTTGCCCTAAAATACATGGCCAGCGGCCAGCACACTGTTGGTCCAACATGCCAGCCCCCAGAGCTGCGTACCTGTCTGCAAGAACACGCGAACTCACATACACGCACACACGCCCCTGTTTCCCTTGAGTCACGGACCCTGGCTGACTCCCGAGTAGGCAAGGGTGGTGGGCCACGGGAGCGAGGGGTTGACCCTGTGGCTTCTCGGATGGTCAGCTCCAGTTGTTCGGGCTCCATTCTCGAATCGTCTTGTACAAGCTGGAGGGAGCAGCACCCGGTTGTAACAGGCACCACATCCAACTCACAGGGGTTGAGTGTTCGGCCTCCTAGGTAGGCAGAAACCGTGCGGATCATTCAGAATCTCGGGTGACTGGGTCTAGTGTGTAATTCGTCACAAGGGTGATTTAGGAAGAAATGCAAGGAACTCTGAAATTTTATGGGGAGTAACCAGAAACCATATCTCAGTACCTCCGCGTAGCCTAACGCCTTAGAGCATAGCCTGGGTTTGAATCCGGGATCTGCAGCTCCCTGGCTGTGTCCCCTCGGCCAAGTTACATAACCCTCCTGTGCCACAGGTTCCTCATCTGAGAAATGAGGGTCATATTAGGTTGCAGGCTTGTGGTTTTGAGGACGGAGCGTAGGTAAAGTATTCAGGACGGGGGCCTGGCACACGGAGCACGGCGCTGTGTGTTGGCAGCATTGGGATCATTCCGGAGGCGGGGGAGCCCCAGTGTCGCCCCTGGCGGGCTCTGGTCTGTCTGCGTGGAGCTGTCTGGTCTGGATCCTGGGCTCGAGTGGGCTGACGGATGTCTCGCTTGGTCCCCGGGTCGGCGAGTCTCCAGGGAAGCATCTAGTCACAGCACGGAAGGGCTGTCGCGGCCCCAGCTCCCCCCAGGCCTCGCAGCCCAGCCCATGGCTTCTTCGCAGTAGCTCCGAAGGAGCAGGTGTGGGGGGAGAAAGCGCAGGAGTGGGAGCTGGGTGACCAGGGGGAGACTCCCGCTCCCCCGCCCCCTGGGCCCCGGCATGCATGTTGCAGTCTCAGGGGAGACCCAAGGAGCAGGAGCTCTCGAAGGCAGCTCGGGCTGCGGGCGCACGGCCCCTGGGCCCGGAGACCCGGTCTGGCCCCGCTCGGTCGGGCGAGAGGGCCACGCAGCCGTAATAACCGTAACTCGCTGATTACACGGTACTCACCGTATCATTTTGCTCTCATTAGATGCTTATTTCAGTGCTGCGACCGCCAGATAATTACACGGGCAGCTATATCTGGATGACACACTCTCCCCGGCGCTCTGCATCGGCCATAAAGATAATTACAGTGCAATTTTGCCGTAGTATTTTATACAAATGGTGAAAACAAGTGCATTGTACAAACCTTCTTTTAATGCTCGCTGGTGAATCCAGGCTCTTTCAGAGGGGCCGCTGGCATAATCGCAGCCTGCATAATCTCACCACTGATGGAGCGTTCTCAACCCGCGAGGCGCCAGGAGGAACAGCACGTCAAGTCCCCGGGGCCTGGCATTTAAGATTAGATGAGACGGAGCAACACAGATCATTGTGTCATCTTATTTCATTCATGTGAAACTGCTAACACAGGAGGTGATCCCTGGGCCTGTGCTTTCTCTGGGAGGTTTCTGGAAAGAGGAGGCCATGGGTGAGCCTGGGGGGAGCATTAGCACCAGAGCACACTGGATAGGGCTGTGTGTATGCCTGGCTCATGGGGATGCGAGTATGATAAGAACCTAGTGTAGGGACCCACAGACCATGCACAGGGGTGTTTCTAAGTAGCACGGTAAACACAGAACGGGGAAAGGGCAAGCTCCTGTGGCTAGAAGGGTTCAGTCCTCTAGTTCAAAGGCTACAGGGAAAGCTGAGGGCTAAGACTTCTGTTCTCTTCTGTTCTCTTTTCCTCCCTTTACATATCTCCCCCGCCACTCACATACCCCTACTTCCCCAGCTGGTGGTCGGTGGGAATTTTACAAGACAGAGCATGTGATTTCATTTTTTTTGGTCCTCAGCTCTCTACTTCTGGACCCCTGGGCTGCATCATGAAGACACCTGTTATGCTCTCCCAACTGCCAGCTGCACACGCTCCTCCTTCCCTTTCTTTCCCCCATTCTTGTAACACGGCTGTGCTTTGATGCCTTCTCCATCCCTCTATCCTGCTGTGATGTAGAAACCGCAGAGTGAGCATCCTCGGCCCCAGTGGGCATTGACTATACATTTCCCCGGGTTTCTGGAGTGTCCTTTGTTAAAAATATGATGTCTCTCTCTACTCAACAATAAAGGATTTTCACATGTGACCTAGAGTGATGCAATTGTTTGGCCGGTGGGTGGGTTTTTCTCTTTCTTGACTCTTCCAGCTACATCATACACACATACACATTTACAATGTGCACACCTACATGTATCGTATATAAATGGAAGCATCTTTATTTTGTACATGTACTGATTTCCCCAACAGTGCCTTAGTCAGTGCTTCATACAGGTAGTATTAGAAGACCTATTTAGTAATTAAAAAATAAATCAGTGAATTTGGAAGATGGTGTCTAGCACTCAAAGACTTTCACAGATTAGCTTTGGATAAAGGAAAAACATATTCCGAATGGCTTGTCTGTATTTCTAGGATGGGCCTAGGAGACAGCAATCTTGAATCTGACTCTATGTAGAGAAGGGTGAAGGCATGGGTGGTGCAAGGCGGTCAAGGCTGTGCAAGGACCCAGCCACAGAGGAGGATTAATCTATAGAATTGCACCATTTCTCTGTCTCCAAATGTCAAGCAGGGGTCCGGGAACAGGTCATGGAACAGATGGTGACCCATACATGGTTTATGGTATAGCGGGGTTGTGGACGAACAAACAACACTTGGTCTTGCCAGAATGGGGCATGGATGGGGAAGTGACTACAGAGACTGAGAAAGAAGGGAGCAGCTGTCTTCAGTGTTAACTGGCCATCTTAGTTGTTTGAAGGGGAAAACATTTGTTCCAGACTCCTCTGCAATGCAACCGATACCAGCCCCCGTAGCGCTGGTCTAGAGGTCCACAGAATATGCAAGGCACTGAGATGAGGTGTATGAGTGTCTTTTATGTATCTCATGTGCCAACTACCACAGCCCAGGGATCCGAAGGGGTGTTCTGTATCTGGAGGGAAAGCCTGGGAAATCCTCAGACTCCTTATTTTAGCCTGGTGCAGGGCCTGGCCATGCTCCCGAACCGCCTGATACAATGTCAACACTGCACTGGCCCAAGGCAGTGAGGAGACAGCACCACCGAGCCAAAGGTCGCTTCCCACAGGTCCTTCATCCCAGTGAAAGTTCTCTCTTCCAAGGACCTAAATGGGGCAACTTTGTACCTATGGCAGTACAGTGGGGTGGGAGGTGGAGAGAAAGTCCAACTCAGTGTCCCCTGGGTCAGGTTTATTGCTAGAGGTCAAAGAATGTTCTTGTTGGAGCCTCAAGCCTTTCTTCAGTGAATCATCATGCTGGCTTTTCAAAAGTATCTATCTACAAGGTTTTAGCTTTTGCAGATTCTAGGGAATTTATTTGGGTCATGAAAGCTTCAAGAGTTGGTACAGCTCAGACTCAGGAGATGAGCATGTGTGCTGAGAGGACTCAAGTGCTTTGCCAAGTAGGAGCATAAATGCAGAAAGGTTGCTCTCTGGTGGGACTGACAAAAATTGCAATCCTGGGGATTCCAGGCAAAATGAAGCCAAATTTTAAGCCAGATTCCTGTTTTGTTTTTTTTTTTGTTTGTTTGTTTGTTTGTTTTTGTACTTGGAGAATGTGTGAAGAAATCCTGGCTCTCTTCCTGTTGTTAAGAGGTTGTACCTAAGGAGACCTGACCCAAAAGACCTTGACTGAATTTCTGGCCCTTCTCCACTTAGCTTTGTGTGTGTGCGTTACTGGGATTGCATGGTGATTGACTTTACTTATTTTATTTTATTTTTTTAAGATTTTATTGATTTAGTTGAGAGAGAGAGAGCCAGGGTGAGAGAGAGAGCGAGCTCACGCATGCATGAGGGTGGGTGGGGGGAGGGACAGGAGGAGAGGAAGAAGCAGGCTCCTCGATGAACAGGGAGCCCACCGTGGGGCTTGATCTGGGGACTTGGGGATCGTGACCTGAGCCACCCAGGTGCTCCTTATTTATTTATTTTATTTTATTTTTTTAGTATTTTTTAAATATATATTTTTAAAGATTTATTTATTTATTTATTCGGAGAGAGAGAGAGAGAGAGAGAGAGAGAGAGAGACAGAGAGAGAAGTAGACTCCATGCAGGAAGCCTGATGCGGGAATCGATCCCGGGTCCCCAGGATCACACCCAGGGCTGCAGGCGGCGCTAAACCACTGTCCCACCAGGGCTGCCCTATTTATTTATTTTTAAATATTTTATTTTTTTATTTGTGAGAGAGGAGAGACAGTGCACACTAGCAGGAGGGGAGCATAGGGAGAGGGAGAGGGACAAGCTGACTTCCCATGGAGCTGGGTGAGGAGCAGGATGCGAAGGCAGGGCCTTGATCCCAGGACTCTGAGACCACGACCTGAGTCAAAGTCTGATGACTGAGCCATCCTGGAGCCCTGTTTGGTGATTTACCTTCAAAAGACTTCGGTCTTAAAGGTTCTGGACTAATTCCAATGTACGTGGAGGGATGGTTTCGCCACGCCAAGCAATGCCTTGACACCATCTACCTGGAGATTTTATCAGACTCCACAGGTTAAAGGCTCAGTCCTCTGAGACCACCCCTCACACTCCAGACGCCATCTCATGTCTGGGCTATTACCCATGCTTCTGATCTACCGGCTACAGACTGGAGGTTCCCACAACTACCCCCATAGGCTTGATTAATTTGCTAGAGTGGCTCACAGGACTCAGGAACCATGTTTACCTACTAAATCACCAGTTTACTATAAAAGGATGTAACTCCAGAAGAGAGAGATGGAAGAGATGCATAGGGCAAGGCACAGGAAAAGGGGCATGGGGCTTTCACATTCTCTCTGAGTGCACCACTCTCCCCTCCCTGAACATGCATGTGTTCATAACCCAGAAAACTCTCTGAACCCCATCCTTTTGGATTGTTATGGGGCTTCATTACATGGTTATGACTGATTAAATCATTGGCCATTAGCAATTGATTCAACCTCCTGCCCCCATCCTTGGGTGCCCCAAACCACCCAACAACATAACAAAAGACACTTCTATGAGATTCATCACTTAGGAAATTCCAATGGTTTTAGGAGCTCTTTGTCAGAAATGAGCACAAACATCAGATATATATATTTCTTATTATAAATCATAGTATCGCAAGTATAAACAGTATAAACTTTTTAAAAAATATTTTATTTATTTATTCATGAGAGACATGGAGAGAGAGAGAGAGGCAGAGACACAGGCAGAGGGAGCAGGGAACCGGATGCAGGACTCCATCCCGGGTCTACAGGATCAGGCCCTGGGCCGGAAGGTGGCGCTAAACCGCTGAGCCACCCAGGGTTCCTAAAGATTTATTTATTTGAGAAAGAGAGAGTGTGCATGCTCTAGCATGAGTGGGGGGAGGAGCAGAGGGAGAGGGAGAGAGAGAGTCTCAGCTAACTCCCCGATGATGAGCGTGGAGCCCTACATGGGGCTGGATCCCAAGACCCTGAGATGGTGACCAGGGCTGAACCTGAAACTAAAGAGTCAGACGCTTCTCTGAACGAGCCATCCAGGCCACCCTCCTCTACCCTTCTAAGTTCTTGGCTGAGACATGCTGCAGTAAAAGACAGATTACCAGGAGAAAAACAGAAGTTTAGTGACAAGTATACCTCCTATATACATGGGAGAAGCTCAGGAAAACTCCGTAACGCCCTAAAATGGCCTAAGTCACCACCTTAAATACCATATCCAGTTAAAGACAAAAGAAGATATTGGGGGTTGGGGAGCCGGAGAAGGTGGGTTTTCAGGCCAAGCACAGCGAATAAGGGGATGGGTGGTTATGCAGATTGAAGTTCTCCTTCTCCAACGAGGAGAGTTTCTAGAGATCTAGTGGTCCTTCTCTTCAGGGGCAGAGAGACACCCTTACAAATGGAGGTTTCCCTCATAAATGTAATTTTTATTCTGATTTCAGAGCTTCTCCTGTGTCTGCTGGTTCTTAAAAATAAGCAGCCTAAAATAGTCCTTATGCCAAAGAGGCATATTTGGGGTGACAAATGCTGTTCCCCTTAGGGAGGACAGGCTTCAGGAAACAGGGCTGGGCTCTCGAGGTGCAGTGGGACCCCGCGTACTCCTTCCTTGGCCAGCTAGGTGGGAGGAGGGGCGTCAGAAATTTTCAGGAGGGGGTGAACCAGGGGCCCAGGCCTCAAGGACCTGTTCATTCACTTTCCGAAGCACCTGTCACGGCCCAGGAAGCTGTGGTGCGCACCTCGACGAGTAGGACCAGAACCACGGAGCCCAGTCTCCAGGACGCTCTCAGCCCAGTGCGCTCACGAATTAATCAAATAATCTTTTTTCCCCAAAAAACTACAATAGTGGACGTTCTGAGAAGCCTCTGGTACTATGAGACGTAGGACAGGGTAGAGGATGAGAGTTTAGAGTCGGGATAGTGCTGCTCACTCCTCCAGGGCCCGGGGTCAGGAGGGAAGGGCCGGCGCCTGGTAGATCAGAGCGCGACGGGTGGGAAGGTAGGTCCGCGCAGCTGCTCGCGCGGTGGCGAGGCCGGGCCGGGGCCGGGGAGGGGGGAGGGGGGAGGGGGTGGGGGGCAGGGGGGAGGGGCGGGGCCGGGGTCCCCGGGTGCGGGATGGGAGGCGGGGCCCGGCCAGGGTCCCCGGGTGCGCGGGGGGTGGGGGGGGAGGCGGGGCCGGGCCGGGGTCTCCGGGTGCGCGGGGGGTGGGGGGGAGGCGGGGCCGGGCCGGGGTCTCCGGGTGCGCGGGGGTTGGGGGGGGAGGCGGGGCCGGGCCGGGGTCTCCGGGTGCGCGGGGGTTGGGGGGGGAGGCGGGGCCGGGCCGGGGTCTCCGGGTGCGCGGGGGGTGGGGGGGAGGCGGGGCCGGGCGGGGGTCCCGGGGCGCGCGGGGGGTGGGGGGGAGGCGGGGCCGGGCGGGGGTCCCGGGGCGCGCCGGGGCCGGGCCGCGCAGCTGGGGGCGGCGGAGTGTGGGGCCGCGGCGCCGCCCCCTGGGCTCCCGGCCCCGCCGTGGGGGGGCGCTGCCTCCTCCCGGGCGGCGGGGGGCGCTGCGGCCGAGCGGCGGGGGGCGCTGCCTCCTCCGGGACGGCGGGGGGCGCTGCGGGCCGGGCGGCGGGGGCGGCCCGGGCCGGCGCGGCGAGCGGCGCGGCGGATGGAGAGTCTGGCCGCGGCCGGCGGCGCCGCCTCCTCGTCGGGCCGGGCACGGCGGGCCGGGGCCTTTGTGTGCGGCGGCGGCGGCGATGGTGCTCGGGCCCCGCGGAGCCGGTAAGCGCGGCCGGGCCGAGGGCTGCCCCCGCCGACGCCGCCCGGCCCGGCCTTGCTCCCCGCCGCTGCGCTCCCCCTGCGCGCCCCAGGCCGTCCCCCCCCGCCGGCCCCGCCGCGCATCCCCTGGCTCCGGGGGCGCCCGGGGCCCCGCCGTGTGCGGCCGCACCGAGGTGCTCCGTGGCCCTCGATGGAGCCCCAGCCCGACCCAGCGGCCTTCCTGGGTTCGAGCCCCCGGGGGGAGCCTGCGGCACCGCGGGCTGCTGGGGGGCCCGCTCGGAAGTCCCCCCCGCTTCCCGGGGCCCCCGCCTGATGCGGCCTGGGGGTCGGGGAGCTGCTTGGCCGCCACCCCAGCAATGCGCAGAAGCTTCCTGGACCCCAGAAAAAGTTGGGAGTTAGTAGAGGGTGGTGAGGTGCGGGGCTGTGCGCGCGGGCGAGCGGCGAGGCTGCGGGACGAGCCCGTCCGCAGGCGGGACTCCAAGGGGGGCAGTGGGACCCCGCAGGTCCTTAGGAGTCTTGCCTGTAGGATTAGATGCCCTTCCTAGGGCATCTAGTAAGTCTCCAGTTCTGGTCCACATACGCGTAGATCCCAAAAAGGGTGGGCAGGAAGAAACCAGAGTCCATCAGTGGTGAATGCAGCTTGCTTTGGGCCCCGGGTACTTTGGCTTCATCCACAGCGTCGGGAGGCGGTCACGGCAGTATCCGCAGGGCACTGGGTTATGGTAGGACAAGAAACAGGCAGGTAGCTTAGGTTAGGGAGAGGTTGACTTAGGGACCGCAAGGACAGAGCATCATAAGAAACGGAAAGACTGAAAGCGACCTTATCTTGCCCTCAGCAGCTACTGGAGCTTTAATAATCGTGTTCGAGTACCTGTATGGCATTTGGCATCGAAAGAGAAGTGAATGTGCCCAGTGAGATAGGAGGGCTCACACCCGGGAAGAAGTTAGGACATTAATTCGAGCCCCCTGCCGGGTAATGAAGTGAAAGATTGTGTCTGGGCAGTTGCCTGTGGCCCGGGTCCAGGGTCCGGGGCTCTAGCTTCTGTCCCCCCAGGCCCACCACCTCTCTTCCCGACTCTTAAAGACAACGACGCTGTCCGATTTGTTTTAGTACTTTGGGATCTCGATGTAACAGCTCTGCCCTGGGGAGTATGCGGGGAGAGGGGTTGCTGTGCATACTGAGCGGCTCAGCCATGCCCCGAACCCCAAGCCCCAAACCCCGAGCCTGTTCACTCCTACCCCCACCCGGGGCTTGGAGACCCTCCGACCCGGCGGTATTTTCTTCCGCCGAGCTCCTCACTTGCAGGGATGTGTTTGGCCATCCATCTCTTCCTTTTACTGTCCGCAGATGAACCGTGCTGATACAGAGGCAACTTCATCGGAGCTGCTAAGATGGGCATGCGGATCAAACTGCAAAGCACCAACCACCCCAACAACCTGCTGAAGGAACTCAACAAGTGTCGGCTCTCCGAGACCATGTGCGATGTCACCATTGTGGTGGGGAGCCGCTCCTTCCCGGCACACAAAGCCGTGCTGGCCTGTGCGGCCGGCTACTTCCAGAACCTCTTCCTCAATACGGGGCTCGATGCTGCCAGGACCTATGTGGTAGACTTCATCACGCCCGCCAACTTTGAGAAGATCCTGAGCTTCGTCTACACGTCAGAGCTCTTCACAGACCTGATCAACGTTGGGGTCATCTACGAGGTCGCCGAGCGCCTGGGTATGGAGGACCTGCTCCGGGCCTGTCACTCCACCTTTCCTGACTTGGAGAGCACTGCCGTGGCCAAGCCCCTGAGCGGCACCTGTGAGAGCCACCCCGGTACCCAGAGCTGTAGCTCAGCAGAACCCGCCTATCCCCTCGGAGACCTCCGGGGTGCGGGGGAGCACTTTGGGCCTGATAGGAACTATGTGTTGCCCAGTGATGGTGGGGGAAGCTGTAAAGAGGAAGAGAGAAATGTCACCGGTGACATTAACCAGAGCCTGCCTCTGCCACAGCAGCCACTGCCGCCAAAGACGGAAGAGCACGACGCGCCTGCCCCCTTCATCCCCGCTCCTGGTGTGGTGACTACACAGCCGGTCCTGGGCACTGTCAACATGAGCATCCAAACCAGCACGAGCTCCTGCCAGCCATACAAAGTTCAGAGCAACGGAGACTTCAGTAAAAGCAGTTTCTTCACCCCGGACAACGCGATCGACATTACCACCGGGACCAACTCCTGTCTGAGCAATAGTGACCACTCCAAAGACCCCAGCTTTGGGCAGATGGATGAGCTCCAGCTGGACGACCTGGGGGATGATGACTTGCAGTTTGAAGACCCCACTGAGGAGATAGGCACAGCCGAGGAGGTGATTGAGTTGAGTGACGACAGTGAGGATGAGCTGACTTTTGGAGAGAATGACAACCGAGAGAATAAGGCCATGCCCTGCCAGGTGTGCAAGAAAGTTCTAGAGCCCAACATTCAGCTGATCCGACAGCATGCTCGGGACCACGTGGACCTGCTGACCGGCAACTGCAAGGTCTGCGAGACCCACTTCCAGGACCGGAACTCCCGGGTGACCCATGTTCTGTCCCATATTGGCATTTTCCTCTTCTCCTGCGACATGTGTGAAACTAAGTTCTTTACCCAGTGGCAGCTGACCCTCCACCGACGGGATGGGATATTTGAGAACAACATCATCGTCCACCCCAACGATCCCCTGTCTGGGAAGCTGGGTTTGTTTTCGGGGGCGGCCTCGGCAGAGTTGAAATGTGCTGCTTGTGGGAAGGCGCTGGCCAAAGATTTCCACGTGGTGCGGGGGCACGTCCTTGACCATCTGAACCTGAAGGGCCAGGCCTGCAGCGTCTGCGACCAGCGACACCTCAACCTCTGCAGCCTCATGTGGCACACGCTGTCCCATCTGGGCATCTCAGTCTTCTCCTGCTCTGTGTGTGCAAACAGCTTTGTGGACTGGCATCTCCTAGAGAAGCACATGGCCGTGCACCAAAGCCTCGAAGACGCCCTCTTCCGCTGCCACTTGTGCAGCCAGAGCTTCAAGTCGGAGGCCGCCTATCGCTACCATCTCAGCCAGCACAAATGCAACAGTGGCCTTGACGCGCGGCCCGGTTTGGGGCTACAGCACCCAGCTCTCCAGAAGCGGAAGCTGCCAGCAGAGGAGTTCCTGAGTGAGGAGCTGGCTCTGCAGGGCCAGCCTGGGAACAGCAAGTATAGCTGCAAGGTCTGTGGCAAAAGGTTTGCCCACACAAGCGAGTTCAACTACCACCGGCGGATCCACACGGGCGAGAAGCCGTACCAGTGTAAGGTGTGCCACAAGTTCTTCCGAGGCCGCTCGACCATCAAGTGCCACCTGAAGACACACTCGGGGGCCCTCATGTACCGCTGCACTGTCTGCGGCCACTACAGCTCCACCCTGAACCTCATGAGCAAGCATGTGGGCGTGCACAAGGGCAGTCTCCCGCCCGACTTCACCATCGAGCAGACCTTCATGTACATTATCCATTCCAAAGAGGCGGAAAAGAACCCGGACAGCTGACTGGGTCCCAGCAGGGCTGGGGGGAGCTCCCAGGCGGCAGCCAGGACGTAGGTTTTCTAATGGATGTTGGTCCCCCTCCAGCTGAAGTTTCGATTTTGCCTTGCTAGGAGTTCTGTTCTGTCTTGTGTTGAAAGAAGAAAAAAGAAGAAAGAGCACACGAGCTGTTACTGTTTTTTGAGAAGCAACGGCCCTATCATGTTTACCTCCTTATCTGTTCTTGCCCACGAAGGGCCGTGTTTTTTATTCTTTGGAGGATGGTTTTGGGATCTGGTCAGGCAGTTGGTGTCAACTGGATCCCCTCTCCGAGCCTCTCAAGTTTTAGTTTACTGATAGGTTTTATGCTGCTAAGAATCCAACCAACAGCCTCACTGAATAGAGGAAGGTGGAGAGAGGTTTTCACTGTGGGTATTCTCGCCAGATTTCCAACTGGGACCCCCAGCTATGAGAGATTTTGGGAATGTGGTCGTTGAGAAGAGACTCGTCAGCAGGGCAGCTTGCCTCCAGGTTTAGGCCTCGCCCTCAGCAGGGGAAGGGTGGGTGGGCCGGAGGTGCCTGCTCCCATCTGCTGACGGGATGCTAAAATCTTTTGGCAGCTAGATCCAAACTGGGGACAGAGCTTTCTGTTTAGGTCAGAAAGCTTCAGGATGAATCCTTGCCAGTCAGAAGAGGTGTCCTGTGGCGCCGCCAGAAGTGGCAGCCTGCTGGGACAGGAAGGGAGGTGTCTCTTTTCTCCTCAATTCCAAAGAAATTTGATTTTATGGAGCTATAGCCCAGGCTGTCAAGCCTTCCCTGTGTGGCCGAGAGGACAGGGAGCCCCTTTGATACGTCATCTGCCATCTGGCTACCTCCGTCGACCTTGAGTTTCCTGGTGGAGAGGAGGGGATGTCTCTCCACAGCAGCAGCCTTGCCTTAACCGACATCCAGTCTCCCACCTAGAAGTGTGTTTGACCTGTGGTGTAGACGAGAAGCCCCGTGAGGTGGAGGAGTGATGGACTGTGAGGCCTTCGGGGTGGGAGGGACCTGAGTAACTGGCGGTGTGTAGCGGGATGTGCGTTCCGGTTCCATCTGTCCCAGGGTAACCTGTTTACGTTGTGCTAACTGGCCGCAGCTTTGGCAGCTCACCTTTGACCTGCTGGAATTTATCCTGATCTGTCATTGCATCGCCACCAGGGGGCGCCACAGGATGGCAGCTGGTTCGGGTCCACCCGAGGTGGCTAGGGTGGAGTGGGCCCAGTCCTTGGGGCTGGTGAGCTCCATTCCCGCCCCAAGAAAGCCTGAGGGAGAGGCCCTCGGATCTCGCATATTCACAAGGTAGCACCTCAGTAACTCATTCTACCTCACGCTGCCCCAGGGAGCTCTGAGTCCCTGGCCTAGGCCCTGACACTGCCCCTGGTGGGACTCAGCAGCACCCTGGGCTGTTTCACAAGCAAGTGGTTTTAATTAACTCACAAAGCCTTTTTGGACATTGATATTTATTTATTTTTGCTTTTATATACATGTTACCCAGCATCTCTTTCAGATAAGTGACTTCAGGAAAAGGAGTTTGTCCCCAGCAAGTAGCCATATTCCTGGGGACAGTCCTGGCCAGAGATTTGGGAGATGGGGGCTAGAACTGGGGGGGGGGGGGCGGTGTCATGCCTTTAAATAAGCAAATCCTCTACTTTCTCTCCAGATAGTCTCTTGAAGAATAAGCCCAACGAAGCCCGTAGGTAATGGCTGTGAGTCCTAGACCCTTGGGGCCGATTGACTTCCTAGGCCCTTCCTCCCTGCGATGGAGTAGATTGGGGTTTGGGTTGAGGGGAACAAGTTAACCGAAGGACCTTTTTTGCACATTTGCCTCATCCTTCCTAAACTTGGGAAGCTCTGTTGAGATACACAGGCAAGCCAGAGCTCCGTCCCGGTCGGACTGGCTGCCTTCCTCCTGGCCCTAAGTCGGGAAGCCTCCCATCTGGGGTGCGTGGCTCTCTGGTGACTGGTACACAAAGGGATTTGTACGAGTGGCCACCTTTCGCCATCTACACCCTATTCTTGGCAGGAAAGCAGTGCTGAGCCCTTTCATTCCTGACGGGCTTCTCCCTTTCTTGCCCACACTGACCGTTGGGAATTTAAGAAGGAGAACGTGCAAGGGACCACAGTCCAGTATCTGCTAAGCTTCTCGAGTCTAAGTGATTCTTCCCAGACCGTCGATGAGGACCAATTTTTCAGTGGTCAGGTTGGAGAGAGGCGGTACTTACTGGAACCCAGCCAGGTGGCTGCGAGTGCGTCCGCATGCCAGAGAAACCCTTTTCCTTAGCAGGAGGCATCGTGGATGCTGGGTAGTCTGTGTACTTAATCCGAAACTGTGAAGTTTTCCCTTTTTGCCAGTAAACCAAAAAAGCAAATCCTTGAACCTTTGCCCCTGAAACACTAAACAAACAAACAAAAAAACTGCACCCCCTGAGCCTCCTGAGGCCACGTGGTTGGTTGATCAGGGTGGCCTGGCTGGTTGCAATCAGACATGTAGCAGGTCAGTAGCTCATCAGGCTCATTGACCGAACCCCGTTCCTCTGCTTGTCCCCCTGTTCGCCCCCGACCCCTCCCTCTGCTTGGGGTCCATGTTTGCTGCCTCTGCCTCCAGCTCACCCTTTTGTCAACTGTTTTACTTGAAACTCGGTATTGTGGCAAAGGGCACTCTGGGGATACCTGGTCGAAGGTGTTCGTTATATCTTGGGTTTTTAACATTTTTGTCAACCCCCTGTTGTGGGGCCCCCTGTGCCTCGGGAGCCCGGTTTAGCAGCCTGCTGTGTCGTTCTGAGGTTCTGTCCACCCCCTGAATGTCTCGTCTTCTCCCTGTTTCCTCTTTCCTGTTCTGCACTCAGGACCAGCTACATAATTTGCAGAGCCCTCTGTTGAAAAATGAAGAATTTCAAGGTGGCGACTGTAGAGCATTAAAGCAAGCACGAGGCTATTCCCAACCCGTTTCTTAAGGGCAGAAGGTGATACTCATGTGGCGCAATTGGATCAACAGCAGAGGCTGCCTGTGGCCACGGGAGGGGACCCGTCTCCCGCTTCTCCTGTGACCCCTTGGTGGCTCGCTGATGCCACCGTGCCCCCCGGGAAGCTCTGCTGTATTTTAGTATTTGGTTCTATGTTTTAAGACCGAGGGGGTCTCTATAGTTCACAGCCAGGTGGAGAGAGAGGAGGTGCGGGTTGGGCCCCGGTGACCCTTAAGAACCAGGAAATGGGTAAAAGTTCTTTTGGACCTTCTTCCCTTCTGCCCCATCAGCACCCCTTTGTCTCCAGGACAGACCTCTGGGCTTAACTACCTTCTCCCCAGTCAGGTTTTGCTACTGATGAATCTTCTTCGTTTTCTGGCCTCTTGCCGTGCCCTATCCCTGAGACTACTCAACGTTGGAAGTGAGTTGAAATCCTTTTCTAGGTGGACACTGATTTTGTTGGCGTGGGAGTGGGCTGTGCAGAGAAGTCTGTGCCATCTGGAGGCCCCCACGTGTCCTTTTGCCTCAGCCCCGCACGGAGAGCCGGGACGTGCAGGGCACGCACACCGTTGGTGATCACTCTTCATAAAACTTAACATCAGAATGAAAATGAAACTGTTTTGATTTCGATGTTTCTTTAACACCCTGCGCCTGTCCAGTCCACCCCCCTTCCCACCTCCACTAGCGAAAGTCTCTTATAAAACCAAGAGTTGTTGACGTCTAACTTCCTTCCATTAAATTAATAAGTACTGACCTCCTAATATTTAAGTGTTTACTATCTATTGCTGTAAAGTTTTGTATATTTTGTAAACTTCTCTTCCCAAATAGTAGATGTCTAAAATCGTTGTACATCTGATTCTTTTATATTCCATTGTTTGGCACAAAGTGTGGTTTTTATTTAGAATAAAAAAAGGAAATTTGAAACGGGAATTCTTTTCCTATGACTGGGGTTATGCTATCCCTTGAGTTCAGAAGGTCGGGGCCCAACACCTGGTAGTAGCAGCATTCTGCTCAGCAGGTGCCAGGATTCTTTTTCTTTTCTTTTCTTTTCTTTTTTAAGGATTTTTATTTATTTGAGAGAGAGCAAGCACGAGTGGAGAGGAAGGACAGAGGGAGAGGGAGAAGCAGACTCCTTGCTGAACAGGGATCCAGACTCAGGGCTTGATCCCAGGATCCTGGGATCATGACCTGAGCCAAAGGCAACCGCTTAACCGACTGAGCCACCAGGCGTCCCCGATGCCAAGATTCTTTCAGGTAGCACAGTTTCCTTTCCTGTAGCTGGAATTCCCCAGGTTTAACCTGTTGACCTGTTTTTAGTGGCAAATCAAGTCAATAACCCACCCTTTCCAGGGGAAGCCACCCCGAGGGGATCTTGGGTTGGCCCAGAGAGTAGTGGACTCTGCTCCTATCTAGGTGGACTCGAGGTCCGGCCTCAGATGGTCCTGCCAGCACCACGAGGTTGACAACAAATGTAACTCCGCAGAGAAGGAGGTAGACCTCAGAAGTTGGGGTGTGACGTGGGCCATGTGCTCTCAGCCCCTGGCCAGGCTGGTGTCTGTCAGTGCTCGGTGAGCGCTGAGTGGAGGAGCAGCCTTGCTGTAGTCAGCAGAGCTGGGCCTCTGTCCTCCCAAGGCCCTAAGGAGGCATTCATGCGGCCTAGGGTTGTAACCCACTGCCAGAGAAATCAGAAGAGTGAGCCCCTGGGGGGCTGGCCTCTGAGGCAACCTGGATGTGACACGTGTGACACTGGATTCCCTTTAGGAAACTTCTGGAGCCTAAAGTCAATGGAGGGAGTGGTAAGGACATTCGATTATGGCTTGGTTTTTATATGAGCACAAAGGAGGAATGTCTGTAGTGCATCTTCTGTGTTGCTGGGTTAAGCCCTTACCGCAACCCCAAGTCACACCCCGGACTGTCCTGGTTGAAAAAGCCTTCGGCTCTGTGCCACAGAGCAGCTGTGTATCGCTTGAGACCCTTTCAGATTGGGGTCCAGTGAGCAAGATTGTCGGGGCCTCTCCCCCTGTGCTCCTGACAAACGGGCACATGCGCTATCGGAGCACATGTTTAATGCATCTGATGAATACGGTTTCAGATTTCTAAGAACAGAGGGGACGGCGCCCCAGATCAGTGAGTGGTTACTCCCAGTGAAACATTCCAGAAATACCGCGTCCAGAAATATCAGGACAGAGGTTCCCAGTGCTTACATTCACAAACCCTTCATTCTCCACAGGTGGGATTAGGAGGCCAAGGACTTGGAACTAGTGGGCTGGGGCCTGTTCATAGGTTTTTCCTTCCTGGACATGCTCTTAGGTTCCCAAACTGATAAATGAGTATTTTCCAGAAGACCTACTCATTAACCTGAAGACTTCTTTTCTTATCTATAGGACAAGTATGACTAGAAGTAAGTGGCTGGATGGGAAAATTAATGGAAAGACCCTGGCCAGGGAGGATGAAGTTGAAGGGTCAGGAATGACTTGGAATACCGGAGCTCTGCCCTGTGACTGGCTCAGAAATTTCTACCTCCCCATCCCGTGCAGGGACAAGGGCTGAGGGACAGAGCATGTGTCAGGGCCTGCTGCTGGCCGTCCCAAGGTCTGCTCTCAGATGGATGTCCCTTGATGTTTGCCCACGATCTGGAGAGAAAGGGAGGGATGGTGCATCTCTGAGAGTATCTCTTCCTGGGAGTCTGGAAATGTCCTAGATCTGAAGGCGGGGGCAGGTGGGCTGTGAGGAGCGTGGACTGTGGGCTGGCCCCTCTGCTTCGTGGGGAGGGAAGCGGGATGGATGAAGGGGAGAGGATCTGGGTGGGGGCAAAGGGCGGGACCCAGCCCTGTGCTTCACTCCCTCCGTTTACCATGTCACTGAGGATGCTAGGGAATGTCCTGCGTCGCCTCCTGGTTCCTCAGCCTCTGACCCCTTGTCCCCCCAGCCTGCGCAGTGTGCTGGGGCGTCGGCAAGTGCACAAACACAAAAGGAAAGCTGTGTGAGGTCCCTGCGGAGCACACTCTTTCGGGCCAGGGTGGCTGTTGAAATGAGTGCGTCGGTTTCTGCCGGCGTCTCTTTGGCCTGTCCCGGCTGGAAGTACAGATTTTGGAAGGAGCCAGAGTCGTGGCTGTCTGGGTAATTTATTTCACCATGTTCCCGGGGACCGGGACACCCAGCGGACGCCACCAAAGGCCTGTTCCCTGCTGTTCCCCGCCGCCTCGCCTCCCCATCTCCATTTCTTGGGATGGACACACTCAAGGTCGACCAGGAGTGTTGGGACCCTTCCCCCGCCCCCGGCCCTCACCTCGGGCCTCCAGCTCTCTACCCCCCTGGGAGCTGGGCTCTCCGGGCCTCCTGGGAGACCCTAGGGGGGGGGGGCTAGTTCGGCCCCCCGGGGTGGGCCTGGGCGCCGGCTGCAGTGGGCTGGGTGCCCTCCTTGGTGATGACGATGGAGTGCTGGGTGGAGGAGGAGGAGGAGGAGGAGGAAGCGCGCCTGTCCTCCCGGGCCCGGGCCTTGGGCAGGTAATGGACCACGGCGCTCAGCAGCTGCTCCCGGAACCTGGGGCTCAGGAAGTTGTAGAGCAGGGGGTTGAGCACGCAGTGGAGCATGGCGAAGCAGTCGATGATGTCATAGAAGAAGTAGAGCAGGTGCACCAGGTAGCAGTGGAGGGACACATGCGTGCCGTGCAGTGTGAGCAGCAGCAGCGTGGCGTGGTAGGGCAGCCAGCACGCGGCGAAGGCGCCCAGGTAGGCGCACACCAGCAGGCAGTGGCGCCGGCCCTCGGGCCGCCCGGCGCGGCGCAGGCGGCAGGCCGTCAGCACGTTGAAGAGCACCATGAGCGGGAAGGGCAGCAGGAAGCCCAGCACGCTGGTGGACAGCGCCACGGCCAGGGCCCACGCGCTGTAGGCCTCGAAGGGCGCCATGAACAGGCACACGGGCTCCGCGCCGTCCAGCAGCTGCATGTGCGCCACCTCGGGCAGCGGGAGCACGGCCGACAGCAGCCAGACCCCCGCGCACACGGCCCGGCGCAGCCGCTGCTGCCGGGGCTGTGGGCTGGGGGCCGCCAGGCTGACATAGCGGTCGACGCTCAGGCACAGCAGGAAGAAGATGCTGCTGTACATGTTGGCGAAGTAGAAGTAGTGCGTGAAGCGGCAGGAGAAGCCGCCCCAGAGCCAGGTGTAGTCCAGCGCGACCTCCAGCATCCACACGGGCAGGGACAGCACGATGCCCAGGTCCGCCACGGCCATGTGCAGCGCGTACAGGCTGAGCAGGCCCCGGCCCGCGCGCCGCCAGCTGACGCCGATCACCACCACGTTCTCCAGCAGCCCCACCACGAAGATGGCCAGGTACAGCACGAACAGCGTCACTTGCTTCGCGTCCTCCCTGAGCTCCACGTGGCACTCGGGCAGGGTGTGGTTGAAGAAGTAGAGCAGCTCGTCCCAGTTGCGGATCTCCCCAGGGTCGCCGGTGGGCGCCGAGGTGACGGCCCCCGGGGGCGCAGGCCCCGCGTCCTCCCGGGCGGGCATCGGGCCGACACACCCCGAAAGCCGCCTGGCTGGCGTCTCAAGTCCCTGGGCCACAGGGGCCGGGAGGCTTTGGGAAGCGATTCTGGGTCTGAAGAGGCGACAGAGGGATTCATGACTTTTTATTTTTTCAAAAATATGTATTTATTTGAGAGGGAGAGAGAACACACATAGTGGAGAGGCACAGAGAGAGAAGCAGGCCAGGTGGGGCTCGATCCCAGGACCCCCAGGGTCATGCCCTGGGCCAAAGGCAGACGCTCAACCGCTGAGCCACCCAGGTGTCCCTTTTTTAAGTTGTTTTTTTTTTTTAAGATTTAATTTATCCATTCAGGAGCAACACACAGAGAGAGGCAGAGACATAGGCAGAGGGAAGGGCAGGGCTCGGGACTCGATCCCAGGGCCCCAGATCACGCCCTGAGCCAAAGGCAGTCCCCCCACCACTGAGCTCCCCAGGCGTCCCAGGAGGGGGAGTTTAAACATTTAGATGTGGGACCCCTGGGTGGCTCAGCGGTTTAGCGCCCGCCTTTGGCCCAGGGTGTGATCCTGGAGTCCCGGGATTGAGTCCCATGTCGGGCTCTCTGCGTGGAGCCTGCTTCTCCCTCTGCCTGTGTCTCTCTGTCTCTCAAAAATAAATAAATAAAATCTTTAAAAAATAATAAAAAAAAATAAACATTCAGACGGTGGGAAATAGTACGCGGCGCCCTGGCCGGCTTTGCCCCCAGCCAGGCGCCCCGGTAGCTCCAGCCACAGGCTGGTTCCGTTCTCCACTTCTCTCCTGGTGCTTCACCCCTTGGCCCTTTGACATGGGCCTTCCTAGGAAGTCTTACTCTCTCTCATTTGGGCTATGGATGTGGGACACACATGCACGCACACGCACACACACATGCTCGCACCCCCCCCCCATTTTATCCCTGAGGACATAAGTGGCTCATGCATGAAAGCCAGTTGTCCTCAGGCTCAGATTCCCTTCTCTCCTGAGAGGGAGACACCCACCTGCCTTTCTGCCCGGAGTGCTTCTGGTCCCTGCAGGGTCGTCTGGGCTGCTGGGGAGCTGCGAGGAGACTGGAGGGACCGTGGCCGTGGGCCTGGCTTGCCTGTGGGCTTCAGGGCCGTCCTTCTCATCCGGAAAGCAGTATCACTGGCTGAGGCTCTGTGGGAGAGGGTCAGGGTTTTTCCTGCCTTCCCCCAATCCAGATAGAGGGGAAGTCACAGGAGATGACCCAGTGTGCCTGTGGCAGGGAGGAGTCCGGGCTGCAAGCATTGAAAACCCAGACTCCTGACTCACTAGCTACGTGAATGTCCGTCCTTCAGCCTCAGCTCTCTCCTCTGCAAAATGGGACAGTAACGTCCACTAATGGGGGTGTTGGGAGAATCCAGTGGGCCACAAAGTGAAGTGCTCAGCACAGGGCCAGGCCTGTGCTAAGTGCTTTCCGTGCATGTGTTTTCCACTTCCAGCGGGCTTGGAATCCCACTCCCCTGTCTGTCGATTCCAACGAAAGCAGAACTGGATGGGGCGGGCAGGCTAAAATAAATCTGAAAGTCATCCACGCTTTCAGCCACCCTGCCCTTCCCAACTGGCTCGCACCCGCCCCTTGCCGGTCTCCCGGCCTGCACTTGGGCTCTGAGGGGGAATTGAGAGAGAGGGAGGGAAGACTGAACGGGGTGGGCTGGGGAGGAGGGCTGGGCTGAGCTTCAGGGAGTCTCCTAGATGCGGAGAGGGAAGCAGCATGAGGTGTGGCCAAGAATGGTCCAGAGAACCTTAAAAAAAAAAAAAAAAAAAAAGAATAGTCCAGAGAGGGGCGCCTGGGTGGCTCAGTGGTTGAGCATCTGCCTTGGGCCCAGGGCGTGGTCCTGGGGTCCCGGGATCGAGTCCCTCATCGGGCTCCCTGCCTGGAGCCTGCTGCTCCCTCTGCCTGTGTCTCTGCCTCTCTGTGTCTCTCATGAACAAAGAAATAAAATCTCAAAAAATAAGGAAAAAAAAAAAAGAATTTACTGGAGAGAGACAGACACCAAGTTTCTCTCTCCTTCCAAGCCACAGGGTAAGGCACAGGGCCGGTGGATTTGTGTGGTGGGGAACACCTGGTGTCAGCAGAGCTTCCTGCTTCTCAGAGCACTTCTGCCTCAGTTAATCATTGGATCCCTGAGATACCCGGTGGGGACAAGGAGGGGCTTTCTTATCCTCTGTGAAGCCCAGAGAGGTCACCTCTCACACAGGCCACACGGTGCAGACGGCAGAGCCACCTGGCACCAGGCCCATGTTCTGTGGGCTGCAGGGCGAGGCTGCAGAGGACCAGGGGTGCACGTCTCATTGCGGTAGAGTGCCCGTACCAGTATCAACCGGCTCAAAGCATACAGTTCAGTGGCTTTTGGTACCTTCACTTCGTTGTGTAACCACCGCCTCTGTGTAGGTGCTCACACTTTCATCGCCCCAAAGGAAAACCCCACACCCATCAAGTACTCCCTATTGCCCTCTTCCCCCAGCCCCTGGCAATGCCTATTCTGCTTTCATCTCTGGGGATTTACCTCTTAGGGATATTTAATATAGATGGAATCATACAATGTGTGACCTTGGTGTCTGTTTTCTTTTTCACTTGCACAATGTTTGTGAGCCTCATCAATGCTGTAGCATGTGTCTGTACTTCATTACTCTTCACAGCTAAGCAATATTCCATCGTGTGGCTATGCCACCTTTTGTGTATCCATTCAGGGATGGGATTTTTTTTAAGGTTTGCTAATTAGTTTTTTATTGTAGTGAAATAAACATAACATCAAATTTACCATTTTAGCTATTTTTTTTAAAAAGATTTTGTTTGTTTGAGAGGGACAGAAAGCATGAGCAGGGGCAGAGGGAGAGGGGGAAGCAGGTTACCCACTGAGCAGGGAGCCTGACGTAGGGCTGGATCCCAGGACCCTGAGATCATGACCTGAGCTGAAGGCAGACACTTAACCCACTGAGCCACTCAGCTGCCCCCATTTTAGCTATTTTAATTTTTTTAAAGATTTTATTTATTTATTTATTCATGAGAGACAGAGAGAGAGAGAGAGAGAGAGAGACAGGCAGAGGGAGAGGCAGAGGGAAAAGCAGGCCCCATGCAGGGACCCCAACGTGGGACTCGATCCCGGGTCTCCAGGATCATGCCCCAGGCTGAAGGCAGGTGCCAAACCGTTGAGCTACCTGGGCTGCCCTATTTTTAATTTTACAGTTCAGTAGCATTAAGTAAGGGCTGCCTGGCTGGCTCAATTGGTAGAGCATATGCAACTCCTGATCTTAGGGTCATGAATTCGAGCCCTACTCTGGGCACAGAGATTACTTAAATAAATAATAAAATAACTATGTTCACATTGTTGCGCAACCATCACCACCAGCCATCTCCATGAGAGGGGATGTTTTTACCTTTGCAGTTTTCTTAAGGCCTCCTCTAGGAAAACTGTCTCTCTACTCGCAACACTTCTGACACCAAACATGTAGGGTTTTCCCCTCCATACTAACCAATTTCCCGACCCCTGGGCACAAAGTGGGTGTCCTAAAATCTATCATTTCTGACACCAACCGGAAGTTACTGTCAGATTCCACAGGTCTAAGGACTGGGTCTCACAGGATGGTTCTCACTTTAGATGCCAGTCACAAACGACAGGTCCCCAAGGCACCCACACTTCTGTCCAACGGGGTTACAAAGTTCCCACAATCCCCCCACCTCAGCTTCAGTAATTTGCTGGAGTGGTTCACAAAACTCAGGGAAACTCAGGGCAAACATTTACTTTGTTTATTGTAGAGGATGCAAATGAACAGCCAGATAAAGAGGTATAGTTGTGAGGTTGGGAAGGGTCCCACCCAAGCTTTGTCCCCATGGAGCTGGGGTACATAGGCCTCCCGGCATGGAGATACGTTCACCAGCCCAGATCTCTGAAGCTCATAGTTTAGGAATTTTTATGGCTACTTCGGTACATAAGCATGATCTATTATTAGTTTAATCTCTAGTCTCTGACCTCTCCCCGGAGGACAGGAGGTGAGGTTGGAAGTTCTAAGCTTCTAATCAAGGCTCGGTCTTTCTGGGAACCAGTCCCCATCCTGAAGCCATCTAGGAAATTTTCTAAGGGATTTAGGAACTCAGGGAGCAGATGTGTTTCTTATTATGTCACACTTCTACCCAAACGTCAGACCCGGCCTTGATCAAGAAATCTGTCATGATGAGCTATGATGATGATGTAAAATGTGGTTTACTTTGATTTTTTCCAGACAGTTCTACTCTCTCTCTCTCTTTAGGATCTCGATTTCTATCCTATGGGTATTGTTTTTCAATAGGGAGCCTTCTGAGAATTCTCACTTCCTTCTCCATGCCTTTGACCCATGCAGGTGGAGGCTCTACTAGACCAAGCACCCTCCAGGAAGACCCTCGTTCTGTGTCTCTCTTCTCTCTACACATTCTGGCTCAAGGCCATTTTCATTCCTCTCAAGACTGCATTTTAGCAGCTCATGTCTCCTGGGTCTCAATCTTTCACCCCCGGACCTTCTCCCCCGTCATTGAGACATCACTCCCCGTGGCCTCATCTCCACCTGCTCCCGGGCCCCCCTCCCCCACCTCACTGAATTCGAATTTGCAGCAGGAGGAAATGACAGTGGCGCCTCCTGGCAGAGGCACAGAGGGAAAGCTGCTCCCTCAGGAAGCAATAAGTGACAGCTCTGCAGTTTTCATGTGGTGTTTTTCTTTGGAGGGAGGAGGTGTGCAGCTGGAAAGAGAGATTGGAAGGAAGGGAAAGACAGAGGGGGCAGGACCCAGGCTTCTTGCCAACCTGAGCAGGAGGGGGGGTGGCAAATAGCTTTGCTCCAAGTAACAGGAACAGCAGCAGCAAAACAATTCCTGGAAATTTGCTCTTTCTCCTTCCTACCCCCCTCTAACTTTTTTTTCAAAAACTGTAGACAAGACATTGTTATCAACAATCAGAAAGGAAGGAAGGTACCAGGGAGGAGTTATTGGAGACACAGATAAAAGCAGCAGCTTCCCAGGGTCAGGTGGGGGCCAAGGGCTTGTGCCTGGACCCTGGAGGGAGGGGCTGGGCGGGCTGTCCCAGGAATCCCCCCACTTGGCCGGCCTGCACGGCCGTGGACCCTCCTTCGTGTGTGGAGGGCAGGTGGATTGTGGGCTGGTTTAGGCTGAGAGGAGCTTGGCAACCACGGTACTTCCATCCCCAGCCTAGCTTCCAGGAGGTCACGAGGGCAGAAGCCACGTCCAGCCACAGAAGTCATTCTGCCCTCCTGCGCCAGCTTCCCCACACCTCGTCTGCCCAACAGCACCAGATAAAGGGCTCCCCGGCTTCCCAAAGAAGGATGTGGTCCCGCGGGCCTGTCCTTGGTTCTGCTCAGCTCTTTCCTGCTTGCGCACTCTTCTCTGAGCCACGGTGGCGGTAACACTAGTCTGGGGGCCAGACCTGGCTTTGGCACCTTGTTCCCCCACTTGGTAGCCATGTGACCTTGTGCAACCACCTTGCTTTCTGAGTCTCAGTTTCTTTATTTGCAAAGTGAGGATAAGGGTTATTGTATGGGATGCGTGAGATGAGATGTGTGCAGTGCCCGGCATAAGCATGTCCCTTTCCCACTGTTTGGGAATGAGGAAGAAGAGATCCCTTCTTGTGGAATTACCCTGAGATACCTGTCCTTAGTCTCACCACGATGAGCCATTTTCCTCTGAAATGGATGGACACTGGCTTCCTCTTCTATTTAGTTGTCTGGTGTTGTGTTTCTTTTTTCTTTTTTTTAATTTTTAATTTTTTTTTTTTGTGTTGTGTTTCTTACGTAGAAGGTCAAGAACATCCCGGTGCCACTAAGAACTACCACAAAAGAGATGTAGTAATACTAATAGTAAACATTCATTGCATACTTATCATTTACCAGGCATGCTTTCGAGGTGCTTGATATGTACCACCTCATTTCTTTCTTTTAAAATTTTATTTAAATTCAATTAATTAACGTGTAATGTATTACTGGATTCATCGGTAGGGGTCAGTGATTCATCAGTCTTATATGATCCCCAGTGCTCATTACACCACGTGCCCTCCTTAATGCCCATCACCCAGTTACCCTGTCCCCCCACACCCTCCCCTCCAGCAACCCTCAGTTTATTTCCTCTGGAAAAGAGTCTCTTATGCTTCATCTCCTTCTCTGATTTCATCTTGTTTTACTTTTTCCTCTCTTCCCTTATGATCCTCTGTTTTGTTTCTTAAATTTCATATATAAGTAAGATCGTATGGTAACTGTCTTTTCTGACTGACTTATTTCATTCAGCGTAATATCCTCTAGTTCCATCCACATCTTTGCAAATGGCAAGGTTTCATTTTTGATGGCTGAGTAATATTCCAGTGTGTGTGTGTGTGTGTGTGTGTGTGTGTGTGTGTGTGTGTGTGTATACCATCTTCTTTATCCATTCATCTGTTGATGGACCTCTGGGCTCTTTCCATAGTTTGGCTGTCGTGTACCACCTCATCTAATCCCCATAACAGCTTAACGAGGTGGCCACCATCATAGACAAGGTCTCTATCACATCAGGAGGCACAGAGAGGTTAAACAACTTGCCTGAGTCCCACTGCTAGTATTTCAGTAAGCCCTTATTACAGGGATTCTTGACCTGGATTCTTGGCACCTAATGGCTTTAGGTGGTCTGTGAACGCCCCAAAAAGTATATTCAAAATCCCATATGTTGTGTTAAGTCACTTTTATGGGGCAGAGTTTTCTTAGATTCTCAAAAGGGTCCATGATGTCCAAAGTGTTAAAAATGACTGCCCTCATGGGCAGCCCACGTGGCTCAGCGGTTTAGTGCCGCCTTCAGCCCAGGGCCTGATCCTGGAGACCTGGGATTGAGTCCCATGTCAGGCCCCCTGCATGGAGCCTGCTTCTCCCTCTGCCTGTGTTTCTGCCTCTCTCTCTCTCTGTGTATGTCTCTCATGAATAAATAAATAAATCTTAAAAAAAAAAGAAAGCATCTCTCATGGATGGGGCTGGGATAAAAAAAAAAGTGGGGTATGGCCTACACTTCCATGGAAGGGACTGAGCCTTTGGAATTCAGGGAAATTTCTTGAGTGAGGGCAAAGTCCCCTTTGGGGGACAGCCCATTGGGATGACCTGGGCGGGGGTTGAGAAAGTGCAGGTGAATTGTCTTTGCCTCCACAAGATGAAGGACAACTGTTTCCTCCCTGTGATTTCCCAAGAGAGTGTATGTGGAGGTGTGCAAGGTCAGTGCAAGGAAGAGAGGCTTGGAGAGACCGCAGGCTGAAGACCCCCTGGGAAACTGGCTCGGCTCTTCCTGGCTCTGCAATTTCCTATCCATCTCCTGGCTTCTGTTCCTCCCTCAGGAGCCCCCCACTTCCTGGTTTCTGTCACCTCCTCCCGGGGGCCTCTGTCCATGTGCTGATGGTCCCTTGCTGACTCTAGATTTATTCAGTTTCTACTAACCTTTGTCGAGCACCTAACATGCTGGGCAGAAAGGAGTCCTGAGTTCTCCAGTGTTTCTGGAGGCCTCCACTTCCTAGGGCTGCAGCCTGATGACATCACAGGGGTTCTTGGACTCCCCGAGAGCCGGAGTTGAGAGGACTCACGAGATCCTCCTGAGTCTCGCCGTCGGGGTGAAGAAGAGGGAATGGAGGCTGTGGGGACTCTCAGATGGTCGGCCAACGTGAGAACCGCAGGTGACAATGGAGAGCAAAGCGGGGTGCGGCAGAGTCACCTACGTCCACACGCATTCATCTCGCGGGCCGCGGGGCGCTGGCTGGTGCCGGAAGCCGGGGTCCCTGCCGGGCGCGGCCTCAAGGCTCCAGGCGTCCGCGTCCGCGCGGAGTGAGGTCCACCCGCTTCACTGGCATGAAGCCATCGCTTCAGCCTTCTCCTGGAGCTTCCGGATCTCCACCGTTTCTCTTCCCCCAAACAGTGATGATCCAGCCATGCTGCAGGCCCTTGGGGACAGGTGTTCAAGAGGTTGGGACCACAGCTAGATGTCTTTTCCAGAGTGTCCGGAGCTGTGCAACAGCGAGGTGGCTGATTTCTGCGCGTGCTTTCTGAGGGACACCAACACTGACGCCTCCTGAGGGGCCTTGCCTCAGGGCCAGGAAGAGGGCAGGAGAGCCACGTGGACCAAGAGGCCCAAGGAAGCCAACCTCAGTATCCCTCTGAGCCTCCCATGACTCCCCGCCCTCCCAGGCCTCTTTTCTGGGAGAGGCCCAGTGTGTGAGGGCAGGGACGAGCGCCCAACCCTGTCAGAGGACGCTGGGGTGCCCTGAGGAAGGCTCCCCAGCCCCAGCCCTGTGCGCCTCCTCTTGTGAAGTGCTGGCCTCTGCGTCAGCCTGAAGCCCCCCCACGCACAGCCTGTGTCCACCTCGGGGCCTCCTTGTTTAGTCTGCCGGGGGCAGCTTCGGCGCCCTGCCCACCCCCCCAGACACGGCCGCGGCCACGTGTGGGATTCTAGACGTGGGGGGCGGGATGCAAGCACCACCCAGGGCTGGGGACAGGCCATCTCCACGGAGCAGGGGGTGGCGACTGCTGAGACCCACTTGGCCAAGCGCTTCCTCTCGACCCTCCCGGCAACCGGGAGCAGCCTCTGTGCTGCTGTGCCCACCCCGTCCACCCCCCACCCCCCACCCCGTCCCTTCTCTCCTTTCTCCACCTCTGGGGGCAGGTACCCCATTAGTTTCTAAACACTGGTCTGCCCCAGAGGCCCTCTACAGCGGGAGGGGACCTTGTGCTCTTTGCCTTCTTCTCCCCTAGAGAGGCCGCCAGTGACTTAGATTTCTGAGACGTGAACCCCGTATCCTGAGCTGGATGAGGAAGCCCAGGCTCAGGGAACATGCTGAATGCAAACATGTCTTGAATCAAAGCGCATCTCCCTCCTAAGAGCCTTCCTGAGCTTGGGAATATGAAGTTTGCATGTTAGCAGACAAGTGAGGCAGTCCTAAACCTGGAACCCAGAGCAGCGTGACCTGTGTCGCTCAGCCTGCAGCCACAGGGACACAGCAGAATGCAGTGATAGGGCTGGGGAGCACTGCTGGTAGGCATGTTTTCTTTCTGGGCAGGATTTGGGATTTTCAAGGGCCTGTGTCAGCACTTATAAAAGTAGTCAAAGAGCAGACAGGTCGGGGAGAGGAAAAAATGTTCCAGACGGATAGTGACCAGGAGGGAAATTAGATTTCATGCCAGGGGGCCCGGAGGCCAGACTGCCTTCACAGTCATCTGGATTGAGGAGGCCACAGACTTTTCTGATCGCAGCCTGTCATCTGTCCCCTGCGAGGCCATGTGGTGGTCCCTGGCGGTCCTCGTGGGCCTGTACTACCTCCTGCGCTGGTACCGGGAGAGACAGGTGGTGAGCCACCTCCAGGACAAGTACGTCTTCATCATGGGCTGTGACTCGGGCTTTGGGAACCTGCTGGCCAGGCAGCTGGACCTGCGAGGCTTGAGGGTGCTGGCTGCATGTCTGACGGAGAAGGGGGCCCAGCAGCTGAGAAGCCAGACATCAGACAGGCTGGACACGGTGATCCTGGATGTCACCAAGACAGAGAGCATCTTGGCGGCCGCCCAGTGGGTGGAGGAGCGTGTGGGGGACAGAGGTATGGCCCAGATTCATTTGTGTCTCCTTATTGATTCTCTCTATGCAAGGGTGACCTCTCTTCTGCTAAGTGGGAAGATTCCCAGGGTGTTTTTCAGAACCTGAAGTCATATGAGCTTTCTTCGCCTCACGCGGCTCATCATCAGAGCCTCTTCTCTCTCCCCTGCTCCTCACCTCGAGACCTTGGAGTTCAGGAGTTTTGGGGAGAATGTGCCCTGAGGAGCATTTGCCCTCCCAGAATTCTTCTTTTCAGTGTCCCCTCTCTCTCAGCACAAGTTCTGGGTTTCTTGATGCTGAGGGATTAGGCAGGCTCACTTTCTGGAGGAGGAGCTGAGATGGGGGACCCCGCCTGGAGGCTTGCATTGGTGGCCGGGGACTAGGCTGGGGTCAGTCTTGCTCTCAGCACTTCAACAATACCTCGTGGTTCGCTACAAAATCGTTTCCTACCTTGTATCCCCCGCATTCAGTACACATCAGGTCTTGGTAAACGGCTTTGTTGTGTTTGTCCGCGAGGCCCCTGAAGCCCTGGCCCCTCTGCCTGTCTGCTTGCAGGAGGGAGCTCACCTACTTCGGGGTGAGGGTAGCTGTGATCGAGCCTGGTTACTTCAGCACTAACGTGACCAACCCTGAGAAGATTTCCAGGGGCTTCCAGGAGACATGGGACCGGCTGAGCCCGGAGGTCAGGGAGGCCTATGGGGAGGAGTTCCTGGCCTCTGGTGAGTGAGCTGCGGCACTGGGGAGAGGAGAGCAAACCGGGCCCATCACTAGCGCCTCCTACAGACTCGGGACCCCCCTCCAGGCCGCGAGTCACCTACACAGTGGGGCCATCCTGTGGTCCCGTGTGGTCAGCTGGTGACCTCAGGGCAGATCCAGGCTTGCTAGACCTGGAGACGGCGCTTTCCCCTAATGCCCTCGTCATTTAAGGGAGGAAAGTGAAGCCAGAGCGGGGGAGACACGCACGGACCCCTGGCAAGCTGGCGGTAGAAGAGCTGGTTTTCGGGGGCTGAGATTTCTGGGGCGTGTGGCCACCTCAGTGTCTGCAGAGCACGTCTGCGCAGGGGTAGGGCCCAGGGGCCGAGCGCCGGAGTGTTCCCTGGTGGGAGGCGGGACGCCGACGCCCTGGGATGGAGTCCCGTGCCAGGTCCCCGCTGAAGGCAGGGTCGTGTCTCTACTGTCTGGGGTCCCCAGTCCAAGAGGGAGCGGAAGGCAGCTTGCACCGTGAGGCCCCTGCCCCTCGCAGCTCCCTTGGCGGCTCCGACGGCTCCCCTCTCCGGACGGGCCCCCAGGGTGGGGAAGGGGGACCCGGTGGGGGCGGCCGGCTGGACCGCGGCCCCGCGGAGCCCCCAGCAGGGCACCACCAGGGGGCGCCCGGCACCGGCCCGGCCCGGTTGCCGCCCAGGAGCCGCCCCCACCCACCCCCTCCGCAGGAGACGCCGTGGGTGCGGCCGCGCGGGGACACCTCGGTGCAGCCGCGCGGGGACTCGGTGCAGCCGCGCGGGGACACCTCGGTGCAGCCGCGCGGGGACTCGGTGCAGCCGCGCGGGGGGGGGGACGCCTCGGTGCAGCCGCGCGGGGACTCGGTGCAGCCGCGCGGGGGGGGGACACCTCGGTGCAGCCGCGCGGGGACTCGGTGCAGCCGCGCGGGGACTCGTGGGTGCGGGCGCCGGGGACATCCCCGCAGCAGCGAGTCTGCGCCTCGGCGGCGCCTCTGCGGGGCGTCCCGTTCTGGCCCCAGGGCTCCAGGTGCGTGAGAGGCACCCCAGCCTCCTGTTGTCCCGGCCCCTCCGACCTTGCTGTGACTGTCCCGCCTGGACGTCACCGGCTTTGAGGTCTCTCAGGAGGGGAGGGCTGGAGGGGGTCTCCGCGGCAAGGCCGCTTGCAAATTGGTGGTGAAGGACCTTGTGGTCACTGAGGGGACAGGCGTCCAGTTCCTTGCAGGTAATGACCATGGCCCTGTGCCCAGTGGGGTTTGGTGTCCAGTGAGGATGTGCACGGTGCCTTGGGCCCCCCGGGGGGTTCCAGGGCTCCCCTCTACCTCCTTGGCTTCTTCCTCCTTGGCGCTTTGGGAAGCACGTGTAGGGGGTCCTGGCGGTCACACACACGTGCACACACACCCGGGAAGCAGGGACAGGCCTGGCCATGCTGCTGCAGCCGCCTCCACCCTGAGAGACAGGCCCAGTGGGAGCCCCTCTCTGTTCCTCAGGTGCCGGGAGGAGTGGGCGCTGGGCTTCTGACTGCCGGGAAGCCTCGGGCTCCCCAGGGCCCCTTCCTCTCCCTGACTAGGGCTCAGTGGACAGTCGGGGAGACACAGAGCCACCAGACCGGCTTCCCTGGCGCCCCAGCCCCAGCCCTGTGCACCTCCTCTTGTGAAGTGCTGGCCTCTGTGTCAGCCTGAAGCCCCCCCACGCACAGCCTGTGTCCACCTCGGGGCCTCCCTGTTTAGTCGGGCAGCTCCCACCCCCCCCCCAGACTTGGCCATGGCCATGTGTGCAGGCCCTGGACCTCCCTGCCCCACCTCGGAGGCCTAGGACACCCGGGCCGCGGTTCCTGGCAAATCGGCCTGTGCTGCCCATGGAGTCCAGTCCCGGCGCTCTGGATTCTGGACGTGGGGGGCGGGATGCAAGCACCACCCAGGGCTGGGGACAGGCCATCTCCACGGAGCAGGGGGTGGCACTGCTGAGACCCGCTTGGCCAAGCGCTTCCTCTCGACCCTCCCAGCAACTGGGGGCAGCCTCTGTGCTGCTGTGCCCACCCCGTCCCTTCTCTCCTTTCTCCACCTCTGGGGGCAGATACCCCATTAGTTTCTGAACACCGGTCTGCCCCAGAGGCCCTCTACAGCGGGAGGGGACCTTGTGCTCTTTGCCTTCTTCTCCCCCTAGAGAGGCCGCCAGTGACTTAGATTTCTGAGATGTGAACCCAGTATCCTGAGCCAGATGAGGAAGCCGGGCATGGAGTGTGAGCCAGCAGCCCCAGGTCACACAGCTGGTTGGTAGCACAGCTGTGTTTTGAAATCACATGAGTGTTGATTTACAGCCTGTCTATCTTTATAAGAGTGTCCAGTAAGTCAGGGAGACGGACCCGGCTTCCAGCCTTGAACGAGAACAAGGTAAGAAGACAGTTCTGAACCATGAGACCTAGGACATAGGGGTGTGTGCCTCTGTGTGTGTGTGTGTGTGTGTGTGTGTGTGTAGATGGGCAGGGGGAAATGGGAGGAGTGGGTGGACCAGGAGAAGGTGACTAGGAAAAAGTATCTTCATGTCAAAGGATTCTTTGTGAAATCCAATAGCACCCAGTAGAAATGGCATAAGTGTACCAAAGAGTGTGTAAGTTGGGGCCAGTATCAATAATACTCACTAGAGAAAGTGACCAGGAGGTCCTCGAGGACTCTATGTCAGAGTCTGGAGGCTGGCCTACTGCTCACACACGTGTGTGCTCACATCGGCCTGCCGGAACACTGGCTGTGCTCTTGTTGCATTTCAGCCTGTGTGCTCCCTAAGAGGCCATGTGGTGGTCCCTGGCGGTCCTCGTGGGCCTGTACTACCTCCTGCGCTGGTACCGGGAGAGACAGGTGGTGAGCCACCTCCAGGACAAGTACGTCTTCATCACGGGCTGTGACTCGGGCTTCGGGAACCTGCTGGCCAGGCAGCTGGACCTGCGAGGCTTGAGGGTGCTGGCTGCATGTCTGACGGAGAAGGGGGCCCAGCAGCTGAGAAGCCAGACGTCAGACAGGCTGGACACGGTGATCCTGGATGTCACCAAGACAGAGAGCATCTTGGCGGCCACCCAGTGGGTGAAGGAGCATGTGGGGGACAGAGGTATGGCCCATTGTCCTCTTTGTGTCTCTGTATTTCTTCCCTCTGCCCAGGGAAAACCTCTCTTCTGTGAAACTGGTAAGATTCCCAAGAGGTTTTGATTTTCAAAGCCTAAGGCTCTGGAGTTTCCTGAGCAGAAGGCCTGGAGTGCCTGAGTTGGAGACCATGGTTAGACGAGCCCAGCCCGAGTTTAGGACCAATCGTCTGTAGGAGGTATAGGGCTCTCCAGGCTTGTTATGGGGCTGCTGGGGCTGGGCCAGGCTGGACCCAGACTCCTGATCTCAACAGGTGCACATTTTCTTGATGGTTCCTTCACACCTGGCCCTCTGCAGGGCTTTAAGATGGGCCCCACTTGACTTATGAGGACACTGAGGCTCAGGGAGCTGAAGGGACTTTTGGTCAAATACAGGTGAGGGATCCTATTCTATCTCCTCTTTTATGGTGCCTGCCCCTCTCGGGAAAGAGGAAATCATTGGTGTCTTTTTTGTGATTAAAAATGTAAAACACGCTCATTGTAGAAAGCATAGAAGAAGATAAAGATAAAATGACATTTCCCAAAGCCCAGTTTCCAGAGTCAGTCACTCTCTACATTATTATGTAGCCAATGATTGACATTTTCATCAGACAATCTTTTCCAAAATGTAATACTCAGGGCGCCTGGGTTGCTCAGTCGGTTAAGCATCTGACTTTGGCTCAGGTCATGCTCTTGGGGTCCTGGGATCGAACCCTGCATCGGGCTCCCTGCTCAGCGAGGATCTGCTTCTCCCTTTCACTCTACCCTTCCCTCCTGCTCCTGCTCTCTCTCCCTCTCTCTCTCTCAAATAAATGAATAATCTTTAAAAAAAACAAAGACAAAAAACCAAAACGTAATATTCAATGTCTGTATATCCAAGCATGTGGAGAGGCCACCACTCATTTAAGCTCTCCCATATTGCGGTCTGCTGACATGTTTTCCACTTTTGCTGGCAGAAATAACATCTCAGTAAAGGTTTCTGTAATAAAGCTTTGTTTCCATTCTCAGTCAAGTTAAGTAAAATAAAATAATTGGATCAGAGAGCATGCATTTCATTTATTTATTCATTCATTCATTCATTCATTCATTCATGAGAGACCCACAGAGAGAGGCAGAGACAGGCAGAGGGAGGGAGAAGCAGGCTCCCTGTGGGGAGCCCGATGCGGGACTCAATCCCAGGACCCCAGGATCACGCCCTGAGCCAAAGGCGGACGCTCAACCACTGAGCCTCCCAGGTGCCCCTAGATCCTACATTTCTTTAAGGCCAGGGAAGGTTTCTGAAGGGGGGGACAAGTATCACAAGAGGCCGTCTTCTTTTTCCAGTATTCCCAGGGCCAAACCCTGTGTACCCTACCCCCCCCCCACCAGCCCCTTGTCACTGAGGACCTGGCACCTGCCGACCTGAGGTCTGTGGGTCTGTACCTCTGACTATTTCAAATCTCTTATGGTGACTTTTCTCCTCATCTCTTCTGGAGGGGTTTCCTGAAAGCTGAGTGGGCTGGGGACCTAGGGGGGATAGGGTAAGAGTCACCTTTTGGTAGGGTGACACTTCCTGGAGCTAAGGTGCCATCTACACTAGTGTGTGGCATGAGGCCTGGTCACCTCCACCCTGGACGAGCCTGGGTGGTCACTGCAGGGTGAGCTTTGGAATTCCCCAGCATGAAGGCTGGACTCGGCTTCCAGAGCAGATCCTGCCTTGCAGTTGCGGCAGGTTGTTCAAAGCTTGTCCGTGGTGGCCAATGCAGGCCTGTTCTCTGTATTACCTGCTGCTGGGATTCCACAGCTGTCTTTCCCAAGAGTACGGGAAGGCATTTTTCATGTTTTTTCTTTATTTTTAAGTTGTCTTTCTCCTTTTTCTTCTCCAGTCCCCCCTTCATTTCTGTCACTTACCCACTCCTGTCTACCTCTCGGTGTCTCTTTCCCCGAGTGCCGTGAACACCACACTATCCTCCGGAACTCTGGGCATGCCCTTAACAAATATGGGTTTGTTACCTACTGCGTTCCAGGCACTGAGGAGCAGTGAGCAGGATGAGAAGGAGCATTCCTGGTCCAGCAGCTCCGTGCGCCTGCACAGCCGGACGCTCTGTAGCCGCCTCATCCTTAGTTGTCTCCTGTGCTCTTTTCCTTTATACCATGTAGATGTTGTTGTTGATTCTGTAACAAAGTGCATTGGAAGGTGACTTGGGACTGCAGCTGTGTCCCGCTCAGGCGCACAGACCATGTTGCTCTCTCCCTACCCTGTGCCCAGGGCTCTGGGGCCTGGTGAATAATGCTGGCATCTCTTGGCCCACGGCACCCAATGAATGGCTGACCAAGGATGACTTCATGAAGATACTTGACGTGAACCTGTTGGGGTTGGTGGAGGTGACCCTGAGCCTGCTGTCCCTGGTGAGGAAGGCGAGGGGCCGTGTGGTCAACGTCTCCAGCATCATGGGCCGACTGTCTCTCTGCGGTGGGGGCTACTGCATCTCCAAATATGGTGTCGAGGCCTTCTCGGACTCCCTCAGGTAATGAACTGGGACAGAGGCCTTCCCTCCGTCCTCCTGCTTCCGTGCTTCTGGGGCAGATTTTCCAGGGGGTTCATTTTCTACAGCCTCAGAGGCTCTTCCTTCCAGGCGCTTCTCTCTTGCTTTGTGCCAGACATTCACTGGGAAGCATCTTCCTCTGTCCTGGGTGTTGGAACAAGCCGCGGGGCTATGGAACTGGTTTCACCCATCACTGCCCTGGGGGAGGGCCCACAGCAAGGAAGCGACTGAGGCAGAACTGGACCTGAGATCAATTGGCTACAGAGCTCATGCCCATAATTCCTATAATATTCGGTGTCGGGGGCCCTTGGTGTGGGGGTCCAGCATTTGACTCAGTTCAATAGTTACTTCTCAGCACTTCTATGAACATGCAACATACGTGTCTGAGGACAGCAAGACTAGGCCCTGACCTAAAAGTTCTGACAGCTGAGGGGCCCCTGGGGTGCTCAGTTGGTTAAGCATCTACACGCAGCTCACTCAGGTCATGATCTCAGGGGTCCTGGGATCAAGCCCCGCACCAAACTCTCTTCTGCTCAGTGAGGAGCCTGCTTCTCCCTCTCCCTCTATCCCTTCCCCTTCGTGTGCTGTCTCTCTCTCAAATAAATAGATAAAATCTTAAAAAAACAAAAACAAAAACAAAAAAAAGTCTGACAGCTGAGAGAGTTGAGAGACTCAAATGTCATGACCATCTCTTGCGGTTGTGACCAAGTCAACTAGCCACGGTGGTGGTGGTCCTCCAGGCTATCAGACAAGACCCGGCCAGGCAGGTGGGCATGGGTGGGCCCTTGGCGGGGGTGGGGGGGAAGGCCGCACCCCTTCATGCCATTGGCAGCAGGACCCTGTGGGGAGCGACCCTGTCCAGTCAGCCTCTGGAGCACCAACTGGCTGGAGGGCAGAGGTTGGCTCTGGGTCCGAGGGAGCCAAGAGGTAGGCAGTTCTCTATTCCTTAGAGAACGGAAGGCAGAAGAGGAAGGGAGGAGTCCGAGGGGTGTGCTGGAGGTGACATGGGCCACGTGTGGAGCCCCCTGGATGCAAGGGAGACGGGAGGAGAGGGCAGGAGAGCGGTGCCCGCAGCAGCCTGGGCAGCCCGGGAGCTCCTCAGCGCGAGGCCGACGGTACTGGAAACGGGGCCCCTTGTCCACAGACTGGCCGCATCGCTCTCCCCACCCTGCCCCACTGGCCGCTGCTCGTGGAACTTTCCAAACTCTGAGTTTATCCCACCCCAACCCCGAGGTAGGTTTTATAGCAGGTTTGTTCGTTGTGTTTGTCCGCGAGGCCCCTGAAGCCCTGGCCCCTCTGCCTGTCTGCTTGCAGGAGGGAGCTCACCTACTTCGGGGTGAGGGTAGCTGTGATCGAGCCTGGTTACTTCAGCACTAACGTGACCAACCCTGAGAAGATTTCCAGGGGCTTCCAGGAGACATGGGACCGGCTGAGCCCGGAGGTCAGGGAGGCCTATGGGGAGGAGTTCCTGGCCTCTGGTGAGTGAGCTGCGGCACTGGGGAGAGGAGAGCAAACCGGGCCCATCACTAGCGCCTCCTACAGACTCGGGACCCCCCTCCAGGCCGCGAGTCACCTACACAGTGGGGCCATCCTGTGGTCCCGTGTGGTCAGCTGGTGACCTCAGGGCAGATCCAGGCTTGCTAGACCTGGAGACGGCGCTTTCCCCTAATGCCCTCGTCATTTAAGGGAGGAAAGTGAAGCCAGAGCGGGGGAGACACGCACGGACCCCTGGCAAGCTGGCGGTAGAAGAGCTGGTTTTCGGGGGCTGAGATTTCTGGGGCGTGTGGCCACCTCAGTGTCTGCAGAGCACGTCTGCGCAGGGGTAGGGCCCAGGGGCCGAGCGCCGGAGTGTTCCCTGGTGGGAGGCGGGACGCCCTCAGATGGAATCCATGGATTGGGAGATGACCCGGGAGAGGTGGGGAGGTGGGGTACTTTTAGAGACTTTTCTCTGAAGTTGATCCCAAAGCAAGAAGATTGGAACGTGAGAATATGTCCTTCCGTTTGGGCAGCCAGGAAGCCAATTGAAAAACTGAAGTCAATGTGTGACACCAATCTATACTTGGTGACGAACTGCATGGAACATGCCCTGACAGCCTGCCACCCCCGTACCCGATACTCACCTGGCTGGGATGCTAAGCTCCTCTACCTCCCCATGAGCTACCTGCCCACCTTGCTGGTGGACACCATGATCTACTGGAACTCTCCACGCCCGGCCAAGGCTGTGTAACCCAAGAAGGACTAGGGTGCGTGGTAGGAGGGAGTTGGGTACCGTGTGAGGATGGGAACACCTCAGGGGGAGAGAGGTAGAGGGTGAGAGGGGATCTCCTGTCACCAAGCACGCCCATCTCACCTCCCTTCCCACCTTCCCACCTCCTCCCCAGGCTTCCCGGGGACATTACTCAGGACTCTGGGATATCAGGAGGAAAGAACTGTTTTGTGGCTGAGGAACAGGGATGGATGTGTGAATGATGACCACCAGTCTGACCCATTAGCCTGAGAGGCCAACTCACAGACCTTGGCTGAAAGGACGTGTCTATAATTGGGATCAGGACAGAGGACACAGAAACCAGTTATTGAGTTGTCTTGACACTTTGATGTTCATTGATTGTGTTTGCCTCAAAATAAAAGTTGAAAAGTTGACCTAAGTCCAGTGATTGGAACCGTGGCCTTGGGGAGCAGCGGGTGCAGGTCCATGAGAGGAGGAGTCAGGTGCCTTCATAGTGATGGCCCTGCGGGGGATCCCAAGGAGGGAGTTTTAGATCACCCCCTTCCTTCCACAGAAGTGGGGGACTAATGTTTCCTTTCCAGGATTTATCAAGTAATGTGGGGTCACAGGAAACCCAAGGATGGACAGACAAGGAGAAGTTGCTGAGGCTCTGGCAGGCCCCGGGCCCAGGGACATCAAGCCTCTCCCCTCAGCAGCACCCTCTCTGCGCCCCTCTGTTTGTCCCATCCTTTAGAGATATGCCCCCAACTGTGGCCATCCTCAAGTTTCCCAGCCCAGATCCCACTTCCCACATCCTCCGGGGGGTGGGGGCAGTAAGAGTCACTTCTGGACCCATCTTTTGTTTTCTGCTAAGCTTTGTTGAGCACCTGCTCAGGCAGGAGTTCCCTTCAGCCCCCAGCACTTCCTGAGCCCGTGGCTCTCTGCGTCTCCACTATTCTGACGACGTCCTAAGTATGGACCAAACAGAGAAAGCATTTGCAGAGCGTGACATAAGTCCCTGAGCTGAGGACAAACTGGAGCTGGGAGCTGCCTCGGCAGGTGTCTTAGTTTTCTTCCCTCAGGTTCAAACCCAGGCTGTGGAGCCTTTAGGGGGATCTGATCCCGGAGAATGACATCAGTGTTCTTGGTGAAAACAGAAGCGAGGTCAGATGTCACCGTGTCATTCATTGTCACCCTGTGGGAGTTGCTGGAAATGGCCCAGAGGAGCAGAAGGCCCCTCTCTCCTGAAAGATACAGTGCACAGAGGTGTGCACGGTGGAATGCAACACCAGCCTGATCTGGTGGCCTCAGGTGCCCACTTAGCAGGGAGACTTGTCATCTGAGACAAGGGGGCATTTCTAGCCTTAGGAAAAGAGCCCCTCCGCGTGGTTCTGCGGCCCTCCCATCACCCACTGCATGACCTACTCTTTGTAAATATGGGGAGATTGAACCTAGGAGAGCACTGCCTTGACCATCAGGCACAGAGAAGCCCATGAAATGGTGACTCGGGCCTGGTCCTGTGTTGGGGTAGTTCTAAGTCATCTTTTTCTAAATCCTGAGACAACCCCTGGATGTCGCCTGTCTTCTCAAGGACAGGGATATTCCTGGGACTGCTCAGCCCTTGAGGACATTGTCTTACTTCCCTTAGCCAAGATTTCCCTGTTCACTTAACCAGGAGGTAGAGTTAGGACATGCCTCCCAGATTGAGCATAGGTGCTGTGCCTTGGGCTGGGTGTGCCGGAAGTAAGGTTTGCCTCCACCACTTCCCATCTCTGTCTCATACAGGGTTTGGATCTGCATCCCAGGGGTGTGCCCACCATCTGACCTCTCACTCCTACCACCCTTGTTATAGAATGGCCAAGCTCTCTGGCCTTTCCTGCGACACCTGTTGTTTTTTATTCTGGAGCTTACCAACCTTGGTAGGTAGTGAAGCATGAAGATGCATCCTTGCCTCTTCACCTTGGGAAATTCGTGGCCCCATTTCTGTCAGACTGTTTGGACAGGGAAGGTGTGGGTGGCTGGCCCCCAGTCCCCTGGGATACCTTGGTGGCCAGGCTCATCTTGGGGAATGGTGTCTCTAGAGGTTTATTCCAAGAGCCACCATAGACCTCAACATCCTTGTGTCCCTGCATCTTAGGCTCCTAGATGTGGCTTCTCTGTCTCATCTCCTTACTTCTTTTTCTTTACCAGCTTCCCTCCTAACTGCTGTGAGTTCTTTGCCCTGCTTCCTGGAAACTCTCCCTCCGCTCCAAGTCCTGATACTGAGAATTTTCCAAATCTCTGATTCTAGTCTTCTGTTTTTCCTAATGTCATCCCTTCTCAGAGCCAAGATTTGGCCCCAGGCCCTTCCTACAGCTGCCCAGGGAACTCACGGCCTGTCCCCATCATTGGGCCAGACCTCATCTCAGTGATGTTTATATCATAACTCTCTCTCCTCCTGCCTTCCTTCCCTGTGCCCAAAATATCTCCACCCACAACTTCTCTTGCTACTTGTGGTTCTACCTGTTATCAGCCCCAGACGTTAGAACCCCTGGACTCCTGGTCTCCCCTATCTCTATACATCCAATTAGCCACGGTGCCAGTTGGCTTCATAGTCCCTTCCTTCCCCTGTTACGCACCCCCTCCAGGCTTCTCAGCTCACCAGATCACCTAGTATGTGCCTTGTCCCAGAGGTCAAAGGGAATGCCCACTGCGGGGCAGGGGTGGGGGGGCTGCTGGTGGTGCTGATGTGTCTTCTGTCCTTAACTTTGTCCATTTGCTTGGTCACTGGGTGAGGAGAGCTGGCTCTGCCTGGAGAGCAGCAGGGGTTCCTTGTTGGTGACCTGAGTATCACCTCCCAAGGACCCAGGCCTGGAGCCCTTCCTCTCTCCATCTTTCCAGTTTTCAGAAACAGCCTCCTTTTTTCTTTTTTCTTTTTAAGATTTTATTTATTTATTCATGAGAGACACACACACACAGAGAGGCAGAGACACAGGCAGAGGGAGAAGCAGTCTCCATGCAGGGAGCCCGACGTGGGACTCGATCCCAGGACTCCAGGATCAGGCCCTGGGCTGAAGGCAGCGCTAAACGGCTGAGCCACCCGGGCTGCCCAAGAAACAGCCTCCTTGTAGGAGGGCCCTGCTGCCTCTGGCCTCAGACATTGGAGACACATCCACCCTGGGGGAGCCCCTTTGTTTTTCTTCATTTCATTTTTTTTTAAAGATTTTACTTATTTATTCATAAGACATACAGAGAGAGAGAGAGAGAGGCAGAGACCCAGGCAGAGGGAGAAGCAGGCTCCACGCAGGAAGCCCAGTGTGGGACTCCATCCCGGGACTCCAGGATCACGCCCTGAGCCATCCAGGGATCTTCCCCCCTTTTTTTTCTTAAAGATTTTACGTTTTTCTTCATTTCTTATAATGGACATTCACCCAAGGGCAGAAAATTCTGAACAACTAGTACTCTGAAACTCATTTCTTTTGGGGTTTGGGGGGGGCATGAAACCAATTTTGTTTGTTTTACATTAATGAATTTGTCTTAGTTTTTTTCCCCTGAAAACAAAAATTAAGCTTATTTACATGTCTGCACTCGTGATAAGTGATTTCGAGCCCGAGGCCGGAGGTGGGGATTTCCAGGGAGGCTCTCTGGGCTGAGTCCTCCTTTCTCACCTACCCCACTCAGACCACCCAGATGAGCCACGTCTAGGCATCGACATCACCAGCAGGGTCTTTCCCATCCTGTGCAGCAGGGCTGGGGGGGAGCAGGAGGCAGCCACCAGGACTGTCTGAGGTCACAAAGCTTCAGGTTGGACTTGAATTTCTTGCATCGAGGCTAATTGGCGGGGTGATGCATCCACCTAGAGAAATTATAAAGTGGCTCGCCCAGGAGCCCTGCGTCTGTTGCCAGCGGTGGAGGGAGGAGAGCTTTTCTCAGTGGGACCCAGCAGACCCCCTGGGGTTCAGAGGAGCAGCCTCTCCTGCGGGCTGCTGAGCCCCACCCTCCTTGGCCATCTCCTTCCCCCCATGGCGGCCATCACGGACCTGTCCTTCATGTATCGCTGGCTCAAGAACTGCAATCTGGTGCGCAACCTCCAGGACAAGTACGTCTTCATCACAGGCTGTGACTCGGGCTTCGGGAACCTGCTGGCCCGGCAGCTGGTAAACCGGGGCATGCGGGTGCTGGCGGCTTGCTTCACCGAGGAGGGGGCCCAGAAGCTTCAACGGGACACGTCCTATCGGCTGCAGACCACCCTACTGGATGTCACCAGGACGGAGAGCATACAGGCAGCGACCCAGTGGGTGAGGGACCAAGTAGGCGAGCAAGGTGGGGCAAATCGGCCTCTTTGGCTTTCTGGGGCATCTGACGGTGATCAGGGCCACCGGGTTCAGGTGTGGCGGGAGGGGTGACGTAGAGAAGGGGGCTGGGGCCCTGCTCGGTGGGACTGGAAACCGTTGTGTGGTTTGGTGGGTTCATTCCTGTGATTTCCCAGGGAAGTTTTCTCTGCCAGAGACTCGGAGGGGTTGGGGAGACCAGCATAGAATGCGGAGAGGAAGGTGCGTGCTGTATGCCCAACCCACCAAAGATGGAGGGGCCTCCCTGGGACTTGGGTCTCCTAACCATCAGCTCCTATAGACATGGGAGCACGTTTTGCTGGGATCGGGGTGGGGGAGGGGAAGGGAACATGAGGTTGGACTCCTTGAGTGGGGACATTTGCTCTCCTTGACTGGGTCAGGTTAGAAGGCAGGAGAAAGAGATCTGTCCTCTTCTTCACATCATGGTGGATACTGGGTTGACCTCAGGTTAAGTGCTGACATCGGAGTGACCACTCCTTTTGGGAAAAAAGACTGGGCTGGTTGGGCTGGACCAGACATGCATGCGGACCTGCCCAGGAAGCTTCCTGCACGCAGGGCATGGGCACAGAAGAGGAGGAACAGGGTGGCTATGTTGAGCAACAGCACCCTGAGGCAAACTCTGACCCCTAAGGGGACTCGTCTGGCGGTCCCACCACAGGTGAGGGCCGGAGAGCCCTGGGGCCCAGGAGGGGTCAAACAGTAACTCTCTGCTTTATTTTTCTCCTTAGCATTTACCATGATCCAAGACAATATACTTTAGTCTTTTAAAAAGATTTTATTTATTTATTTGAGAGAGAGAGGGAGGAGAGAGCATGAGCAGAGGGGCAGAGGCCGAGGGAGAAGCAGACTCCCCGCTGAGTAGGGAGCCCAATGTGGGGGCTCGATCCCAGGGTCCTGGGATCATGACCTGAGCCGAAGGCAGACGCTTAACTGACTGAGCCACCCAGAGGCCCCTATAATATGTTTCACTTATTTTTCTTATTTATTGTCTGTTTTCCCCTCCTGGAATAAAGCTTCCAGGGTGGGCCAGGGGTGGGATGGGAGAGGGGCTTTTTGTCCCTTTCTCTTACTATACAACCTTGATACCTAAACAGTGTCTGGCTTCCAGTGAGGTGCTCAATAAATTTTGTTGAATGAACTATTTGACGAATAATTCAATGAGAGTCGGTCTCTTTCTCAGTAGGCCGCCCTGCCCTGTGCCCTACATCCAGCCTTGAGGCACTTATGTTATTGATGACTCATTGGGTGTATTAGGTTCCTGTTCCTGCTGTAGTAAGTTAAAGCAGAAACTGAGTCGCTTAAAACACCACACATTTATGATCTTATACTTATGGAGAAGTCCAAAATGGGTCTCACTGAGCTAAAATCAAGGTGTCAACAGAGCTGTGTTGCTTCTGGAGGCTCAAGTGGAGAATTCATTTCATTGCCTCTCCCAGCTTCTAGAGGTTTCCTGCGTTCCTTAGCTCATGACCCTCATCCTCCATCTTCAAGACCAGCAAGGTAGGGCCAAGTCCTTTTCACGCTGCTATCTCTCTGGTTCTGTCTTCAGCCTGCTTCTTCCACTTAAAAAACCCCTATGGTTATATTGGGCTCACCAGGCTAATCTAGGATAATCTTCCCATTTTAAGGTCAGTTGATTAACAATTTGAATTCCATCTGCTATCTGAATTCCTGTTTCCCATGTAACCCACCGTACTCACAGGTTCTAGGGATTAATATGCGGACATCTTTGGGAGGACATTATTCTTCCTATCTCATTGGGCAACACCCTTGGTCTAAGAAGCACTGGGAAAGGGGGGGGCAGGGTTCCTGGCACACTTTGCTGTTGCCCCTGAGAGTCTCTGGACATGACAGGTTGGCACAGCCTTAAAGCTATTCACACTGCTCTGGTAGTTCTCTCATTGCTCTTCGCAGGAACAAAATGAAGGTAGTCCTGGTTTGCCAACAGGCACAGCTGCCTGCGAGGATGATCATAGGTAGTGGCAAGTGTGTATCCCTTCTTCATGGACAGAGACCTGTTGGGTTTTATACTCTTTGGGTCACAGGAGCCTCATTTCTTCCTCTGTAAGACAAAAGAGCCTCCTCTGGCTGCAAAGGTTCGAGTCTTACCAGCCAGCTGGTTTCCTGGGGTCTCTCTAGTTGGAGGAAAGCAGGAAGCTATGATGGGGGCATGGCTAGTGTGTGGACCCCAGGCCTAGGAAGAGGAGTGGACCAAGAGCAGTGCTACATCTAGACCTGCCGTCGGAAGAGAGTGGAATTGTGCTGGGAGGAGTATCTCCAGGCTGCAGGGGTCAAGGTGGGCTACTGGGATGAGGGAAGGGGACAGGAAAGAGCCAGGGTAGGGAATCTTTGATTGAAAGAGCTGGAAAGTGTCCTCAGGTATCATTTAGGGACTTTTACAACATGTTTTCATCAAACATCCTCCTCCAAGTAAAATTTCACTTGGAAACTCAACATGTAAAACAAATGCAAGTCAAGCCTCCCCTGCATCTCTCTCCCTGAGCAGGTTCTGGGGTTCAGCCTGGAAGGGTCTCAGGATTGCAAACTGCAGGCTGGAAGCATCTGTTCCACTGAGTCTATGAAGGACCTGAGGCCGAGAGACAGGAAGTGACTTGTCCAAGGCTGGAGGTATAACCAAGACTAGAACTTGAGGCCCTGCAGAGTTGAATGACAATACTTAGCATTATTTCTCTCCACTTACACTAACTCGGATCAAATATCTGCAAGAGAGCCCTTATTACAATTTTTCATGATTGTTTTACTTAAATGTGTTATATATTTACTTACGGATATTATTAATGTCCTCTGGTTCGTGAGCTCCTTGAGGGATAAGACCCTATCTTGTTCATTTTATGTCTCTAGCACCTTCCTCTCTGTAACCCACAGAGAATAGATATGTGAACGGATGAATGTGTGAATGGATGAACTGCTTTTGGTAATGCGCAAAATGAAGTTGGTTTCTTACACTTAGGTGACTAGAGAAGGGGAAGCATGAGGGGTGAAAGACTTCGACCATTAATTCATTGGTATGAAAATGGTATCTCTTTTCCCAGAGCTAACGGTTTAGGTGCTATTAGCTAAGGCCTGGACCGTGGCTGGTACAGGGCCCCAGCTAGCACAGTGACAGGCTACGTGAATCAGAAAAAGTGGTCCTTTAGGGAAACTAATTAGTAGTAAAAGGCAGACCTTCCTCTGGGCTGTCATAGCTCCCCACTGCTCACCACCAGCCTGGCCATCTTGTGACCTTACATACCTGCTCAACCATCCTTGGCAGCCCTGAACTGGTGGGTGGTGGACCCCGATGCTTTTCCAGAGATGCTAATGATTTCTATGTGGTTCTCTCTCCCTCCATCACACCCCCAGGCCTCTGGGCCCTGGTGAATAATGCTGGTATAGGCCTGCCCAGTGGACCCAATGAATGGCTGACAAAGGAGGACTTTGTGAAGGTGATCAATGTGAACCTGGTGGGACTGATCGAAGTGACCCTCCATATGCTGCCCATGGTCAAAAAAGCTCGGGGCAGGGTCGTCAACATGTCCAGCTCTGGTGGTCGTGTGGCTCTCATTGGTGGTGGCTACTGCGTCTCTAAGTTTGGCGTCGAGGCCTTCTCTGACAGCATCAGGTGATTGGGCCCCAGTGCCAAACCACTCTGGGTGGGAGTCCTGCGGGTTTCACCCCAGGAAGAGAGGGCTAGGGATGACAGCATGTAGGCAGGGGAGTACTGGAGGGAGGGAGCTAACACAATAGCAGGAAGAGGGCTAGTCCTCAAGGAGTCTTTCCCAAGGACCAAGAGAAGGGATGAGGAGAAGGGGTGGGGTGGTGGGTGCCTGGGTGACTCAGTCAGTTAAGCATCTGCCTTCGGTTCAGGTCATGATCTCAGGGTCCTGGGATCGAGCCCACACTGGGTTCCTTGTTCAGTGAGGAGTCTGCTTCTCCCTCTGCCCACCACCCCCCCACTCATGCGTGTGCTCCTGCTTGTGTGCATGCTCTCTCTCAAAAATAAATAAAATCTTTTTTTTTTTTTTTTTTTTAAAGAGGTGGGGTAGTGATAGGAGACTGTCTTCCTGCCTTTTCTTGAGCTGTCCCAAAGTGAGTAAAACATGTTTGGGCCTATGGGAGTAAGAGGGAGAGTCTCTCAAGCACAGAGGCGTGGGGACAGACATGCCCAGGGAGGACCCTCAGAGGAGGATTCGGGCCTTGCTCAGATCCCCTCATTCCCTTTGCCATGTGAGTGTTGGGTGTGGGGCTGAGTGGGAGAACCCGGCAGGGCTTTGGTCTAGATTCTCTGTTGACTTCTTTCCTGCTGGGTGTTTGCCTAATGCAAATTGCTTAGGAAAGGGCTGAGGCCCTTATTTGCATGAGGGCAGTGCCAGCTTAGCACAGAAGTAGGGTAGCTCTTCTAGGTTCCTGGGGACATGAGCTCCTACACAGGGGTCAGAAGTGACCCTCCCTCATGATCCATTGTCATCTCGGGGCCCCAGACTGAGCCCAACTCTCCTTTCCCAGGCGTGAGCTCCACTACTTTGGGGTGAAAGTGAGCATCATTGAGCCGGGGAACTATCGAACATCCATCCTGGGCAAGGAGGACATGGTGTCCCGCATGCGAAAGCTGTGGGAGCGGCTGCCCCAGGAGACCAAGGATAGCTACGGAGAGGAGTACTTCCGCAACTGTGAGTTCTCCGGGAGGGAGAGGGGTCTCTGAGAGGAACAACTAGATCTTGAGGATCCCTGACTCATTTTCATTTCATAGATAATGGGGATGGAGGCTCAGAGGAGTTAAGGACCCAAGGTCACTCAACTGGTGGCAGGCCTGGGATTTAAGGATAGAGACCAAGGGCCCAACTGCTCAGAGCAGCAGAAAGATAGCCTTTGTGGAAAGAAGAGCATTAGGGGAGGTGCTGCCCAGGGATGGGGCCCACTCCTGGCACCTGGCACACATTATTCTGCAGGCAAACAGGTGGAAATGCACTGACATGAGTACGGAGAGGTTGTTCAGAGCACAGCTGCTTCACTGCAGTGGTTTTCTCCCTAGGAAACAAAAATGGGGTTCATTGGAGTTGGGGGTGAAGGGCATTTTGAATATACCGTCCTGCCCTCATCAAATGCCGACAAGTATTTTGCACAGAGGAGGTGAATTGCCTGCCTTCCTAGACCATCCCCAAAGTTGGGCCAGCTATTGCTCCTTTGCTCTCAATCCCTTATTGGGAAGTCTGACCCTCAGGCGCCATTTCCTCCTACCTGTGGGCACAAGGCTAACAGAACAGCCCCTCACATTTGTTAGAGCCTTACAACAAACCTGCCTGTGCCTTAGGTCCCCGGAGCCCAAGGCGAGCGCACTGTTACTATTTTTTAATAACATTTTTTTTCTTACATGCTTTTGTAGAAAATCTGGGAACGGTAGGATCTACATAGGAGGAAAAAAAAAGAGAGCCTCCCATGATTAGGAATCCCACCAGCCAGACAGTATTTTTACTTATTTTCTTCCAATTTTTGCCATTCACTTATGCACACTTGTTTTCTACTCTGTCCTCCACTGTCTACTCTGCTATTATTCATCTTTATTATTCTCTACAGTGGGTATTATTATCCTCATTTTACAGGTGATGGAGGTTTAAGCTCAAAGTGACGACTAATAAGTGGCAGAACTGGACACAGTTCTCATTGCTTGTAGGAATTCAACACACAATTGTTGGATTCAGGAAGAGAAATAGGATTATTTGGGGGTGTGTACGTGAGGGACAACCTGGAGGGTGTGTTAGGTCCGAGCCCCAAAATGTGGGCTCAGGGGTCAGGAAAGGGAGCTTGGCTAGAATTCAGAAGAAACCGTCTTTCCCGAAGAGTAACAGAGCCTTGACTCTCCTGCCCTCCTGTACCCTCAGATACTGACAAGTTAAAAAACATGATGCAGTCGGCAGAGCCGCGGATCCGCGAGGTCACCAACAGCATGGAACATGCCATCGTTTCCCGGAGCCCCCGGGTCCGCTACAACCCTGGCCTCGATGCCAAACTGCTCTACCTCCCACTGGCGAAGTTGCCCACCCCTGTGACAGATTTCATCCTGAGCCGGTACCTTCCAAGGCCAGCGGACAGTGTCTGAGCTGGGGAAGCCCAGGGGTGGTCCGGGGAGTGTGGAGGAGGGAAGGGGTAGGAGAAGAGTCTGTAGGGCCACAAGAGTGGTATCAGACATTCTGGTGGACACTTTGCTTGGGTGACACCCACTGCTGGAGAATTTATGGATAACTTCTAGCAGAAGACAAGTGCCTCTTCCCACTCGCTGGGCCCCCACAGACACCTGAGGTGGCCTTTCCAGGGGCAAAGACCCCAAGAACATCTGTCACTCATTCAGGATATGGCTTTTTCTGGACCTGGAAATGTCAAGGGGAGGAAAACAAGCCCCTGCTGAATCATGAGCCTCTCTCAGTTACCACCACCGCTGGGAAACACTGCAGGAGAACCTAGCCCGCAGAGCCACTTTCCGCCTGGGTCTCTAACTACGCATTCACCTCATTCCCACAACCCATTATTTGAAGTATGTAGTAGGGCAGACAGGGAGTGCAAGATTGTATCAGGTAAAAGTTTATATTTTCTTTCTATATACATTTCTCTGTTCACAGGTGATTGGGATTCACATAAAATAACATTTATTTATTTAATCGCCATTGATTAATTTTTCAAATATTTATTGTCTACAACATTCCAGGCACTGTGTAAGTCCTGGAAGGATCTAAAGATGATTAAATCATGGTCTTGGTTTTTTTTATTGTTTATTTTGTGGTTTTGTTTTTTTAGCACAATATCTAGCAGCAGAGATAGGACAAATAGTGATAGAAGAAACAGAAATCAGAAAATCACATTTTTAGAGCTATGAGGAACCCAGAGGCCATCTGATCCAGTAGTTCCCACTGTACCTCATAATCACCTAGTTCATTAAAAATACAGATTCCTGGCCTCAGTGTTAAAATATCTGATTCAGTAGCTTGAGATGGGACCCAGGAATCTGTGTTCGTAACAAGGTGACAATTCCGATGTCTGTGGCCGCCTGGGAACCACTGACAGCTCCATAGCAGTACTGAGCGCTCAGAGGAGGAAGTGATCTGACCAAGGCTTCTCAGAGTGGTGGCCAACACAAAACTCAGGGGTTCAGATTCCCAAAGCGGAGTTAATACATTTTTGACATTAGCAACATTGTCAAATAAGTCATGAAACTGTATTAAAACACCTTAAACTTCTAAGTCATGTGAAATTCTATTGAAAAGACTTTTTTGGACTCCTAGATGGTTCAGTCAGCTAAATGTCTGCCTTCAGCTCAGGTCATGATCTCAGGGTCCTGGGATCCAGCCCTGCATCGGGCTCCTGTTCAGCAGGAAGTCTGCTTCTCCCTCTCCCTCTGGCACCCCCTGCCTCCCCCCATGCTCTCTATCATTTTCTTTCAAATATAAATAAATAAATAAATAAATAAATAAATAAATAAATAAATACAATCTTTTAAAAAAGAAAATACTTTTTTGGTCTTGAGGAGTGGTTATGTAATAAAGGTCAAATGTGAATTTTTTAAATTAAAATGTCCTCAATTTGTGTCTCTTCAATATCCAATTGAACTTGAAAATAGCAAAATGAACCCTTAATTACCTCTGCAAAGACCCCTTTTCCAAATAAAATAACATTCACAGGGGCAGCCCCGGTGGTCCAGCGGTTTAGTGCCGCCTGCAGCCCATGGTGTGATCCTGGAGACCTGGGATCGATTCCCACATTGGGCTCCCTGCATGGAGCCTGCTTCTCACTCTGCCTGTGTCTCTGCCTCTCTCTCTCTCGCTCTGTATCTCTCATGAGTAAATAAAATAAAATTTAAAAAATAAATAAAATAAAATATATTATTAAAAAAAGATAACATTCACAGATTCCAGGAATTAGGATGTGCACATATCTTTGGAGGGGGCCACTGTACAACCCCCTCAGTCTGTTATTTGCAGCACTTTTATTCCTGACACCAAATTGTGTATCAGGTAGGATGCATTGAATAGCAAGTGACAGAAAAGCCAACTCACATTGGCTTTAACAACAAAGAAAGATGACAGGATTCAGTGGCTGAATGATGGCATCGAGGATGCAGGTTCATTCTACTTTGCTCTGCCATCCATGGTTTTGGCTTTAACCCACTTATCTTTATTGTTGTGCTACGATTGCCAGTGGCACTGGGAACTCTGCGCTTCTTCATTCACAACTTAACGGAGAAGAAAGAGCCTGCCTTTCCATGGCATTAAAGATTAAGGAAGTCTATTTCCCAGAGCCCTCAACAAGGCTCTCCTTGAATCTCATTGACCCAAGTTGACTTAGGTTTGTCCATCCCTGAACCAAGCATTGACAAGGAGGTAAATTGCCATAGTTTAGATTAATTGGGACATGTTGGGGAGTCAGTCACTGCCCAGGAAATTTCAAAACTTAGACTCTGCTATTAAGAAGGTTAAATCTAGGGGATCCCTGGGTGGCTCAGCAGTTTGGCACCTGCCTTTGGCCCAGGGCATGATCCTGGAGTCCCGGGATTGAGTCCCACATGGGGCTTCCAGCATGGAGCCTGCTTCTCCCTCTGCCTGGGTCTCTGCCTCTCTCTCTATGTCTATCATAAATAAAGAAATAAATAAATCTTTTTTTTAAAAAAAGGTTGAATCTAGGTCAAAACCAAATTTTCTTTCTTTTTTTTTTTTTAAAGATTTTCTTTATTTATTCATGACAGACATAGAGAGAGAGGCAGAGACATAGGCAGAGGGAGAAGCAGGCTCCATGCAGAGAGCCTGATATGGGACTTAATCCAGGACCCCAGGATAATGCCCTGAGCCGAAGACAGATGCCCAACCGCTGAGCCACCTAGGCGTCCCTCAAATTTTCTTTCTTAAAGACACAAAATATACTAAGGGTAGACCATGACTAGGTGATATTTTGAGACATTAATTTACACATGATCATTGCTCCCTGTCTTCCGTTTCCCCTTTCCCTACTCAAGTGGGGAGATAATTTGATACTTCTTTACCTAAGGGTGAGATACTTGAAATACATTTCCTGCACTTTCTCGAGCTTTAGTTTCTTTCTCTAACCTTAATATTTTTAGAGAAATTATTGGATTTAGGGAAAGAAACAAAAGGGACTGTGACTTGTGGGTGTACACAGTGTCTCAGAGAAGCAGGGCCTTTTCCCTAAGAAGTAGATTCACTCTGGCTGATAAGAGAGTGAGGTTCGGTCCAAAGCAGGAAGTACCATTCACTTTGTGGAAGCGCCTTGGGGAGGTGGCAAGACTCAATAAGAGTGACAGCTGCATTGTGTGCTTAGGCAGATGAGACCCTGGATGACTTCATATAAGACTGTGTCTCACTTCCTCCCACAGCAGGAAGGCAGTAGAGATTCACCAGATATAAAGAGCATGTAGCCCGGGATGGCAGACATTTAAGAGGATACCCATGCAGATAGAAGACTTTTTTTGCTCTAGGGGTTGTCTCCCCGACTCTATCATTAACAGTTAAGGTGTTTGCTTGCTTTTTTTAAATTTGTGGACTGAGATTCAGATCTGCTCCAATATTACATTTTAGTTTCTTTCATGTTACAATTATAACTTTTCTTGTATAGCTTTTGTATTTTACTGAAGTTTTAAATTGCCTTTTCTTAGGCAATTCTGTCTTCAATTTGAAGGCAGAGTGAATCTCCTTTTCTTGTTTACTTATTCAGCCTCTTAATCAAATTAGCTCTACACATTTTTGTTTTGCTTTGTTTTGATTTTAAGCAGGGAAGTAATGTGATCTAAGTTTTGAAAAGGGGCTCTGTGGAGACTGAAATGAGGGGGCAATGGTGGAAGCAAGGGAACAATTACATAATCCAAGCAAGAAATAATGGTAGTGTAGGTCAGAGAGGTGGTAGTAAGGATGATAAGAATGGATGGAATCAGTATATAATTTGGAGGCAGAACCATTGAAGGATTTTAATGAGTTACTCTGTCAAAAAGAATTTATTATGCTTCTACTATGTGCCAGGTGTAGTTCTAGATGTTGGGGGTAGGGTGGTAGAGGAGACTGAGTCCTTGCCTCCAAGCAATTTATATTCTGATGGGGTGGAGCTATAGGGAAATAGACAAATAAAAAGATGAATGAAAATTTTATAAGCTGATAAATGCCATTAAGAAGAGAAAATTTAGTAATGTAATAGTTGACCAGGGAGGTTGTTTACCTTTTTTTTTAAGCCAATGTTATTGAGATAAAATAGATATTAAACAAAATGAATGTTTTTTAACTATGAAGTTGGGGACACCTGGGTGGCTCAGTGGTTGAATGCCTGCCTTTGACTCAGGTCATGATCCTGGGATCCTGGGATCGAGTCCCGCCTCAGGCTCCCCATGGGGAGCCAGCTTCTCCCTCTGCCTATGTCTCTGCCTCTTTCTCTGTGTCTCTCATGAATAAAGAAATAAAATCTAAAAAAAAAGCCCTCATAAAGTTTGATGAGTTTTGACTTATACCTGTGCAACCACCATCCACCATCAGTCCAGATATAGAACATTTCTCTCATCCCCGAATCTCCCTGGTGCCTTGTTTATTTTCCTTACTTTCTGCCAGGGTTCCAGACAAATGCTGATGTGCCTGGTGTCCCTATAGATTTGCTTTAAAGCTACTTTCTTTTTTTCAATTCTTTAAAAAATTTTTTTTAATTTAAATTCAATTTAGTTAACGTATATTAGTTAAACAATTTAGTTAACATACTATTAGTTTTGGGGGTAGAATTTAGTGATTCATCAGTTGCATATAATACCCCGTGCTCATTACATCAAGTGCCCTCCTTAATGCCCATCTCTCAATTACCCCATCTCCCATCCACCTCCCCTTCCCTAAATTTATTTCCTATAGTTAAGAGTTTTTTATGGTTTACCTCACTCTCTACTTTTATCTTATTTTATTTTTTCTACTCTTCTCCTATGTTCATCTATTTTATTAAATTCCACTTATGAAGGGTCCCTGGGTGGCTTAGTGGTTGAGCGCCTGCCTTCGGCTCAGGTCATAATCCCAGGGTCCCAGGATCGAGTCCTACATCAGCCTCCCCACAGGAAGCCTGCTTCTCCCCCTGCCTGTGTCTCTGCCTCTCTCTGTGTCTTTCATGAATAAATAAATAAAATCTTTTTTAAAAAATTCCATGTATGCATGAAATTATATGGTATTTGTCTTTCTCTGACTGACTTATTCTGCTTAGCATAATACCCTCTACTTCTAGCCACGTTGTTGCAAATGGTAAGATTTCTTTTTTTATTTAAAATTTTATTTATTTGAGAGTGAGAGAGATCATGAGCAGGGAGAGGGGCAGAGGGGGCAGCAGACTCCCCACTGAGCAAGGAGCCCAATGCAGGGCTCCATCCCAGGACCCTGGGATCATGACCTGGGCCAAAGGCAGAAGCTTAACCAACTGAGCTGCCAGGTGCCCTGCAGACGGCAAGATTTTATTCTTTTTGATGGCTGAGTAATAATCCATTGTATATATACAACACATCTTCTTTATCCATTCATCTGGCGATGGACATCTAGGCTCTTTCCATATTTTGGCTATTTGAACATTTCTGCTGTAAACATTGGGGGGGTGTGCCCCTTTGAATTCTTGGTATAAATACCTAGTAGTACAATTGCCGGGTTGTGGGGTAGCTCAATTCTTAGCTTTGTGAAGAACCTCCATACTGTTTTCCACAGGGGCCGCACCAGTTTGCAGTCCCATTGACAGTGTAAGAGGGTTCCCCTTGAGGCTACTTATTTTTAGAGAAGATCACTTTTGCTGCCATTGGGGGAATTAATTGGAATGAACCTAGTTGGAGGGACATGAGAGGAGCAAGACTAGAGACGATGAGAGAAGTATACCAATAAAATAATAGAAATAATTAGCATTTATTGGACATTACTCAGTCCCAAGCATGGAGTGTTTTAAGTGTTTAGTGTTTTAATTTTAATTTAATCTCTATGACAAGCCCTGTGAGGTTACCCCTATTTTATAGAGGAGCAAACAAGGGTTCGGAGAAGTTAAGTCATTTGCACAAGATTACACAGCTAGTAAGTAGCAGTCGGGATTCCAGCCCACACACAATGCAATAGCACCATTTACGTAGTACTTACTACATGCCGGGCACTGTGCTAAGCACCTTAATATTCACCTTCATAGGTATTATTCCAGTTTTAATGAGGAGGAAACTAGAGGCCAGAGTGAATAAGTACATACCCTATAAGCAACTGGCAGAGCAGGTCCTTCTAGTTTTAAAATCCTATTCCTTGATGTGTCGTTGTTTATTTCAGCCCAGGGAGCGTCCCTGTACGCACACACCTGCTGCAGGGTTTTCTGGCCAGCAGCTGCGGTGTGGCTCGCTTCTGCTCCCTTGAACCTTCTGAAACCTCCCCTAACCAGCCTTGCTTGGGCCTCTCTTCCAGCTCTTTCTCTGCGAAGGCAGAGAAGCTTCTGTCATCTGCAGGCCTCCCCTTCCATAGGACGGCCCTGCCCTTCCCCTGAGGCCCAGCAGGCTTTCCAGTGAACCCCACAGGGGAGGTGGGAAAAGAGAGAGCGATCCGGAGTCTCGGGGGCTGGCTGGTCACTGAAGTACTGCCCGGCCAGACCATTTAAAACATCCTTGAACAACAAAAGTATAAATACCGCGTCTGGACCAGAACAAACGATACAGAGAATTTTAATGCCAAACTTGGAACAACAAACAAAATGTTTCTTTGGGAATTTCTGACAGAGGAGCACGCCGTATAAGGATTTTTAAAATTGTGTGGTTTTTTTTTTAATTGTTTGTGTTTTTTTTTAGTAGTCGGGGCAAGTTTCAACCAGGATATGAAAATGAACTGGAAGCAAACAACCTCAAAGGCAGAAATGAGATTCTCCTTGGAAATCTTGCATAATCCACTGTCTTGTGTAATTTCAAGAGGGCTTCGAAATAAGGAGAAAATAAATGCCAACTCTCCTAAGCTTGCCAGGAAAGGAAAGGTCTGAATTTCTCCTTCTACTGAAGAAGGAGGAGCACCCTCCCCACCCCCGTGAGGCTCCACCACCTTCCCCACCAGTACCAGGAGAGGCACCTGATGGGTGGGCCACCTCCAAGACAACAATGACTTAATTGTGATGTGTGATGCGGGCTTCGGGAAACTGCTGGCCAGGCAGCGGGACCTGTGAGGCTTGAGGGCTCTGTTTGCGTGTCAGAAGGAGAAGGTCCAGCAGCTGAGAGGCCAAACATCAGAGAGGCTCGAGTCTGTGGTCCTGGACGTCACCAAGACAGAGAGCATCACTGGAGCACCCAGTGGGTGAAGGAGTATATGAGGACAGAGGTATGACATAAGATAAATTTCTCTTAATCTAGGTGTCCTCTTATTCCAGGTACTGATCCCATGAGAGGATGACAGCAGCCTACTAAATAAGAGAGAGATACTATTAAATTATAAAATTTACCCTTAATTGTCTACTTTGACAGCAAGGAACAATGATCTGGATCCAAAATATGTAGCCATGGCCATATAAACATGCTTAATTAGGTAAAAATTATTTAATAGTAAGTCATCTTTGTATAGCACTTCATAATTTTACAAAATTCTTTTTTTTAATATTTTATTTATTCATGAGAGACACAGAGAGAGAGGCAGAGACATAGGCAGAGGGAGAAGCAGGCTCCCTGTGGAGCCCGATGTGGGACTCGATCCCAGGACCCCTGAGCCAAAGGCAGACGCTCAATCACTGAGCCACCCGGTGCCCCTCATTTGAACATTTTTGAATGGGTCTTGCTTGTCCACATACAAGGTCTTTGCCCACAGGTCTTGCACATGCTGGTGCAATGGAACCGATGAGAGTTGGAGTCTGGTTACCTGCAAAACATCCTGGCTCCAGTCTGTGCAACCTCAGGTAAGTCATCTAACCCCTCAATGATCCAATGTCTTCTTCAGTAAAGTAGGAATAATAACACCTCCCCAAAGGGCTATGGTAAAGCATCCATGAGGTGATATACATGAAAACCTTTGAAAAGGAGAGATGAAGTCAGATAAAGGAGCTGGCAAGTTGAGTCACAGGCCAAGCTAGAGAATGAGTACTCTGTCTTCTGGGCAATGGGGAGCCGTAGCAGTTTCTGGAAGAAGGTGGTTCTTTTCCTGGTCTTTCCCAAATTTCATTTGTCCATTCTGAATCCACCTAATTTCTTGGACTTTGGACCTCTGTCTACTGGCAGTATCCCGCAGAGTCTCACTGTGAACTAGAAAAACAAGGAAACCATTGACAAGTAGCTGCAATAGTAAGCGCCTGGAAAACAAGGAGGGGGGACAAGACAGAGGAGGACCTAGGGTGCCTCTTTATAGGGGCTCAGACCTGGAAGCAGGAGCCTTCCCCTCCCATGGCAGAGCGGCTTCCGTAGGTCCTGGGACTTCTCACATTGGCTTCTGTTCTTTACATGAAGAAAGAGAAGTTTGGGGACGCCTGGATGGCTCAGTGGTCGGGTGTCTGCCTTCAACTCAGGGCGTGATCCGGGGTCCCGGGATCGAGTCCCACATGGGGCTCCCTGCATGGAGCCTGCCTCTCCCTCTGCCTGTGTCTCTGCCTCTCTCTTTGTGTCTCTCATGAATAAATAAATAAAATTTTAAAAAGAAAGAAAAAGAAATTTGCCAATCATAACCATCCTGCCCAGGTATATACTGGTCTCCTTGTTGCTCAGCAGAAAAATGCTCCAGATATTAAGGCTGGATAAAAATCTCTCTCTCTCTCTTTCTCTCTCTCTTCCCCTTCCCTTGTCCCTCCTTCTCATTCTTTACTTCTGAATGGTTAATGGATACATTTGGAAATAACTGCCACACTCTACAGCCTCTGGATTGCATACAACAGATCATATTCTTATTGCAGGATTCAGTTTCAGCTGCATGCCACAGACGCCAAAATTAACAGTGGATTACACAAGACAGATATTTCTTTCTTCCCTTGTGGAAAAACCTGCCATGGTATGTATGGTATCTCCTCTCTATTGATTTGTCAGGGGCTCAGATGTTTTTAGGCTTCCTGCTCTGCTATCCTACAGTCCAAGATGGCTCTAGGCAGTGGAACGGGAAAGGACAGGTCTCTATCCCGTAAGGGTAGAGCACAGATGTTTTGCACATCTTGCTCGTGCTCACATACCTTGGCCAGAACTTAGTCACATTGTCAGAAGCAACAAGGCAGGCTGAAATTGTGGTTCTCATTCTGAGTAGCCAGGCATTCAGCTAATAATCCAATTATCGTGGACCAAGGGGAGAATGTATGTTGTGGGACAGCTGGCAGTCTCTGCCACACAGAAGAAGTCAATTCTCTTGCAGGATCTTCAGCAACAGCTTCTTTCTTTATGTAGTCTTTGGTGTGTGATGGGTTTAATAATTACACTCCTGAATCTATGGGTCAAATGATTGGAATGTCTCTAGGAGACTCCAGGAATTCTTTTCTTAGGTACTCAGCTCTCTCTTACCAGCAGAGAAGTGAGAAGAGTTTGGAGACATTTCTTAGAATCAATTAGCTTTGGTCTTCAGGTTGATTGCTTTGCAGGATAGAGATCCTTACCTTTTGTTTTAAAATAGTTTTGTTGAGGTATAATTGATAAAATTCACTTCTTAAGTTTTATGTAAGTGTACAGTTCCATATTTTTTTACTCAATTTATACTATTTGTACAACCATCACACAATCCAGTAATAGAAAAAATTTTCTTCATACAGAATGTTCTCTTGTGCCTAAAGTTAGTTCCCACTTCCACCGATATACTTTCCATATCTATGCAGACCACCTTTTCTGGAAATCCTGTATAAATGGAATTATACAACATGTAGTCTTTTGTGTCTGGCTTTTTTTACTTAGAATAATGTTTTGGGGCTTATCCATGCTGCTGCATAGCTCAATAGTTCATTCTTTTTTATTGCTGAGTTGTATTCTATAATGCGGACATACCACATTTTATCCATTAACCAGTGGTGGACACTTGGATTGCCTCCAGTTTGGAACTAATGTAAATAATGCTATTGTGAAATTCAAATAGTCTTCATGTGAACACATGCTTTCATTTCACTTAGGAGTGGAACTGCTGTATCGTATGATATGTTTAACTTTTTAAGAAACTGCCAAACTGTTTTCTAAAGACTTTATGTCATTATACATTCCCACCAGCAATGTATGAGAGCTCTGTTTTCTCTACATCCTCACCAACCCTTAGTATTGCCAGTCTTTTAGATTACAGTCATACCAGTATGCATGCAGTGGGATCCCTTTATGTTTTTTTTAAAAGGTTTTATTTATTTATTCATGAGAGAAAGAGAGGCAGAGACAGAGGCAGAGGGAGAAGCAGGCTCCATGTGGGGAGCCCGACGTGCGACTCGATCCCGGGTCTCAGGATCAGGCCCTGGGCTGAAGGCAGCGCTAAACCACTGAGCCCCCCGGGCTGCCCCCCTTTATGGTTTTAATTTACATTTCCCTGATAATTAATGATATTGAGCACACAAAAAGTTATAAATCTTCCTCTAAGCACAGCTTTAGCTGCATCCTATAAATTTTTTTTTGTTTTTTTTCTTTTTGTTTATATTTTCATTCAACTCAAGATCCTTTCTAATTTCCCACGTGATTTTTTCCTTCGACCTAAGGATTACTCATACCTGTCTTGTTTAATTTCCAAACATTTGGAGGGCTTTCAAATTTTTTCTTGCTGTTGAATTCCAATTTAATTTCTCTTGTTGTAGAACAATCTTTGTATGACTTCAATCTTTTAAATTTTACCAAGATTTGGCCTAGTATATTGTTTATTCTAGAAAATGTTTCATGTGTGCTTAAAAAGAAAATGATTCTATTTGTTGAGTATTCTATAGCTACCAGTTAGGTGAAATTGGTTGATAATGTTCAAGTCTCCTTATCTTAACCAATTTTCTGTTTTATCAGCACTCAAGAGAGGAACATCTAAATATCCAACTCTAATTCTTCAGTGGTCTATTTTTCCTTTCAGTTCTGCTCATTTTGTTTCCTATTATATTAGGGTTCAGTTATTCGGTGCATGTGCATTATAAATTTTATAACTTCTAGATGGAATGACATTACAAAATGTCTCTATTTGTCTCTGGTAATATTTGTATTTTTAAAGTCACTTAATATAGCTATTCAAGCTCTCTTACAATTACTATTTGTATATATATCTTTTTTGATATTTTTACTTTCAATCTGTTTATGTTTTGGGATCTAAAATATGTCTCTTACAGGGGCACCTGGGTGGCTCAGTTGGTAGAACATACAACTTTTGATGTCAGGGTTGTGAGCTTAAGCCCCGCATTGGGTATAGAGCTTACTCAAATAAATAAATAAATAAATAAATAAATAAATAAATAAATAAATAACATGTCTTTTATAGACTGCGTATGGTTGGGTCTTGTTTTTGTATACAGTCCCACAATTTCTACTTTTGATTGGAAAGTTCAGTTCACTTACAATAATGTAGTTATTGTCATTGGAATTTCTTTTGAGAGAGAGCATGCGCCATGCGTGCATGAGTGGGGCTGGGAGGGGCAGAGGAGAGGGATTGAATCTTACGCAGACTGCAGTGAGTGCAGAGCTCATCGCAGGGCTCAATCCCGTGACCTGAGCCAAAGTCCCAAGTCAGATGCTTAACCAACTGAGACACCCAGATGCCCCTCAATGTCATTAGATTCTATCTGTCATTTTGCTATTTATTTTCTTAGGTCTTATGTCATTTTTCCTCTTTCCTCATTTATTGTCATTTCATAAGTTAAAAGAGATTCTAGTATACCATTTTTTAAAAAGATTTATTTATTTATTCATGAGAGACACAGATTGAGAGGAGAGACAAAGATATAAGCAGAGGGAGAGGCAGGCTCCATGCAGGGAGCCCGATGCGGGACTCGATCCCGGATCCGGGGATCACAACCTGAGCCAAAGGCAGGCGCCCAACCGCTGAGCTTCCCAGGCATCCCGAGTATACCATTTTAATTCCATTAATTTTAAAGACTTTTAAAAATGCTATTTCCTAAATAATTAGAGCAGTGGTTCTCAACTGTGGGCAATATTCTTCCCCTATTCCTGCTAAAGGATATCCAGAAATATCTGGAGACATTTTTCATTGTCACAGCCTGGCAGGGTATTCAGAGGTCAATCACTTGTCAAATTAGCCTGGGTTTTAGCTTTCAGCTTGGCTCCCACCTTCTCCCCGCCATGTGAGTAGTGCTCCAAGCCAGCTGCCTGTGTATGGAGAGCTTAGTCCAGCCTTTCTGTGACTCTCTTACTTTCAGACCTCACTGCTAAATTTCTGGCTGGTCTGCTGCTTGCCTCAAGTGGGGTCATAAACTGAGGTTAGAAGAGCTATGAGTTTTCCCTGTTCCTGTCCTACCAAGTTTGCTGCTTTGCTGATAATGCTGCGGTGTCTTTCTGTCTTCTACCTGAAATGAAGCCTGCCCCCTCAGGCCGCAAAGATGCTAATTTTCCGGGCAGCTCTGCCAGTCAAGCCTGTTGAGCTCCAGTGGGGAATGGGAGGGAATGGCCCCAGGCAAGGAGGTCACTAATTCCTGCTGATCTCATTTGAAGAGCTAAAGGTTTTTCATGAATAAATGATTCTCAATTTGTTGTTTACCTTTGGTTAATTTGTTTCTGACAGTTTTGTCCAATTTTACACTTGCTTTTGGAGGAAAGGATTTGTTCATCTCTTCATTCCATAGTTGGAAGTTCCCCCACTACTTCGGAGTTAAAGTTTGCATCCTGAAACCTGGCAACTTTAGAGCAGCACCTTCACCTCCAAAAGGGTAAATAGTGTCCTTAGGGAAAATCTGGGTCCTTGTGAGTTAGGGACAAATGGGGGTAGGCAGGGCTAGGTAGGGGCCCATGGAAGTAGGCTCACAAAAATGCCCAAATGCTGAGGTGTAAGGAAACCAGAGATCATGGAACAAGCCAGAGCACCTTGCCCTAAGGTGTGTGTGGGGAAGGTGTCTTATTAGGAGAGTCATCTGTGACCGACAAAGAATAACCAGATCCCAAAGAAGAAGGCCCTAAAGACGTTACCACTAGTCCTTACTCCATGGTGATCTCGGTAGATAATGTTAAAAGGATTTAGGTTCGCTGGTTGGCTTCCAATAAAAGACCAATCATACAAACCCTCAGTGGCAACCTGTTGGGACCCCTTTCACTCCTGAGAGCTTTCTCTGTATCTTTACTTAAACTTCCATCCTTCACTCACTCTCCTGTGTCCGTGAGATTCATTCTTCGACTCCGTGAGACAAGAACCAAGCTCTCTCGTATCATGCGTTTCTCTGGAAAGCACAGAAAACTAAAGGTAGTTCTTTTTTTTTTTTTTAATAAATTTTTATTTCTTTCTAAGTCATTTTGTTTTTTTAAAGGATTTATTTATTTATTTATTTATTTATTTATTTATTTATTTATTTATTTATTTATTTATGAGAGACAGAGAGAGAGAGAGAGAGAGGCAGTGGGAGAAGCAGGCTCATGCAGGGAGCCCGATGTGGGACTTGATCCTGGGACTCCAGGATCATGCCCTGGGCATGAAGCAGGCGCTAAACCGCTGAGCCACCCAGGGATCCCTAGAAGTTCTTTGAAAACTGTAGTCCCTCTTCTACCAACAATCAAGTACATTTTTGGTGATGGGGGAGCAAAGGGAGAGGGAGAGAGAGCGCCTTAAAGGTGGAGCCCAACACAGGGCTTGATCTCACGAGTCTGAGCTGAAATCCAGTTGGAACATTTAAGTGACTGAGCCACCCAGAGGCCCCAGGCAAGTATTTTTGACCTTTGGTTCAAAACAACTGATTCTGAGCCCCAACCAGGGCTCTGATCCAAGTGATGTGATTTTTTTGGAGTAGTGTTGGGGCCCAGAGCCAATGCAAGAAAGAATTCTTGAGACATCTTGGTTGTAAAAAAGTGGTTTTACTGAAGCATGGGGACAGGACCCACGGGCAGGAAGAGCTGCTGTACCCCTCCCCCTCCAAATTGTGAGGAGCAATTGATTAGATTCTTTGGGGTTGGGGGGAGTAATGATAAGGGAAGTTCCAAAAAGATTTTCATATGCTAAAGGAGACCCGGAAGATCCTAGAGGACTTGCTATAGTCAAGCTAAGGTGGTTTTTCCCTCTAAGCAAGACATTCACATTAAGACAGTTGGGAGCTTCCTGGAGGAACCTTTTACTCTGTCTGCCTCAAATATTTGTCAATGGGCTGCAGGTTATAAGGACATTTAATTTTACCTACGTTTCCTTCTGCTTTGTTTCTCACATCACAGGTAGCACAAGCCCCTCAACTGGCTGGTTTAATATCCAAGGAATCTAGCTTCCTAAAGTTTTATATTTTAACTTGTTGGTTTCCCCCATTGACCCATCTTCCCCTTTGTGTGTGTGTGTGTGTGTGTGTGTGCGCGCAGACGCACACACACACACACACACACACACATGATGTAGGAAAAGACGGTAGGGTTCTGATCAGGGAACACAGGGCTAGCTGAGGACAAGGCACAAGCTTGGGGCAGCACATGGACAAGTCCCAAAGGGACATTCCTTTATGGACTCAACTGCCTCAATGTTCGTACTTTGTTAAGAGCAGAAGGCGATTCTAGCCCGACCCCCAGGAGCCTGTAAGTCTACTTTAACATATAAAAATTCCTTTAGAAATTTCCTTTATCTCTAAACCCCCAAGATGCATTCTGGCAATCATCCCCCAAGCACATGGTCCACTGATACACATCGGAAGGGTCTCATGATTCATGTTTTATTAGATGGTAATAAGTGACCTTTCCCCAACAATAGCCAGCTACCTCAGGTCCTGGAAACCTTGCTTCCTAAATTCCTTAGAGAATACACTATCCTCAAACCCCTCCCAACTCCCTGGTCACCCCTCAGCCACCCCTCACAGGCCTGGGACAGCAGCTCTTCCTGCCCCCAGGGTCCTGTCCCCCTTGCTTTAATAAAACCACCATTTTGCACCAAAGAAGTCTCAAGAATTCTTTCTTGGTCATTGGCTCTGGACCTCACCTATATTTCAAAACTTCATCAGGTCTGGTTATTCTTTTTTGGTCATAAGTGATTGTCACAAGATAAAGATCACCCCCCCCACTCCCAACACCTAGGGCGGGGTGGTCTGGTTTATTCCCCTATCTCTGGTTTCCTTACACTACACATCTTGGGAATTCCTGCGAGCCTGATCACACAGCCCCTTACCTATCTCCTCTCCCTACCCAGTCCTGCCTGTTCCTTACTCAATATGCTTGGAGGATGATTCCTAATGAGTATCTTGGGCGGGGGAGTGGGGTGGTGGTGGAATGGAGCCTCCAAAGGAATTTCTGTATGTTTAGAGTAGACTCACAGCATCCTGGAGGGTCAGGCTAAGACCCTCAAAGTGTCAACACCAAGGTGCCCCGATGTAGGCCCTGGATGAGGCTCTGAAGACATTCTCTTCCAAGTGCCAAAAGTCCAGGGCCATACCTTATTCATTCATTCACCTGGTTTGTGTTGAAGCACCTACTGGAGCCCAGTTCTATGCTGGGGGCTGCAGATATGATGGTGAACATGCCACAGTTCCCACCCTCGAGGAACTTTTAGTATCTAGGGAGCAGACAGAAATAAGCATTTATATTAAAGTGTAGGGGGGCAGCCCGGGTGGCTCAGCAGTTTAGCGCTTCCTTCAGCCTAGGGCCTGATCCTGGAGACCCGGGATCGAGTCCCGTGTTGGGCTCCCTCTGTCTGTATCTCTGCCTCTCTCTCTGTGTGTGTCATGAATAAATAAATAAAATCTTTAAAAAAATAAAAAATAAAAAAATAAAGTGTAGGGGTTCCTGGGTGGCTCAGTGGTTGAGCATCTGCCTTTGGCTCAGGGCATGATCCCCAGGTCCTGGGATCGAGTCCCACATTGGGCTCCTCTCAGGGAGCCTGCTTCTCCCTCTGCCTGTGTCTCTGTCTCTCTCTGTGTGTCTCTGGTGAATAAATAAATAAAATCTTCCATAAAAATATATATATATATATTAAAGTGTGATGAGCTCAATGACAGAGATACAGACTGTTAAGGGGAACTCCTATAAGACGGGAACACTTAGTCTAGACCAAGTAGGGGATCAGAGAAGGCTTCTTGGAAGCAGGAATGTCTGAACCAAGTCGAAAGAATGAGTTGAGTTGGGCAGGCAGCTAGTTGACACTGTATTGTTCACAGATGTTCCAACTGAGTCAAGTTTAACTCAACTTCCCACCCACTCATCTTACTTCTAGATCGCCCTCTGCCTCCTTGCTTCACCCTATCTATGTAATTTGCTTTGTGATCTTCCAGGAATGCCAGCTGACTTTCATATTTATTGGAGGCAGATAGATTTAGAAAGATCAGTATGCAGCAGTTAAAACAATCTTTGACCTGATGATTGAGAAACAAAATCCCTATTTCCTGGCAGCATCTGAGTATGTTGTGTAAAACCAGTTGACAGACCATCTAAAGAAGAGATTCATGCCCTTCATGAAGGCTGGACTAGATAGCCCTGAAATTCCAGTTCTGGTCTACTATTGATTAACTGGGTGATGTCAGGCAAGTTTCTTAACATCTCTGGGCTTCCTTGTTTGTTTGTTTGTTTGTTTGTTTCTTTTAGTGTAAAGAGAGGGGTAAGTCCTCAGTTACCATCCTCCTCTAACATGAAGTGAATTTGGTTATTTTGCAAAGCTAACTAGAAATGATCTAGAATGGGTGGTGTCATGAAAAGCAAGTCGAGATCCCTACTCAAAGGAGAAAGCATCTACCTCCAGTGCCAGGGTAAGGTTTAGGAATGGAACTCAAGGGCTGGCAATCTACCCCCAGCAGCTCCCAGGCTTACCCCATACTTTTTTCTCAGAGGTCTCTTTCTTGCATGTTGTTGAAGAAGACTTCCATTGCGTCCCTGTAGATTGTACCTATTCATAAACGTTACTGATTGAAGCAAATCAATCTGTCCATAGGGACAGACAGCAAGAGGCAGATATTGACTGTTTCATATCCCCACACTCACTACTCTATCAAGTTATGGTACACACTCTCTCTCACTAGCTTTCTTGGAAGAACCCCTGTGTCTAACTGGAACTAGGAAAAACCTATAATAAAGTGAGGTAAACCCACTCTATGGTCTCCTAAAGGGGTCCAGATGCTATATGGAAGTTTATGCTAAATGCACTGGTGACCAATATAATGTCAAGTCCTGACAAATCCGACAACAGATATGAATACAAAGATGTTAAGTAAGCTTGAAGATTCAACTCAACATTTCCGGTTTCTAATTTCTAGTTTTAGGATAAATGGCTTTCCTATTGACAGTCCTGCTGGGAGTGAAAAATGGTAGACAACCTTTTCATTCAGCATAAGCTCAGAGTTCTGATATGATCCAGGGAGCAGGGGAGGAGTAGCCCAAGAATGTGAGACATCCATAGCCAATAGCACGTGTTGGGGGTTAGAGGGAATGGACAAGCAATGTCAGGTTGGTTTTCATACCTTTTGGGGAAAATTAAATGTGAATGGCTGAGCTGTTCATAAGTGACAATGATACAAGGAAGTGTTTACCACAGACTCATTCTAGCCTGCCAGTGGTGGTATCTTTTTGTCTCTCCAGTAGAAAAGGATACATTTAAGTTAGTGTCAGGTCACTAGCTCTTTCAAAGTAGGAGTCTCCTACTGCCCTAGGTTTGAAAGCCTTCAGTAAGATAGGAGAAAAAGAAAATAATACTAGCAGCCAACATCTGTTGAGCCCTTTCTATGTGCCAACTGCTGGGGTGAGTATTTACATACATTATCATCTTTGGACTTACGAAGATTTATTTCTTATATTTTGTAGAAGAGGAAACAGACTCAGAGAGGTTGCATGACTTGTTCAGAGTCACACAGACAATAGCCCTGATCTGAGCCAAGTTTGTCTGGATGGCACTCTGCACTTTGATCGTGAGCAAATACAGGGGTCACTGTCCTCTCAGGGCTGGAACACCCCATTGCTCAAGTTGCCACGTCTGCCTTTCCTCAGGGTTCATGACACCTCCCCATTTCAGATCATCATGTCCCACATGTCACCATGAGTACAATGAGGATAATTATATCTTGCTTCTCAGAGTCGTTCTGAGGATTAAGAGAGAACATGTTAGCAAAGAGTTTCCCTCAGAGCAGAGCATCATGATAAGCTTGGGCTAAATGGTAGTTTTAAAGACAATCAGTCCTGTTCCTGATTCCTTGGGGCCTCCAT